GAATGTACCAAGATCATGTTCTCTATGCGAAGAGGGCTTACATTATATAAGTTTAGTAAGGTGGTGAGGCGGTGACGTGAAGGAAAAGACTTCTATTATTTTGGTAAGTATAGTTATGGTAGAATTAGATCTCCATATCCCGATATTTTCTCTTTCGTATTCCTATTCAGTTGGAGGAAGACCCTGAGCTAGATTGGACTTGATCCTAAGCCTGGACTTGAACTGAAGTGAATTGGACTTGTATTAGAATGAAGAAGGAACAAGAGAAACAGGAAGGTCAGGCTGTGGGCGGCGCCCCCTTGATCCCTTGTTAGGTGTTAGCTTCATGACTCCCTTGTTGGCTTTCCTCTGGATAGGTTGACCCAACTTCAATTAGGCTCTTTTTTGGGCCTTCTAGGCTTATTAAATTGGGCTTGACCCAGTCAAATTCGGGGTCATTAGAATCTACTAATTTCACTTAATATTCTATTATTGATTGATAACATCACGTAAGAATGCAACTCGGACGGGTTGGACAGTCAACTTTAGCCCAACTCTAGGTATATAATCTTCAACCATAACCCTAACTCTAACCTTACCTCGGATTGAGAAACTTAACTCAAGCATTGCCTGAGTTTAATTCGAGTGGGCTTGAGTCGAATTCGGATTAATGATTTTAGGTTACTTTACGAGTTCAATTTAAGTTGAGTTCGGATAGAACCCAAAATAGACTTGTTGTTTTAAACCTAATACATATATTATATAATATTCACATAAATTAACAACTAATAACTTCAACAAAGTTTTTAACATAAAAATCATACTCAGAACATAAAAATCATTGCCACCAGTTCACTGCGAGAGAGACAGAGAGAGGGGGAACAATGACAAATTCATAAAACATAATCCATATATTTCATTCATAACATTGAATGATTATTGATCATCTGCTTTCACACCAAAAATAAAAAAATCAGTGCTAATGTTTATATATATATATATATATATATATATATATATATATATATATATATAATTTTTTAAAAAAATTTCGGGTTCAGGTTGAACCCGTAAACTCGAGACCTTAACTCGAGCTCCACCCAAATTAAATTCGGGTTTAGATTTTTTAACCCAAGTTCAATTCAAGTATAAAAAATTTCTACCCAAGTTCTAATTTTTTCGAGTTGGGCTCTGGTTGTCCAACCCAAGTTGCATCCCTAACACTACGTGACATTGACAATGTAATGTCGTCGTTACATTGAATATTTTTTTCCTCATCCAAAGTTAGATTTAAGAGAAAATATTTATTACAACGGTGATGTCATATCACCAACCAATAATAAAATCTCAAAAATAATACTATTTAGATCTAAAAATATAATATAATTTGCTGACCAAAGCAGAACTATTAAATCAATACTAAGTTTTAATATTTGATGAGACTCATAATCAATTCAAAAGTTATAATGGATTAAGTTAGTTTTTTAGATCTCATTAACATTACTTAAAATGTCAAATGGGTCAAGTAAACATCACTTAGATCACTATTGATTTATATAAAAAAAGAGTGACAAATTATTAACTTACATGAATAAGTAATTATTAAATTACGTGAGTTTAATTTTTTTATTTATTTTAATTACTCTATTCGTTCCTAAATATCTGTCGTTTTACATAATTTTTTGTTCCATAATATCTATCGTTTAATGAAATTAAAACATAATTAATATTTTTTATTCCAAATTTACCCTTAACTTTTAAATGTATTAAATTATGTGGAGGCTAAGTGTTTTTCATATTCATTTTCTTCCCAATACGTATTGAATTAGAATATTTTAGTCTTGTGTAATTATTTTTTACTCATATTACAGCTATTTAATAATTTTCTTAATCCCTGTTTAAAAATCATAAACGACATATATTTATAAATGGAAGGAGCAGTTAAATCATAAAAATCAACAATTATCTTAATGACCACCGTAACTCACAATTGGACCGTTAAATTGCGAGTTTGAACCCATTGTTCCTCCCAAGCCGTTGCAATGAATATTTTTTTTCAGATTTAAAGACGGATTCAAATGAGTGATTAAAGAGCGTTAATATTATTCCATCTGTTCTTAAATATCTGTCGTTTTACACAATTTTTTTTGTTCCATAATATCTGTCATTTAATGAAACCAAAGTAAAATTAATATTTTTTTTTTCTAAATTTACCCTTAATTTTTTAATGTATTAGATTAGGTAAAAGTTAAGTGTCTTTCATATATCTTTTATTCTCAATACGTATTGAATAAGAGTATTTTAGTTTTATGTAATATTTTTTTATTCATATTAGAATTATTTAATAATTTTTTTAATTCTTGCACAAAAATTTTAAGTGACATATATTTAAAAACGAAAGGAATAAATGATTACGAGGTCAAAGAAGTGAGATTATTATTATTATTATTTTGTTATAGGGCCGGACCTGTCAGCGCCGGCTTTAGGATGGGCTTTTTCGTACGTTCCTACGTGGGACGTCGCGTAGCTGTGACACGTCATTGGTTCAGTTAATTCCAGCTGGCAAATTTGACTGTTAATTTGGCGCCATATTACTTTAACCCCAGGCTTCAAAAATATTACCCTACTACTATCGAGTTTTATTTATTTTGTGATTAGAGATATACATTTTTAGTTTATTTATAAAATTAAAAAATTCATAATTTTTTGGGTTATATTATAATTTTTTAAAATTTAAGTAATAATTTTTTAGAGGTGTATTTAGTACACCCAATTTTTTTTTAAAATAATACAAACCTTGTACATGATAAATATAAACTTGTGAATAAACTTCGCTCATACGTTGTCATTATGTTGTTGTTATTGTTGTTGTTTGGCTCACAGATTTTGAGTCAATTATGTCCATCAAGATTGTAATTTTTTAACCTTTCAAGACTCACTTTGGACTTATTCTAAAGAGTGTAAACCCTGATACATGTAATCATTCGTCAATTATGAGTATTAATTAAGTTTGAGAAATGCCGATAAAGGCCAAATTTTTGATGTCTAAGTCTACAGTTTATTCAAGTTCGACCGAATGCATGTAACCAACCTGCAAGTTACAAGTATCTATTAAGTTTGAGAAATAACGAGAGTCAAACTCTTAACATTCGGATCTATAATTCTTCAAAGTTCAAATTATTCAACTACACACCACTAGACTACCGTGCGGGATCAAGATTGTATTCAATTTGATAATAATCCAGATGACCAATGCACACCCAGAATACATGGATAGCACTATGGATCATATCTCAAAATGATTTCCAACTTTTAATCGTCCTTTAATATATCTTTGACCATTGGTTACAAAAATAATAAATTAAACAACCCTTTGCACATATCAATTTTTTTATTTACTTTTCGGTACCATGGGTAATACCCCCCTCCCCCCACCCCACCCCACCCCACCCCAAAGAATACACAAATCATCCATTGAGAGCAGTTCCTTATTTCTTAAAAAAAATCACAAAATAGAAAGGAAATAATCGACCCCTAACTAAAACTTTTGACTAATTCACAATGTTATTGAGAAGACTTTTAGCTCTAAGCAAGATAATAACTATAAAACTTTCCATCCCAACTCTTACAAGTTGGCATAGATAGTACCATCGCAATTCTTTTCACTGGTGCATTGACATACAACTGAGCTATCAAACAGCCATAGTATCAAAATGAACACTTTATTTATATACCAGTTATAATTTGTGCATGAAGGCACAATATAATAAAATATGATAAATAATAAACATATTTATATTCATATCCAAAATTAAATTACAAATATAAAGAATAGATAAAAGAATTTAAGCATCGTTTTGTAGTGGGGGTGAGAGGTGGTAGGCGATAATGGTGGTAGTAAGATATGGTGATAGTTGTGGTGGATGACAATGACCGCGGCAACAGCGGTGGCAGTGATGGTGGCAGCGACAGCGACAACAGTGATGGTGGCAATGACGGTGGAGGCAGCGGCGGCATGATGGTTGTGGCGGTGACGGCGATGCGACGACAGAGGTGGTGGTGGTGGCGACGATGAAGGTGGTGACACTGGTGGCAACGATATCGGTGGCGGTGATTGGGGTGACTGTGTTTGTGGTGGTGGGGGTGGCGATGGCAGTGACGGTGGGGGCAGCGGCGACGGTGGTGGTGGTGGTGGCGATAGCGGTGGTGACAGCGACAGCGGCAGTGGCGGTAATGGTGGTGGTGGTGGTAGAGGTAGTGGTAGTGGTAGTGGTGCGACGGTTTTAAATATTATTATTTTTTTAAAATACATATGAGAAATAGTTTTTAGAAGTATTTTTAAAAAATTACTCCAAACACACCCTTAGGAGCTTATTTTTCTTATTAATTTTAGGGTGTTAATATTAGCCGTTAGATTAACTTTAAAATAAAATTTAAAGCGACTTCAACCGCGAATAACAAAAATCATTTTGTTTATCTTTTAAGATTTGAATTGTAAACTACTTTATTATATATATATATTGGAGTGTTCGGATTAACTTACATACACTTCGATTAATCTTCTTCTCAATCAATTAAAATAGACCATTTATACCGAAAGTAGAATATTCGTAAGAGATAAATTTTTTATACCCTCGTTCTAAAAACATTCAAAATTAAAACTTAAAATTTATAAATTTATAAATCGCCCCTGGTCCAACTATTGATGGACACATGATCTACGCAGAAAAAGTCATAAACAATAAAAGTAAAACAGGAGAAGACGACAAAAACAATACAAAAGGAGAGGAAATGTTGATGGAAATCGAAATAGGAATTGAAAGCTAAAGGAGGGTACGTGGCAGGTACCAAGCACTAGAAGTTAGATCCTAATCGTCCTTTGCGCTGCTACTCCTCTACTATATGCTTTGTGGGGAGCCACCGCCACACACCCTCACCCCCCAACCCCAACCCCACCCCGTTTAACCCTACCTCCCTCCCTCCTTTTTCCCGTCTGTTCATCAATAAAAGTATATAAAACCTTGCCATCGCCATTACCCTCCTCCCCCACCACCACGACTTGCCACCAGAAGGGCAGAGAGAAAGAGAGAGAGAGAGAGAGAGAGTGAAGGAATAGAGTATGAGATGGTGGGACTGAGTGTAGTACTTGAAGAACAAAAGTTTATATACAATGAAACTCCACAAGTTATCAACAAAGTCAGTATGATCAAACCATCTTCTCCTACTACTCCTCGCTCCCCTTCTACGTTTTCCCGGAGGAACTTTCCGTCAACTCTTCAGGCAACTAGTTTCCTTGACCATTGTTCTCTCTGCAAGCACAAACTCTTGCCTGGCAAAGACATCTACATGTACAAGTAAGCACCTCTCACAACACACACACACACACATATATATAAATGGCTACACAGTCTGTTATATGAATATGGAACAGTAACGATGCTTACAAGTGATGTTAATACATGTCTTCGTTCTATGTAGACACAAAATCTTTTCATCATTATGCTGCTTGCTTGCCCTTGTCAAAATCCGCAATAACAAGAGTCTCGGACACTAAATTATTCTTTATCATCAAATTTTGATAACTTCATTGAGATCTAGTTCTTGGTTTATCTTCAAACTGGGCTCCAAAATCTTGATGGGTTTGTTTGATTTTTTTCGAAGGATAACTAACCCTATTTCATAATCGATTTACAGAGGGGACAGAGCTTTTTGTAGCGTGGAGTGCAGGTGCAGGCAAATATTCATGGACGAAGAAGAGAGTGTTAAGACTAAGAGAGACAACTGCTCATTGGCTGCCATGAAACCTCAAGGCACGTCATCATCTTCATCTCCTCCTCCTCCGTCTCCTCGTAGTCGCAAAGGGGCTAGGAATCGGGGCAATGGGTTTGCTTACTGAGTTCAGTCAGAGGCTTTTCCGGGCTTACCCTTTGCACATTTTGTAATGACTTTGACATCCTTCTCCCTCTGTACCTAGCCAAGTTTACGTGCAGATGTGGATTGGTTTTGTTTCATGGATGTGGCACAATCAGAGAGTCGTGGGATATTTAATAAACTCTTTGGGATATTTAAAAAATTCTGCGAGACCTACTAATTTAATGATCGATGTTGAGATGGTGCACAAAAATAGTACTTAAATGTGATAGGTGTCGCATTATAAAAAGGTGGTGTTATAAGAACTCAATTACATACAATTTTGAATAGTTAGATACAAATTAAATAGATTTTGATTAGATCAGATATGAGATTAGTCAACATGTATATAAACTGAATCTCGAATATTGTTGACCGTTGAATCAAAAAAAAAAAAACAAAATATATTTTGACATCGTGATCTGCCTTTGTCAATCTCACTTAAAATAAAATATTATGTTTATCAAAAAATTTATCAAATGAATATTGATAAATTAAACTTTTTTTTAGGAGGATAGATGAGACGATTCACGTGAAATTTAATATAAATTCAACTTTCAATTCATTTGTGGGATCTGACGGTCTCGGGGGACCACCACGGTTACTCTCTTCTTGAGAACTCATACATCCCTTATCACTGTATGGACAGTTGCATTTCAAATACAAGTTTAACTTTAATTTCAATGAAAAAATTAAATAGAACACTTAACAATACATTTGTGAAAGACCAAAAAGTACGAGGAATCAGTAAATCCTACTTAAATTTCCATAGATGGCAATGTGAGATTCTATCATTAAGTGTTAATGAAGGGGTTTTTTAGTACTCTAAATAACAAAACTTATTCTTGTTTAGACAAAACACAACAACGATGGTTGCTTGGACTTGTGTCTGCGTTTGCTACACGACAATACTGTAACAACCCTTGTCTCCATTTGACGTGTGCATTCTAGTCAAATCATGTAGGGAATGTCTATAATACGCACTGAGTGGTGTTGTTCTGATAAAAGAACCATGGTTGAGGAACCAACTAGTACTTGGGTTAATGTAACGGATATGTTGCAAAGAACAAGCCTGTCCTGATTGGGAAATAAAAATCTAATAATATCTTGAGTTTTATCTTTCGTATTGGAATTGCTTTATCAACAAAGTAGAGGGCCCTTCAATCATGCTTTGGCATCCTTTGTGCCCATTATGTAACTGGATAAACTACATCAACATCAATCATATAAACAAAAACTAAAATAATAACAAGTATGAAATTTAAAACTATATCTTTTATCCCTAATGACTTTTTTTGTTGTTGCTACATTCAGGAATATTCAGACCAGCTTACATGTATATCGATAATTCCAAAACTAGAGAATTTACGAGAAATCTCGTTGTCTAGCCCCAAAAAAATTATCAAATTATGAACATAAGGTGTCAGGATTTATAATTTAAACTCGCAAATATTATTTTTGAAATAATACGGTGTTTTGTATAACTATAACAAAATTCGGGGGATACCAATAGGATGCAACAAGAATGGAGATGTTATTCATGAAACAATGCGGATTTTAGTCCGAAAACACAGGAAATATATGACAAATGTGGAAGCCCATTCTACCTCCAATCTATGCTAGCATTTTTTTTTTTAATCTAACGGTCAGGACATTGCTAGCATTTTTTTTTTTAATCTAACGGTCAAGAATGTCCGGATCTAAAGGCAGAGCTAAAAATTCGCAATAGAGAGGGCAAACTATTATAGAAAAAAATTTCACCGGTTTATACAAAACATTTTGAAGCATGAAAAAATATTTTAGGATTCAACACTAGATTACTATTAAAACAATAAAACCAGTTTCTATTTAACTTAAAGAAAATATGAACAACAAACCATAAAATAATTTACGGTATTATATTTCAACTCAAATCACATACTAAAGTAGGATACGATGTTATTTAAAATTTCAGAATTCGTCTATAATGTATTGATAATAAACTAAATTTTTAGAAATTCTCTTTAATGTACAAAGCCACATTATTCATGACAAAATCATTATTCATTTTATATTGCAAAAACTAATCGAAACCATCATTTATTTTGTTGATTTACTCAATCCAAAAACTAAAACATTGAATTTTTTTTTTTTGGGCGGGGAGGGGGGTAATGGGCCACTGACTTCCCAAAAATTAAAAATAAGTTAGGACAGTTGTAAACATTTTCAAAAATCAAAGGGGACAAATGTATTAAAATAACCAAACTATCATCCAAATAAAAAGATTCAAAAACTCGGGGGCAAGTGCCCACCCTCCTTCCTATGTGGCTCGGCCCTTGTCTAAACCAGTTTACACACATATCAACTAATTCTCTTTTTGGTCCGGTCGAAAACAGGTCATCCACACCAAAATTAAGGTATTCATGAGAGCTAAATCCCTCATAATCTAACTCCAAAGAATTGTCAAAATTCGAATTCAAGATATAATTTACATTTTATTTCTGTTACCATTTGAACAACCACTTGAGGTTAATTCCCAAAGGAGTCATACACTCATAGATAGGATTTGGAACTCTCAGTTTCTTTGTTTTTTGTTTTTTTTTTGGGGCGAAAATAGAAAACATATTGTAGATTATCCTCAATACATAATGGTGCAGTATCATATGAGGTAAAATCTGATGCTGAGTTGGTTATCAGATTACCACAGCAGCACAGCCACAGTCGGCTGTGCTTTTATTTCTAAGCTTAAATGGATCTATCTTCCAGGTGAATGCAGCTACTACACATTATTTTTCCTTCTTCTCTAGATAATTCACAGGTAAAACCCTGGAATACATCTAAGAGAAACAATGAGATCGCGAGAGTCAGGTCAATTGAAACGTCAAACAAAGTACATGTTGAAACAAATATACAAGCACAAGAATGTTCATGGGATATTTTGCGTGCTAGGAGTTTTCAAATAATACATACAAGTGCGAGGTATAGCAGCGGCAGCATTGTACCTATGGTCTATATCTACCACCAAGCTCAACCAGATTTGAACAGTAACACTGCTTTTGAATCCAAATAGAAGTACACAAAGTGATTTGTCTCATGAGTCACATAAGAACCTACAATAATAAAACCAAGAAAATAAAATGGTCAATACAAATTCATCTATAAGCTAGAAAAGGTCAAATTGTGATAAGAGAGGAAAGAATAAAAATAGAACAAGACAAAAGAATGGGTTAAATGTCTTGATCAGTAAAAACCAAACAAATTTTTAAAAAATGCCAACAAACAAATTCAGGTCCAAAGACGATGATTTTCGATTTGGCTTCTCTTCCTAATGAAATGACGTTAGGAGCTTTGGTCATTATCAGTCTCTGAATTGCTATGTTTTTTCTCCACGCTTGATCTAGTCCATGTCCTAGATTCAAATGAACATGTGTAAAATAGTAAAAACCCAGATAAATAAATATGGCAGTATTAGTCAGCAGGGAGGGTAGGCAGCAATTGGACTCCCACCACTTGCCTCCAGTAAAGGGCACTTGAAATGCAAACAGCAAAAGGTGTAGGTTGTGAATTCTGTAAAACTTGATCTCCTACTACAATTATACGGAAACAGGAGACTAAAAAGATAGCTTTTGACTATGACATTCCAAGAACAAAACTGGAAAATCATAAATTAAATTTGTGCAAATCTTATGTAAAGCACAATTCTCCTTATTGTCAAAAATATGTCTGAACCTAATAGCAGAACAAAACACTAAGAACTCCATATGGCTAAGAATATTTTGTTAATAGATGAGCTGACTGAATAATCACAATCTCAGGATAAATGCATGCTAAGAAGACGTTTGTTCCATTTTGAAACTGTATTGTTTAATGAAGACCATGACTTCACCCACTGCATCATAAACATGATTAGTATTGCTGCATCTAGACAACTGTTCAACAGACCTATTTGGTGTGATGGATAGTTAAGAGTTTTGATCCATTCGTATAGGAAACATTTCCTCCTCACTAGCTCTTGGAGGCACTACCCACCATGGTTAAAATTGACATCTCACGCGGATTATATACGCGCTTGCAGGCATCAATATGGGATGCAATCTTGTTATAAGTATCTGCGGGACCATAGTTGCATGGACGATGCACAACGTGAATGAAACTTCAAAATATCTTGAACAAGGTAAATTCCTAATTCACACAGACCTATCCAACTATCAAGTACTTGGCAGATATTGAATACAGCATATCATCACAGGTGTCATCACAACTTCACTACATCAATCCCATTCAAACTAAGCCAAACCAACCAACTGGACTAGTTATGTTTTTGAATTGGACTTAATGTAAGTTTCAGCACCCAACAAATCATATGGCCATGCAACATCTAACAAGATCACTAGAAATATTGACTTCAAGGAATTTTGATCCAGTCCATATTCCATATGGATGTTAAAAAGATATTTGCACTTGGAGTTGGATTATAGTGGATCCAAAAATTTCACGAGTGGAATTAAGAATTAGAATTATATATTTATATTTAGAGCTCTAATCTGGTGTGATACATATAGGTGCACCTCTGCTCGCTTGGGCTTCGACGCATACCTAGGTGCACGTTTCCCAACACTGACACTCAAATGGCCCTATACTTGGTCTTTATTTGTTGTCCTTGAAGAATGTCAAAATAAACATCAGCTGATCAATAGACAATTGTAGAGAGTGTCTCATCAGCTGAATCATGCCTGATCTGATGTGCCACCTTACGTAAACATTATAATAGCATCTTTTATATTTTTGTGAGTTTTCTGTTGAAGTAATATAACTACCAGATAAATATCACACAATCAAAAATATAGTTTGTATTGAAAAAACATCAGAGAAATTACAACATACTAGGAAAGATTATCAGCTCACACTATACCACCATTAAGACCATCATGTACATAACACGTAAGAGTGTTCATGTCTTTTCTACAGAAATCAACAATGGAAAGCAAAACTATGTAGACCACTGTTCCACGAAGGAGCACCGATAAAGCATTACGCATACAACTATGCCCATACCCACAAGATGCATCCTGTGTGTAGAGTGGCGTGAATAGGACTACCCATTTTTTTCCTCAAGATATTCTATTTCAGGAGCAACGTATAGCAGTCATTTGCAAGTTTTTTGGAGGGTGGGAGCCCTAGAAGACAGTATCAGCAGAATCACAGATGGTACTTCCAAAGAGATTGATCAAAGATAGCTATCACACACTATCAAAACCAATGTTTGTCAAACCAATTTTTTTAGAACTTGGGGGAAAGATAGAAACGTTAATCATGCTTCGTGCCTTTCCTAACTGAACACCAAGAATCAGGTTTGATTATTATTCGTGAGGTAACCTCCCAACTCAAGTCAACATTTCTCTACGTTTCTTGCCCAAAAACTTATACTCCTTAATTAGGTCACGGGTGTCATAAATCTTCATTTACTTTCTCCCACCCAGTTTGTGAACCAAAGAGACATATCCAGTTGTCTGTATGGTTATCCTTGGTACTCCATTCTATCTACCCACGGGCAACTAAGGAACACCTATCCAGATTTGTATCCATTCATTTCATGTAAGCTTAGGCTGAAATAGCATAGGTGCTAAAATCAGGACAAGGAATTACAAGGGTTCCAGATCCTTGTATTTTTTTAAAACAGGAAAATGGGATATGTGTGTCTCTGTTCTCCAAGAAATTCAGATATATACATAATCACAGGCACATGCATAATTTTTATGAACTTCTCTAATACAAGAAGTTCAAAACTTTGTGTTGTGTGTGGGTGTGTGATTCTATATCTATATATGATTCATCCAATGCCAGCTATTTTGGCACATGCAGCCTAAAGGAGCTTCCAGGTTGGGCATGAACTTTTCTATTACTTTTTCCTTCTCACTCAGTCAGTGATAAACTGCAGGGGGATCAATGTAAATTCTACGCACGCATATAGAACAGAAACCACCAGAAATTACGTAAAAACGACGAATAAATAGCCTGGTTAAAGCACAGATCTAATCAATTTCAAAGAAAACAAGGGCCAACGATCCCTCAATTAAATAAATGTCAAGAAAATTAAAAATAAATTTAAGTTAATAAAAAAACTGAAAGCCTAGGAAAAATTAAGGAGAGAAAGTGGATACCGAAGTTTTTGCCGACGATACAATGCCAAGTAGGTCCATGCTTTTTGTCGAACTCCTTTTTTATCTGCTCTGCAACATCCTTCTCTACACTGTTCTTCTCAAACGCCTACAAAGTAGACATACAATTTACATTCAGTGTTTGATATAGCGACTTGAAAATTACAAAATTAAATCAGACAATTTGTCTTTAGATTGAGAAAGGGGAAGTTTACGGCAATGGCAATGTCGACCGCCTCTTTCTGCATGTCATCCTTCATATCGGCGCTCTTAATAATCACTTTCTTGCCTACTGTCTGCAATGGAGACGCCGCCGACGATGGCCTCCGGTCGTCGGCGGAGGGTTTCATCTCCAGAGCTCCGCTTCCGATTCTCCTTGCTTCCTCACTCATTTCCGTCCCCTGTTTTGTTTTGATTCAGGTTTCGTACAGAGTAGAACGAGAGAGAGAGTCTGTGCTCTGTGGCCAGAAGAGTTCTTACTTGTGTGGAAAAATGGCAAAGTGTGCCACTCGTGTGACATAAATGAGATACACTCGGATCATGTGAGTGACACACTCTGCCACTTTCCCTTAAAAGATCTGACAGATGTAAATAAAAAAGTTCAATTGCAACTATTAGCGAGCTTGTAGCTCAATTGATAAAAAAAATAAAGTTTAGAGACTTAATTGATAAAAAAATCATAGTTTAAGAGTTATAACTATAGTTTTCACTTCTTTTTTTTATGCATTTCCTATCTTACAAAATTTTATTTTATATTCTCAAAGATTAATTTTTTTGTATTATATTTTTAATTTAGTAAAAGTGTTATAATATTTTTCTTATTTTAAATTTTATAATAAAAGTTAACAGAATGGTAATATTATAAAACTTTTAATCTATTAAGAATATAATATAACAAAAATTATTCTTTGAAAGTATAAAATAAAAATTCTAAAATATTTTGGGGGTATAAAGTGTGATTCCTCTTTTTTTTTTCTTCACTGTGTACTGATTTAATGTTGCTGTCGATTCTGTGATGTGAGACCAACTCCACCACCAGACCAGATGCGTACATGGCACCACAAACTTAGCGACGTCGTTTACAGCTCAGACCAAATGATGCAACGTCGTTTTTAAAGATTCATTTGGATTTCTCAGGTGAACACGGTTTTATCCAGCGTGCTAAAAAGATATCTACAATCTCCAATTATGAAACGGAATGAATGGAGGTTCGCCTATTAACCATGGTCTTCGATGTTTTATCTTAAAATTGTGAGTTTGTATTTTATTGTTTGTTCCTTTTCTAGTATAATTAGTTATTTCTCGTACTTAAAGACATAAAATAATAAAAAAATAATCAATAATAAATATATTTGTATTTACACCAAAAATTAAATTATAAAAATATAAAATAGAGAAAAAAATTTAAGCACGAATTGTAATAAGAGCGAGCGGTGGTGGGCAACAATGATAGTGGTGAAAAACAATGATGATTGTGGTGAGTGACGACCACCGATTGTTATGATGGCAGCGGTGGTGATGATAGTGGTGAGACGATAAGGGTAGGGGTAGTGGTAGCGGTGATTGTGGTAGTGGGGCGATGGATGTAGTAATAGTGGTGGTGGAGCGGTGGGAGTGGTGGTAGTGGTGGGGGTAGTTGAGGTGGAGGGATGACGGTGGTGGTGATAGTTATGATGGTGGTAGGTCGATGGGAGTGGTGGTGGTAGGGTTCACTTGATCCGAAAATATGTACACCCAAGTGCAGACGATCAAACTGTAGTAATAATTCAGTTAAATCCGGAGTCGAATCTACAGGGAACTATGATTGGTGTTTTGAAGTAAGCAATGACAGAGACCAAGTGACTGAAAATCTTGCGAGTTTGAAGTTATAAGGTTTGCTAGATAGAATATAAGATTCCTTCCAATTGATTTTTTTCTAGACAAAATATAAGATAAATTATCAAAGGTAACAATCACTCTTTAATTCGAGGATCAGAATATATAATTAATCATCCGATTTATTATACTCGTGTTTTATAACTCAAATAACTCTCGTGTCAATAACAAGTTATTTTGAAAATTAAACATATGATTCCAATGCCTTTCTAGAAATTTACAAGAATTGTCTGTGCCGAGACTCAACCCATTTACAAACAAGCAAGTGTTTCTACAAGGCATCCAACCATAGCATTAATGTTTCATTCTTTAAATAAAGCACAATAATGGTGAAGATTGAAATATTGTCATGAAATCTAGCCGGGGTACTTGCCTTGAACCAATAAGTCTTTTTATACAAGAGTCATCCGTGTCATAGAAAGAATTCACGGTTATACAAAGTACCTTAAGTTTGTTAGATACATTCAACCATTCAATAAGCAAGTGAAATATAAAACATTAAAACATAAAAAAAATGCACAAATATAACTTTTGGATAATTTATACACCTACAATGACAGTGATGGTGGAAGCTGTGGGTGGCAATGGTGATGATCGTGGCGGTAAGGTGGCGGCAATGGTAGTGGTAATAGGGATAATTATGGTAGAGTAGTGGTGAGGTAGCGACAATAGTGATGGTGGCGACGATGATGACAGTGGTGGTGCGATGGGGGTGGTAGTGATGGCAACGATAGTGATGATAGTGGTGGGGCAATAAAGGGTGGTGGCAATGGTGATCGTGGTGGTGGGGCGGTGGATGTGGTAATGATAGTGGTGGGGCGGTGGGAGTGGTGGTGGTGGTGGGGGTAGTTGTGGTGGAGGGATGACAGTGGTGGTGATAGTTGTGATGGTAGTAGGTCAATGAGAGTGGTGATGGTAGTGGTGGTGGTAGGGTAGTTCCAAACATTATTTTTTTTATTTAAAGTACTTATGAGAAGTTATAAATTCTAAAAACACTTTTAAAAAGTTACCCCAAACACACCCTTAGACCCCTATTTTTTCTATTAAATTTTAAGTGCTAATATTAGCCGTCAGATTAATTTTAAAGTAAAATTTAAAAAAATCTCTACTGCAAAAAATAAAAGTCATTTTGTTTATCTTGGAGGCACAGAGTAATAAAAAAAATGACGAATAATAAACTTATTTGTATTCACATTCAAAATCAAATTAATAAAATAGAGTAGAGAGAAAAGAATTTAAGCACCAGTTGTAGTGGAGGAAAGTGGTGATGGGTGACAGTGGTGGTGATGGGAGATGGTGATGGTTGTGGTGAGTGACGACGCTCGACTGTGATGGTGGCAACTGTGGATGGCAATGATGATGGTCGTGGTGGTGGGGCAGTGGAGGTGATGGTGGTAGAAGATGATGGTGGGACAGTGCCGATGGTGGCAAGGTGGGGACAACGATAGTGGTAGTGGGGGTGGGGATAGTGGTGGTGGGATAGTGGTGGGGTAGTGACGACAATGGTGGTAACGACGATAGTGGTAAAGGTGGTGGTGGTAGGGGTGATAGTGGGATAGTGGCGATGGTGGTAAGGTGCCAACAACAATAGTGGTAGTGGGAGTGGGGATGGTGATGGTGGGAGAGTGTTGGGGTAGTGACAATGGTGGTGGTGGTTATTATAGAAGAGGTGGTGGTGAGATAGCAAATGGTGGGGGCAGTGAATGTAGTAGGGTTGTGGCAGCGGTGGTGGAGGGGCGAGGGGTAGTGGTAGTGGTGATGGTGATGGTGGTTGTGGGGCGATAGGTGTGGTAGTGGTGGTGGGGGTGGCGATAGTGGCGGTGGTGTAATGGTGGTGATAGTGATAGTCGAGGCGGTGGGGGTGGTGGTGGTAACAAGGTAGTTTCAAACACTAATTTTTTTTTAAGTACTATGAGAAATTATAAGTTATAGAATAACTTTTAAAATGTTATCTCAAAACACACCCTTAGAGACTTATTTTTTCTATTAAATTTAGGATGTTAATATTAGCAGTCGGATCAAGTTTAAAGTAAAATTAAAGAGATTTCAACTGCAAAAAATAAAAGTCATTTGTTTATCTTTTGAAATTTGAACTGTATTGTACTTTATTATATAGACAGTGCATTTACACTAAAAACCAATTCAATATTGTAAAGCCTTGCAATCATTCTAAGTGAATGTTGTGCGAATAATTTTGTCATGGAGGCCAACGATAGACAATAATTCTCCCCGAGCACAAATTTTTTAGAAAGTGATAGGTTAAATGCGCTTTTGGCAACACAATTTCGGTGCCTTATAAGTAATAATAAAGTTGTATTGCATAAATTGTTATTCAAAATTTATATCCTAAGTGATGTGTCAAAAATTCATGCATTGAATATTTAGTGGAGTTAATGGACTTCACTAATCCAACCACCTGCATTAATTTGGGATACAAAATTTAGATAAATATTTGCTCTATAAGTGATTCAGGCTGATCCTTGGCCTAATTTAAGTGGTGCATTATAAGCTTTGTTACATTGCCTATCTCTAACCCATCTACAAGGTGGATTTAAAATGGCAATCAATAATCATTTCCTCCATTGCATTCGCATATGAACATTCTCATCCCTCCACACACACATTAGACAATTTGCCTAGAATTTTGAGCCAAACATGACCATCGATGAATTCACTACATCTTGATTCAAGTATTTCTTCGGTTTATGCCTACAATTTTTTTTATTTGCTGTGAGAAAAAGGGGTGGGGCAAATTACCCTTTTCCTTCAATTCCCTTTAAGACAGTATTAGATGAGTGACACGTGTAAAATTCTAAATTTCAATGAACAAGATTTTTTCTTTGTGAAAAAATTCCTTAATAATAGTTAACACTCCACCAACAATAAAATGAATGAGAAAAAATCTTATTCATTGAAATTCAAAATCTTACACATGTTACTCATCTAGTACTGCATTGAGGGGAATTGAAAGGAAAGGGTAATGGAGGAGATCTAAATCTGCAAAGGAGAACACTCAGAGACTACTTCGATAGGTCTTTACTGGTGGGATCATGAGACTTCTGACTGCATCCGTTATTCTTATCGGGAACAAACTTAGTTAACCTAGTAATCAACCACTGAGCCCTAATATAGACTTTAAAATTCAAATCTCCAACCTCAAAGTGAAAAATTCGACCAATACCCTACTGGACCACCCCATTTGATGCCTACAGATTAATTATACACTATGATTTCTTCTACGATTTTATTTAAGTTATTTCATTATCTACCTTGAATTTTCTAGCTTGGTTTTGCCTTTATGGGTGTTAAATATATAGGTGACAGGACTTTAGGCGGCTCGACAGCCATAAGTTGATACATGGAGTATTGTAGTCGTTATGGAGTGCAAAGGGCACCTGGAGAAGGCACCGAGGAGTTATTGCCTTGGAAATGCCGAATAGAGCCATCAGGGCCTAGCATTAAAGAGGATATAACAACTCATTAGATAGAGTTTTGAGTGATTGTAAGTCATTAAATGCGCATCCAGTTCCTTGAGAAGTGTGATGACAGTTATCACTATAAAGCATTAATTGGCATAACGCCGATCCATTGTCCTCAGTGAAACCCGAGGGGTGCTTATTCCCGAGCAGTGAACGCTCAGGTGTAGGAACCAAGCACCAAGCACCAAGCAGAGGTATTTAATAACTGGGGATAGGGCCATAACGGATCGGCAGGTACCGAGCAAGGGTCCGAGCGCTCGAGTGGATTAGTCTTGAGAAGATTTGATGGGATAACACTCATTGTGCATGGATACGAGTGCGAGCCATTAAATGTCGAGATGAGACTCAAAGATCATTTAATCATTGCTAGTCCAAGTATAAATATCCATCAAAAAATTGAACAAAGATACACAATTCTAATCTGGAGAATACATTGTGTCAATGTATCCAATACCGACTGACTTGAATTTCGGAGGAAATTGGTCGAGTGTTCACCTGACCCCTTTCCTAATCTTTCAATTATTTTAGATTCATCATTCAGCGGATCACTGACTCAACATATTGCAAGAGATCACTCGTGCAATAGGTTTTCATCATCATCATCACCGGTATCTACCAGGAAGACCTAACATAGATGCCTCTCTCTCTCCAACATCATTGTTTTATCTTTGTAGATTTTCTTCTACAAAGCTTAGGTAAACCGAATTAAATTATTTTTCTTTTATTGTTTACCATTTGTAGACTTTTTCAGCAAATTCTTTTAATATGTTTGAGAAAGTATACAGCTGTATACATTTATTAGGTCTACATTTTTTCTTCAATTGATGTTGGGGAAAATCCAATTTGAGATTTTCATTATGAAGACTTATCGTAATTGGGGGGTAATATAGAAAATATATAATATTTTTGACCAAAATCTATGATGCAAAAGTGAATATGGGGTGTTTAAACTTTCTAAATATGTCCTTTTTTTGGTGACTTTATAAAGTACCCTCAACTTAGTCGAATACAAATATAAATAATATGTTTAGGATGAAAGTCATCACTATTCTCGATTAACTTATTTAGACAAACATGAGATTGGATTGAATTATAAAAAGTGTGGTGGTAAAATTTTATTAAAAAGAATTGAAATACCAATCGTATGGTATAATAGTGGGACCCACAAAATTATTTACTCCACACGAGATTAATAAAATATGTATCTATACTTTTTATATCCTTCCACATTTTCATCTTACTAAACACCAAAAATATATATATAAATATATATTTCCTATTTTCTATCCCTATTCATCTATTAAAAGATATAACTCTCATTTTTCATCATTCTATTTTTTTTATCTACCCTACCAAACAAACAAGAGGAGTTGAAAATTCCACTTTAATTTTGTACAAAAAAATTGAGAAGGAGGGATAAGCTATGATATCGAAAACTAGGAAAAATCCCGAACCTAAAGACATTTATAATACCAAAAATAGAGCATTGATCTTGCAATATTTTATATTTTAAATGAAATTTTATGTTTTTTTTAATTACAAAATTTAAAATTAAAGTATATAGAGAAAAAAATAAGAGAGATGTAGGGGTGGATTAGTGGGTTATTTGGCATTTAAGAGTGTGTTGATTAAATTGTCATATATATGAGTTGTGCAGGAACGATGATCTTTTTAAGTGAAAGAAATATTTTTGGGATGAATTTTGTATTATTAAATTACAATAAATAAAAAATAGATCAATCTTAATTATTTTTGTATTTTTATAAGTTGAAAATTTAATTTCTTAGCGAGAATATTCGATATATATTGATTATTTTTTATATTTTTATAAGTGGATAATTTAATTTCTTAGCTGGAATATTCAATAAATATTTATTAGTATCAATTTCAAGAATAGTATGAAAAATATTTGTTTATATCTTAATGAAAAGTGAATTTCAACCACTAATCTTTATTTTGATTTATTAGTAATTGATTTATTTGTAAAAATAATAATATAAAATAAAATAATTTTATACTCGTGTGAGGAAAAAAAAACACACTATATTAAAAAACTAAATTTTAATTTCTCCATTCTATAATTATTCTTTGAAGAGATAACATTGGAAACATCACCCAGGACAGGACTGACCCCTCCATTCTCCTTCTACTTAGCATCTAAATGACGTAACAGCTCTTATTAATGATCAAAAAAATTTAGGGCTAATTGCACTTTTAACTATGAAAGATTGCATATTTTTTATTTTATACCATCAAATATTAATTTTTTTATATTAAACACTTTATATATTAAAAATATTATAATCTGACCCATCTGTTAATTTTTTTTATTAATTACGTCAATGTCAATGGAGTATTTTTGATGAAATGAATAAGAAAAAACTAACAAAAAAATCACAATAAAACATTTTTAATACATTAAGAATACAATACAAACAATCTAATCTTTAAAAGTATAAATTAAAATATCTTAATTTTTTGGGGATCAAAGTGAAATTCCACGAAAATTTATATAACGGTAAGAGCTAGACAATGGTCACCACTCGCCAGATAAATGGTGGAAGCACGCTTGATGTTTAAATTACCGTTTACTCCCTTTATAAACTAAAATATACTCATAGACAATTTTTTTTTATTAAAATTCGGGAATATTTAATTTTTTGGAAATCAACAAAGAAAAGGCAAAGAACTTAAGTTAATTGAGTGAATAAAATGAAGGGAGACAAATGACAAATTTATGTTTAGTCTTAATATATCTTAACCAGGCATTGTCTGAATATTTTTGTCGTATAAAAATTTTAATGACCAAAAAACCAAAAAAAAGAGATAACTGAGTAACTAATTATTTTTTTGATAATTGTCATTTAATCTCCTTTGTAACATTAAACACAAATATTCTACTTAAATAGGTTTTCAATTTGTTATAGATCTAAATCATTTGACAATTTTTTTTAAAAAGTTACCCAAAAAATCATTCAAACTTTAATAGTGTAACTCTTTGAGAAAATATAAGCAAGCTTATGATTTAAAAAATAGGTAAGTTTTTATAACAGACACTCCAAAAGAAAATCACCATCCATGCAATTTGGAGAAAAATAAAAAATACTTTATTTCTTTGGTTAGGAAAAGGGAGGGGGGACCTGAGCGTGATCATAAGGGTCCTCTCATTGTAAAATGTCTGATTTGAATCATAACTATTAACCCGAAAAAGTAATTTATCATCACAGTACCACTAAAACTAAACAACAAATTATGTTTCTCTCAAATTCTATTTGATAATCACATGAGTGCCGACGATGATCCTGAAGCGCTCTCTCTCTCTCTCTCTCTCTCTCTCTCTCTCTCTCTCTCTCTCTCTCTCTCTCTCTCTCTCTCTCTCTCTCTCTCTCTCTCTCTCCGAATAAAAAAAATTCAAGCCTAGGGTTGTAAATAGAAATAGCAAAGTAGAAATACCCTTTCAAAAATAATGGCTAGAGAGTGGAAGCCACTCTCCTTGAATGAGGTTGGAGTTAGTTGGCCCCACACACTACTATTTTACACGCACACTGTACATCGTTATCCAATTCAGCTTTGGGTTATCTTCCGAACGTCCCCAACGTCACTGCTACTACCCACAAAGGAAGCACGAGCACGATACCCACCGTCTGCAATAAATAAGCCCCAACAATCGGCAAGCCACCTTCCATCTCCATTACCCAATTACTCAGCTGAGATTGACACAGAGAGAAACGAAGAAATTCCATTTGTAGAGTGAGAGAATGAACAAGGGAAGAACAATTTTGGAGGTTGGAGCTGATGGGGTGGCTCTCATCACCATCATCAACCCACCTGTCAATTCTCTCTCCATCGATGGTACTCCTCAGATCTCAATTACCCATTTTATGTGAATTCTTAATTTTATGTGTCTTAATCTGGGTTTTTAATTTTCTGATATCATTATGTTGTTGGTGTTTGGGAATTTTGTGGAGTCTCTCTGTAATTTTCCGGGTTATGCGATCACGATATTATATTTTGAAACAGACTAGATAAACCCACTTGGTTAAATAAATTACTACTGTTGTTGCCTCGACTTTGATTCATTTTATAGAAATAAAGTAATTGGCTTGTTATGAGTGAACAAATGTTTAATTCCGTGAACTCTAATTTTATTTATGACTCTCAAATCTTATGGTTAATTGTGAGGTTTGGGGGCTCGCAGATCAACCTATTAGCCAACAATTGTGGTCAAAAAACATCATTGGGGTTTTTACTTAATATAGATGTAAGTACAAGGCAGTGCTGTAGAATGTTAGTCTGTGCTAAGAGTCTTAATGTCCATAAATTAATGCAACTTGGGTGATTGTTTGTTTCATTATGTCCTAGCTTAAGTAAAAATTAATAAATTTTGAACTTCATGCTCTGTTTCGAATTGAGAAAGGAATTCCTGGGGAAGGGTTAGAATGACAGTTGCTGGTCCTTGGGAGTTGGCAGGTACCAAATAAAGAAATGGCTACTTGAATTTGGATGTTAAGCATAAAGACTCTATTAACATGTGAAAGTGTGCCCAACGCATATGGATGAAGTAACATATGTAGGATATTAACCATCGAACGCACTGCCCTTTAGATCTTGGAAGTACATGCATCAAACTCCTTGTCCAAGACAATTTATGACAAATGATGATGAGGATTGGATTTGACATATTTGAAGCAGGAAATGCTCGATTTTGATTTATAAACACAACACAAACAAACACACTCGAGAAATTAAACGTCTAATTCTTCCATATGCAATGAATATTCGTGACAGATGAAAGTGATAGTTTTGCCCTGCATCTCAGCTGTTCTATATTCTATATTATGTCGAAAGTGCTATCATGACTGTTTATGCTCGTAGGCCCAGGCAGATACAACGCCAAGCCTTGCCTAGGATTTTGCAGTTCTTTGTTTTCTTAAGAATCTCTTCTTTCATAAGATATTGATTTTTGTTTTCCCTCAATTAACTGTATATCTTATTTTGTCTTTTCTCTCTCTGTTGGGTTTCAGTATTAAACAGCTTGAAAGAAAGTTACGAGCAAGCTTTACAAAGAGATGATGTTAAGGCAATTGTTGTTACAGGTAAGTGTAAACAAGGTATTATCGTATAGTGATATTTTGTTCAGCATTGGAGATGACTGAGGTTTGAAGATGAATTTCTATGTACTGGATCAGGTGCGAAAGGCAAGTTTTCTGGTGGTTTTGATATCACTGCTTTTGGTGGAATCCAAGGGGGAAATAGTAAGTGAGGTTTTATGTTTCTTATATTTAATATTGCACTTCCACTTCTTTGCTAAAATTCATGTTGTATTAATCACAGCACCAGCACCAAAGCCTGGTTTTGTATCAGTGGAGATTCTCTCCGACACTTTGGAAGGTACACATTTGGGTTTTCTCTTCCACAGTCAGGCTTATAAAGTTTTTATACATCTGCACAAGATTTGTGTTAATTGAGTGTATTGTGTCTTTGCTTTTAGGTGCAAAAAAACCTTCAGTTGCTGCTATTGATGGCCTTGCCTTAGGTGGAGGGTTAGAGGTTGCTATGGTATGTGCCACAATTTGTTTGTGCAAGACACTTTCCTATTGAATTCGTGAAAATGACCTTACTAATCTTGCTTTTCAGGCCTGCCATGCTCGTATATCTACTCCTAATGCACAACTAGGCTTGCCTGAACTGCAGCTTGGTGTAATTCCTGGATTTGGTGGTATGACTATATATTTGCATGCAATCATCATGTAGTCACTTTTATTGGTGGTTTTTAGATGAACAGAAACATTTGAGAAAAAAACTAATGCAGATAGGGATTTATTTACATGAATTTGGAAGTTTGGCTCTCCAAGTACATACCCTAACCAATCCAATCATTCACCATACATTGATGGTTGATGATAAGGAAGTATAATGCTAAATGATTGCTCTAAAATGCATTATGAGAAATTGAAATCGCAGAGGTGGCTTACTCGAGAGAATGGTAGTGATTCTAGGAATGATGTTGTACTCGTGTCAAATAATATTCTTTTCTTTGTCGTCTTCACCCACCAACAAAACAACGAGCTTAATAAGGTTAGACTTGAAATCATCATTTTTATTGTTTAAATTGTTAAACCAATATGTAATTATTGTTGCATGCTAAATGAAATTATATACACACATGTACAGATATTCAAATGCAGATGTTAACTTGTTTACCAGTATAATAGGTAATCCAGATTGTGCATTGTTTCAATAACAGGTGAGTATTGTCACTTCTTTGAAAAAATGATTAATTTTCCCCTCATTCTGGAAGCATGATGGTACAAAGCCCAAGGTGGTTTGTAATTTCAGTTTTTAAGTTGTTTAATTTGGAATGAATTATCAATGACATATAGAAAAGGAATGTATGTAGAAGAACAAATGAATTGTCCTGAACAATTGCTTGTGTTTTGTTACCGAGCCTTCAAATGATTGTGGATTGTTCACGCTACTGATGTGCTGTTTATAAAGTCAAGAGCAACTAGCATTTAGTTTCCTCCTACTGTTTGTTAAACTTGGTTGTCTTGTATTGTCTCAGGAACACAGCGGCTTCCTCGTCTTGTTGGCCTCTCTAAGGCCCTTGAGATGATGCTGGTACAAAGGCCTATATTTCTTCTGTTATTAAGCAGTCTTACCACTGTAGCTGTATAAATCTCAATATTAATCACAAACCTCTCTCTCTCTCTCTCATGGTAGATGTCAAAGCCTGTAAAAGGAGAGGAGGCTCTTAGTTTAGGCCTTGTGGATGCCGTAGTATCAGGAAATGAATTAGTAAACACTGCTCGTCGCTGGGCCTTGGATATTTTAGAGCACAGAAGACCATGGGTTGTTAGTCTTTACAAGACTGACAAGTTAGAACCTCTTGGTGAGGCGAGGGAAATACTAAAATTTGCTAGAACTCAGGCCCAAAGACGCGCTCCCAATCTCAATCATCCACTGTTTTGCATTGATGCCATTGAAGAGGGCATAGTTTCCGGTCCTCGTGCTGGGCTTTGGAAGGTGCTTACCTGACTCCAGTTCTCATTTGCTTACACTTAAGTTACAGCTGAAATGTGACAATAAACTGCATGTTTGATGTTGGCAGGAAGCTGAAGTGTTCCAAGGTCTTCTACATTCAGACATTTGCAAGAGCTTGGTCCACATCTTCTTTGCTCAACGTGGAACCACAAAGGTCAAATAAATTTTAACATTTATATAAACCAGTTGGACCTTGTTAGAGTTTGTCCCCCAACAATATAATTAGCGCATTCCAAACTAGTACATGGGAGTTTTAGGGGTCTCTACTCATTGCCGTAGGTTTTTGGGTTGGATGCTTTAACATGGTCTTGGAATTGGATGTTGGCAAGATGCTTATTTTGAATTTCATAGATATGGTATTTGTTCGCCCTAGAATGGTGCCACAAGTGCATCTTATTATGTCTCTAATTGTATCTTCTAATTCATCTGTCAACTTCTCCACGTCCGAGTAGGGGTCGCATGTGTGAGGGATGGAGTGTTAGATCTTGTTCCACATGAACATGATATGGCCTAGCAAACTAGTATTTGAGCCTTGTGAGCCGCTCCACTCATTGTCAATTGGGTTTGAGTTGGATGCTTTTTAGACCTAATTTTGAATATAGGTGGGAAAGGAATGGACAATAGGATCCTTCTTTAAGACTTGGTTACTTGTTTTGTTTTATCTATGACCATGGTTGTGCGGTAATGAATTTGTGAATGTTCCTTGAAACTTTAGGGATTTAATGCTTTGAGATATATTGCGCTGGACTTGACTTTAATAATCAATGTCAAACATCAACTCGGCTGTACACGATTTTGAATTTGGTTTGGTGTGGCTTACAAATGGAATTATTATTTTACATTTGGCGAAGCATAGAATCTGCTGGTTATTTACCTAATCTGTCTCAGTTCTAGTCAATTTTCTGTTTTGTGCTATCTTCTTGATGCTAATCTGTCTTATTTATATGACTTGTTTATGAGGCAGTTAACTAAGAAGCTCAATTCCTCTGCTAAACCAAACCACTTATGAAGTTCTTGTTGATGATGAATATAGGCAATCATGTCTGTGTGGAACCGAAGTCCACTATGAGTTAAACTACATATCTTCATTGTTTAATTCTGCTTTCTCTGTTTGTCCCTACACTGCAAACAGGTTCCTGGGGTTACCGACCTAGGTTTGGTACCAAGACGAATAAATAAGGTTGCTGTTCTTGGCGGAGGATTAATGGGCTCTGGGATTGCTACTGCCCTGGTTCTCAGCAATTATCCTGTGATATTGAAAGAAGTAAATGAGAAATTCCTACAGGCTGGGATTGGTAGAGTCAAAGGTGAGACCAGACTGTTGTTAGGATTTTGGCATTTAATCTAGTGTCTTATGGCAACGTTTCTGAAAGATGTTCCTTTTACTCAGCCAATTTGCAAAGCCGCATCAAGAAAGGGAAAATGACTCCAGAGAAATTTGAAAAAACCTTTTCTCTCCTCAAGGGTGTTCTCGACTATGAAAGCTTTAGAGATGTGGACATGGTCATAGAGGTATTATAGGACATGGTAGTTTAGCTCAACATGAGGTTTAATTTGTCTTTCTTCTTCCTCTGAAGTCTTATTGTTTCTAATGTTTTGAACAGGCGGTGATTGAGAATGTCTCTTTAAAGCAACAAATTTTTTCTGATCTTGAAAAATATTGTCCTCCACATTGCATACTTGCGAGTAACACTTCCACTATAGATTTAAACCTAATTGGTGAGAGGACTAGGTCTCATGATCGGATTATTGGAGCCCATTTTTTCAGGTAATCTGGTTTAGAGTTGTCATCGTTCTCCTTTTATTGTTTTTTCTTTATTCAATAATTAGTTTATGCTTATGATGCAGTCCGGCTCATGTCATGCCACTTTTGGAAATTGTACGTACACAAAAGACATCTTTCCAAGTAATAGTTGACTTGCTGGATGTCGGGAAAATGATAAAGAAAACGCCAGTCGTGGTTGGGAATTGCACTGGCTTTGCTGTCAACAGGATGTTCTTTCCTTACACTCAAGCCGCCCTTTTACTTGTAGAACGTGGTACAGATGTTTATCAGATTGACAAGGCAATTACCAAATTTGGAATGCCAATGGGTCCATTCAGGTACTCAAAATATTGCGACTTTGTTAGTTGATGCCCCGATCCCTTTGTAGCTTCGATATATGGTTCAATTTGTTTTACTGAGCTGACTTCATAATTTGATTCTTTCTTTTTACATGCAGATTGTGTGACCTAGTTGGTTTTGGAGTTGCAATTGCCACTGGGACGCAATTTATTATGAATTTTCCTGAAAGGACGTATAAGACGATGCTAATTCCAATCATGCAAGAAGATAAGAGAGCAGGTGTGATATATTTTTTTCCCAAATCTGTAAGAGTGCTGGTGATAAACCTCTTGCTTTATTTTTTGAAATGTGAGCTTAAATCACAAGGAGGTTCTTAAATTAACAACCTACTTGTATAGGTGAAACTACTCGCAAAGGATTCTATGTGTACAATGATAAACGCAAGGCTAGCCCAGATCCGGAGATTAAGAAATATATTGAGAAGGCAAGGAACATTTCTGGGGTTACCATTGACCTGAAGGTTGCTCTCTCTCTCTCTCTCTCTCTCTCTATGCATACTGCACACATATATATATACACATAGATATACACTATTTCTATATGTACATGTGTGGGTCTGCCTTCGGATTTTTACTAGTTTTGAGTTAGGATTGGTGTTCCACTTGTGTTACCTTGGCAAGGGATGCAGTATTGTACAATTGCTTTGTGTTATAATTTTGAATTTAGGACCCTTTTGTTCCAAACAATAAACTTCTAAGATTATATCCAACTTGCTCTCCCTTTCCTTCTCTCTTTAAAGTTTAAACCATGGGATTTTGAACTTGGATTCAGTTGACAAAATTATCAGACAAGGACATTATAGAGATGGTATTCTTCCCTGTTGTGAATGAGGCCTGCCGAGTACTTGCTGAAGGTATTGCAGTCAAAGCAGCTGATCTGGACATTTCTGCTGTCATGGGCATGGGGTTTCCGCCTTACAGGTTTGTGTTTTCTTCCAGTTGAAATGGCATTTCCTCCCAACCTCATTTTATTCTCACAATACTCTATTGGATACTCTTTGAACAGGGGAGGAATTATGTTCTGGGCGGATTCTCTTGGGTCGAAATATATTTATTCCAGATTGGCGGAGTGGTCAAATATGTATGGAGAATTCTTCAAGCCCTGCGCTTATTTAGCTGATAGAGCCACCAAGGGGACTCCTCTAGTGAGTATTCTAAAACCGATTCTCATTGATCATATAACTTATACCACAAATACTCTGATCTATGTTGATGTTTGATTGTGTTGCTTTTCTAATAATATTCATGCCTGTACATTGCAGAGTTCTCCTATGGAGCAAGCCAAATCTCGCCTATAAGATCGATATGTTGAATGCATTCTACATCCAATTTTTATCTCTCTCTCATGTATTCCCTGTCTTTTGCTTTCTTTCCCTTTTCTCTCTCAAATGCTGGGAAAAAAAAGCTCAAAAATTAGTCAAATAATGTATGATGTCGAGAATGTAGAAGGGCAGTGAAAATGCAAAAGAACGAACTTAGAGAATGCGAGAATAATACTTTGTTACAAAGTAGTAAGTCGTAGATAACATTTTCCCCCATTTGTTACAAACTAATAAACAAATTGTTTTGACTATAGTGGGATTAACACGATAATCTTTTTAACCTTTCACCCATTTGACTTGTTTATCATTAAAAATTTTGTGTAACTAATGAAAAAATATTCTTTGTTGATTAATTAACAAAATAACACAATAATATGGCATGTAGTGATGTCAATTTACATTAGAAAAGTATTTAAAACTATAAGAATAAACTTATCAAAAAATCAAATTTAAATGGTCTAATTATTAAATTGGATAAATTATTCAGATAAACAATTAAAATAATTATTAGTTTTGTATTATATTAATTTTAGTTAAAGAATGACAAATGGAATTGTCATATCTCACCAGAATAAGATCTGTTTATTAAGCGGGTTTATCTGTTTACCACTCGCACCTATTAAGTTATCATTCAAACTCGTTTAATTCTATATCTATATAATAAAATACAATACAATTCAAATTTTAAAAGATAAACAAAATGTCCTTTATTATTTACAGTTGAGATTTTTTAAAATTTTACTTTAAAATTAATCTAACGATTAATATTAACACTCTAAATTTAATATGAAAAGTAGGGTTTTAAGAGTGTGTTTGAAATGACTTTTTAAAAGTAATCTTAAGAATTATTTCTCATAGTACTTTAAAAAAAAAATAGTGTTTGAAACTGCCTCACTACTATCTCTAACACCACCACCCCCCACCGTTCCACCACCACCCTCACTGCCCCACTGCCACAACCACCACTATCGTCATCTTACTCTTATATTTATTATCATTATCACCATCATCTGTTATCCACCGTCAACACTCACAACCACTCATCGCCACCAGCCATTGTCACCTACTCCCACCACACCTACGACTACCAATCATCATCACTTGTTATCGCTCACCACTCCAGCCACCCATTCTCAACTACCTCCATCATGCTTACCATCGTTGTCATTCGTTATCACCCATGACATTGTCACTTAGAAGCACTCATCATCGCCCACCACCATCATCATCACTGTCCATCACCATTGTCGTCGTACTACCACCACTGTTGTCAACCACCATCACAGTCGTCCATCCACCACCACTGTCGTTGCCACCCACAATTGCCACTACTATCATCGTCATTCAAAATCCATTATCGCCATCACCATTGTCACCCACGACTGTTAGTACCACCATGATCATCGCCTTACCCACCACAACTATCACAGTCTCCCATCATCACCACAGTCGCCAACCACTACTATCACTGCTTACTCCCACTTAAAGTTCTTTATCTCTTTTTTATGTTTATGATTTGATTTTGAGTGTAAATACAAATATGTTGACATTTTTTTTATTATTTCGTACCTTCAAGTGCGAAAAATAATTAGTTAATTTATATCGATTGATTATGCATGTCACATTTTGACAGACTTAATTACTAGGCTACGAAGTTACAGTTTCATTTTCTTATATTTTCTTATATTGTATATCTAATTTTTTTGACTAACAAAAGTATATGATTTTTGGGTATTTTATTATTTTTCAATTAACAGTTATAGATAATTTAATTTAAAATATCTACTTGGGTACCGTACCTTTACCCATCAGGTTAGTATATGTTTGTCCTCAACAGTAGCTACACGCCTAAGAGAAAATACTGGGTGTAACCACCCGTCCTTGGGTTTCGACTTTATGTTTGTGGAAAAGAGTGAGCTCCTTGGAAGTCGCTACGGTAGATCTGATATTTGTAGGACCGCTCTCATGGCAAGTAATATGAAAGCGATGTTAGTCGTTGATTTAACAATTATTAATTTAATAGTCATTAGTTCGAAACTTGTCTTTTTTTTTCTATAATAATATTTGATCAAAAAAATAAAAATTTAAATAAGATCGTGCTGAACAATCATTTAACAAAAAAAAAAAAAAAAAAGATAATCCACTCTATGAGTCAAGAGGCCTAAGAATTGTGCTATGATAAATTAATTAAAATTATTTACAACAAATTAATGTTAAAAATAAAAATTACACTAAACACCCATATCAATATATAATTAAATAAAATAAAAAAATTATTTTTTAGTATTATATTATAACTTGTTAACCTGATTGCCATGAAAAAGGCTCGATAATACCATCTGATTTTGATCAAAAGACATCATTATTATCTCAGAGGAAGAATAGTTGAATAGCGAATTTTAAATTTATGAGAGTTTGAATCTTGATAATTTTTTTAAAATAGGTTATAAAAAATTTATCTTTGTGAATTCTCTATTTTTAGCATAGATGATATATTTTTTGATGTTGTACAAAATAGTCTCGTATAAGGCCAACAGTCGAGTATGTGATAATGTGTAATTAATGAGCAATAAACAAAGCAATCAATAACGGTAATATTAATATTGAGTCGATACACAGATATATAGTGATTCGGTACGAGTGACATTTTATTCTTAGAAATGACAACAGTGACTGAAAGATCTTTACTGATCAAGCGAGGTCAATAGGAGAGTGAACAGTGACTAACTCCAGAAGAAATACAATAGTTAGGAGAGAGAAACTATATAGAGAGGTATAGAGACAAAACTCAATGTATAATGAGATGCTTCTCTTAATGGAGAGAACTTACAATTTACAAGTATGGTGAGGCTGTAACGTGAGTGTGACGGTGTTAATTTTTTTAGAAGAATAGTTACAAAATGTAAGTATAATTAGGATAGTCTTAATCTTTGAGAGTGAATATCTCGATTATTTCTCTTTCACATGCTCTTAGTTTCCTGAACTCCTTGAAATTTGAACTGGTTGGTATTGATGAACTAGACTTGACCTGTATTTTTAGTGAATTTAAAATTATTTAATTTATTGGGTCTGACTTAATTAAATTTAGATTCATCATTTTTCACAAAACTAATATAAAAATAATTGATACGCGTATAAATTAATTCAAACCAAAGAAAAAAAAAAAAAGAGGATCGTCGTCGTCGTCGTCGTCATCAGTATATTAGGCGCTGCAACTGTAATATTTTCTTCTCCAAATAAAAAAGAAATAATTAAAGAGCAGCTGCAGGTCGGAGATGTGAGATTCTTTTTACAAGGCCAGGGTGTGGAGGAGATGAGAGACATAGGTGATAGGTGATAGAAACAATATTAATAGCGATAAACTACGGCTCATACCCATAAGAATGCATCAAATTCTTATTTGGTCTTTAAAATTTTAATTATAACAATCAATTTCTTAACTTTTAAATTAAATTCTAAATTAGTCGTTATAACTAAATTCATTAATTTGTTCTCACATATATGTGAGAGAGATGCATTTTTCACTATATATATAACTTCAAAAAGTAAGTCAAGTGATAATACAGACGAATTGTAAACTGAAATGTCCTGAATTCAAATTTTGACAACTATTTGGGACCAGATATGAAATATTTATCTCTTATGAATATCATAGTTCTAACGTGGATGACCTGTCTTTGACTGAATCAGAGAGGAAATTAGTCAAGGTGTGTGTAAGCTGGCTCCAACATCCCTAATTATTAAATAAAAAAAAAGTAAAAAAATATATATATATATATATTCATTTGAGCAAGTCATCTAAGGTAATTTTGTCGGAAAACATAACAAATTAATAGATATAGATAGAAAAACTGAATTGCAATTCAGTCAAAATTTTATGGATATAATTGTGATAATTAAAACTTTAGGGGCCAAATAAGAATTAGATGGATACTTTTAATAAGGGTATCAATTTTGGCTTGTCTTCTTCTTCATCTTAATTACATTAACTAGTCAGGCTTCCACGTGCATCTGGGGACTACCCCCGCCCCCCCCTCCCCCACACCATTCCTACTTCAATCCCATCTTTCCATTCATTTACATCCCTTTGACTCTCTCTCTCTCTCTCTCTCACACACACACACACACACACACACACACACACACACACACACACTACCCTCTCTGGTACTGCATAGAGCCATTTACAGGCATTGAAGGTTGTGACACAGGGTATGAAAGATCAACAACAACAGCAGCAGCAAGAAGAAGAAGAGCCCAGAGAAACTTAGTGATTTGGGTCATTGGATTTTGAAGTTTTTGGTGCAGAGAAATGGTGATGGAAGTGCTTCATGAAGACATGGGCGAAGGTAACATGCAATGTACAAACCACCCTTACAAGAACAACACCCCAGGTGGGATCTGTGCATTTTGCCTCCAAGAAAAGCTTGGAAAGCTGGTCTCATCCTCTTTCCCTATTGCCGTTTTCCCATCTTCTTCTTCCTCTTCATCTCCATCTTTCAGATCTGACTATGGCGGTGGCAACACTTCAACTCTGCCACCATCCAACCCACAAAGTGTTAGTCGCAACAATGGTGGTCTTTATCACGATCATTATTATCCGAGGAGGTCTCGGATACCTTTTTTGTTAACCCAGAGGAAGAAGAAAAACAAGGATGTTCCAATGACAGCTTCAGATCAGACGAGCATTGTTTTCAAGAGAAGCAAATCTACCACTACCCCTAGACGTGGTGTTCATTTCATGGAAGCTGATGAATCTGAAGACTCTAGTCCTCACCGGCGACGGTTTTGGTCATTTCTTTACCTGTCAAAGCATTCCACAAACAGGAAGACCGATGCATCACCGGCAACAATGAGCGCCATGGGAACATCTGCGAACGGTTCTTTTTCGCAGCAGAGACAGAGAGAGAAGAAGAAAGAAGAGTTTGTAGTGGTGGATGAGAACGAGAGTCCTAATGAGGCTTCGTTTGATCGGAAGGTTTCCAGATCTAGATCTGTTGGGTGTGGAAGCCGGAGCTTCTCCGGGGACTTCTTCGAGCGTATCTCAACTGGGTTTGGGGACTGCACTCTCCGGCGAGTCGAGTCACAAAGGGAAGGCAAACCGAAGGTGTCCTCTGTGAACCATGGTCGAACAGGTGGTGGGCAAGACTGTATCAAAGAGAGAGTCAAATGTGGTGGCATTTTCAGTGGCTTTATGATCCCCTCATCTTCCTCTTCTTCATCATCTTCGTCTTACTGGCTGTCGTCTTCCACTGAGGAGAATGTGTGTGGGAAAACACCTACAGTGTGTGTGTCTTCAAGGTCTGGACATCTTGCTCATGGAAGGAGTAAGAGTTGGGGATGGGCTTTTGCAAGTCCCATTAGAGCTTTCAGTAAGCCTTCTTCTGGGAAGAGAGAAGCTACAAATAAGAACACCACCCCCAACCTGGCTGCCATTCCTTCCTTGTTGGTTGCAGGAGGCTAAAAAGCTTACTTCTCTGATTAGCTAAAACTACACAGTTACATTCTTGTTTACTTGTGTCTATTACTCTCTCTCTCTCTCTCTCTCATGTTTGTCTCTGTTACATCAGTGTTGGTACAATTTTCTCTATTATGAAGTTCCTTCTTGCTTATTTGATTCTATTTATGATAAGGTCTATTGGTTTGGCTGCTGTGAAAAGTGCAATGGAGTATAGAAAGATCCATTTGTTAAGATCCAATGCTGAAATTGTTTTGAAGCTGATTGATGCAGCCACAATTGAGATGGATTGTGTATTTCACATACAGAATCTTGGAAGGGTGGTCCTTACCTCTCTGAAAGCTAATTTCTTGTTTATCCTTGCTTGAGGCAGTCTCTCTGTTACTTTAGGACCCCAGATTTAAAGTAACCCGAGTTGTGGAAGGTCATATGTACACAATCTTATGCATGATAGAGAGAGACAGTTACTGCGGGTCAAACTCAGTGATGCCAAATCACAATGGAATAACATTAGCGCTGTGCCAAGACCTGCTCTCTTGTTAGAGGAAACAAATTCTTGAGTTTATTTTCTGGATTTACTTACTTTGTAATTGGCAGCTGTACTGTTTATTTGTAAGTTCAATGGTCATATATGGCAAAAGATTGTGTTTTTTTATTCCATGATTGAGTTTGCATGCATATCTACAAAGCAATACTTGAATCTTTGATTGATGATATGATGTCTAACTTTTATGCATGAGCTTGCTGTGTCTTTTGAGCACAGCATTGTGGGTTAGACTTGGACCCCTTAATGTCTCCATTTAGGAGTCTCTCTAATTTCTTTGTATGATTTAAAAGTATCAGTTGTGGCTAATTTTACATGTGCAGGACCCATTGGAACAGCTAATCATTATTAGAAAAACAGATAAAAGTGGAGGAAGAAGAATCCTTCTCAAGTTTGAGTCAAATGGTGCACATGTTTGGTGGATGAGGACAAGATTAAATGGTTTAAATCAAGGATTATTTATTTCATGATCACAAAACTAATCAAGAAGACGGCATGATTTAGCGTTTGTATTTATGTTTTAGATCTAGGAGAGATGACTGATATTGGCACAACGGTAAAGTTTTTTGTCGGGTTTAAATTATGAAAACAATCTTTCTACTTGCAGAGGTAAGATTAAGTATGTCTAATCTTCTCTAGATCCGATAATAACCAGTGTCTCATGTACTGGATACGTTTTTTAGATCTAAGAGGAGAGTTATTAATGCAGATTAGCGGCTATAGCCTCCCTGTGGACACTAGCTGTCCCATTCTTCACAATTCTTTGCCCAGTATAACTTTGATTCCATTTATAGATGTTTTTTTTTAGTTGCAACGCTTTCCTCAGCTTTTAGCATGCAAATACATGTGCACACTGGGTGAGATTGGGATTCTTTTTTTGTCCACTTTCTCTTGGTGGCAAGTCAATTGTTGTATAAGTGCAGTAATCTATTATTGACTGAAGTTTAAGAAAATTATATTGGAAGAGATTTGGATGTAAGAGTGTAAGGTGGGGGAGGGGGGGGGGGGGTTGGGGGGAACTTCTTCTTGAGTTTGGCGGGTACGATTACAGTATTAAAGGAGGTATGATATCGAAAATTATAATTGAATAAGGGATAGTTATCGTTTGAGTCAAGGCAAATAAAAAAGAGATTGGAATCGGTCTAAAAAGACTGAAATCGATCTTGAACATGACCTCATTTTGAAGTAACCGCAGTAGATTGAGTTGCAAATTTGACATTACTTCTAATAATTTTAGCATCCTATTGAAAAATAAGTTGAGGCACCTCCACTGATAGTGGCTAATAGTATAGTTGGCAAACCAACATCTGAGTCTTGGAAAAATAATTCCTTTGTACCTTGGTGTTTACACCTCAGGTCCATCAACACCAAACACAAATTTTGGGTTTCAATGCCCACCCTGAAAAGTAGAGACCAATTATATCTCTCCAAAGACACTGTTACACACTGTACTTCTCAAAAAAAATAAAATTTGATTAACAGTCAAAGATGTCTGGGCCAGTTTATGCGTAACTCGACTAATCCCTTATTGATCCGATCCGATCAAGGACATGTCATTCATATGGGGGCTAGAGTATTCATGAAAAATAGATAAATTTCTCATGATTTGATCGCAAAAGTTACCAAGATTCCAACTATCAATTTTACTGGCTAACAAAATTGGAACAGAAGTAGAATGAGTGTACACACTCAATTATTTCTGTCCTCTTTTTTCACATGTACCTCTGCATATAAGAGACTGCATTTTACCAGTTGGCTGCACTTAGGAGAAAAGTCCAAATGAAAGTGGCATCCAACAGGCATGGCAATAAAGAAGCCTGGGATGGTCCTGTAGCATTTGGACCATAAGGAACCTCCCATTGATGGTAGGTTTATCATGGGTTCGAGTTCTCTATCCTCTTCTCTCAAGTTCTTATATAGTACACAAAGCTCCAATGTATAGAACAGTATAACACCGTTAAGTAATAGTAAGTTTTATCTCGAGTTTCTTATCCTCTTCTTTCAAGTTGAGTATAGAAGAATCTAAGAGATATAAGTAATTGGCAGTTTTGTGAAAGGGGTCAATTTTCAAAGTTGAACCTGTCACGTATCGTTTAAAGATTCATGGCAGGTTCATTGTAAGAGAGATAAGTGGATGGTTGAGAAGATGACAAGCTAAATTAAGATTAGTCTAGTGTAACTAGACCAGTACAAATCATGAAAATGGTGATGGCGACAAATCATGGCATAGAGGACACAAATGCAAAAAGACATGGAGAAAGGCTGTCTTGGGAAATACTGGTATTGGAGAAGCAGATCATGATCTAATGGGACTCAAAAAGACCTGTACCTTTTAGATCCCCACATGTCTTAGATTTGGCCAAAACACTTTTTGGTTAGATATTCAGGGCCCTGTAGAGGTGGGGATACTTTCTGCCGAACTTTGAGATAGTGAAATTAAAGTACTATTGATTAGGGCTCCCTGTTAGGTTGAAAGCCAAAGAAGATTGATCATGGACCTTATGTCTTTTTATTGTCACTGTTTAAGCTACTAGTCTTCCTATCTTAGCTGAAGAAATGGAATCTATAGTGCATAAGTGACAAGTTTTAGGGACCCATGTACCTTTTAAAGTAATTTTCACTATGGTATGTTTTTTAACCAATAACAGTTCTAACCACAAGTCCATAACTAGCAAAGTATGCACATCGGCTTATCATTGATATCTTTTGCGAGACTAAAATTGGGTTTTCAAAGGACAACATACATAGTGCACGAGTGATTTCTTGTAATAGTTTGAGATAGAAACTCCTACCTGAACTTGTAATGAGATTCTTGAAATAAAGAACGAAGTCAAAAAAAGGCTGGATGTGTATCCGATTTATTCCCTACGATGTTGAAGTCAATCGGAGCTCAGGGGTGAGAAGATGTGAGTACTATGCAATTCTAGTTTAGCACGCATACCTAAGTTTTACTTCATTGGGTTTTTTATACCTTCAAAGATGATGACTTAACAATCATGTGAGTACACCAAACTTAGGCCGACAACCTACAACCGAAATCCCTCCTTGAGGGTTGTCACATCAACAAATCTTTCGCCTTCAAGCCGCGCATTAATGCGCGGCTGCCATGCCTCATCAATGCTTAGCAATAGGGAGTACTCATAACTTCAATACTCGGGAGGCCGAGTATTTATTATTGTTTGTTCATCACTTATTAAGTTATCTCGAACATCAAGTGCTTTGTGCCGAACATTTATAACCCTTTGCCCGAGCATTCAATTTGATGTTCCCACGGGTTGTCCACGTTAGCAAGGGTCATACATTCTTCCGTTATTCCAGGAATTTGGTGTTGGACCTAAGTTAGTGTGACATGATAATGACAGCTTATCACTTCAACACATTCTATACGAGGCGAACCTCGTAAGAGAAGTTAATACTCGGTCTCACTTGTGAAAACATTCTTTTCCACATCAAGTATATCTCCTCGGCCTTGGAGGTGTTAGACAGATGATCTCGATCTATGGCTGACAATCCTATGTCATGCACCAATTCATGACTAGCGAGTTGCCCACGTCCCGTCAACTACCCCTCGACTTTGATTTTCTCGCATCATGTGCCATGTGACGTGAAAGGGGGATTGAGCACACGCCACCACTTTGGGGGCCATTACACACGTTTGCCACCAATTTTTGATTGCATTAAATGCTTCAATCTCCTTGGTAACCGCTCCCACGATGAGTACTATAAAGAGGTGATACCTTGGTTTCGAAACTCTTCAGATCACTCACTCATTCAAGCTCATTCATCTCCTAAGAAGTTCTTCACTAAGGATAGAGATTGAACGCTAACTTTCTCTAAGTACGCTCAACCCTTCATCTTTCCCACCATTTTCTGTTTCTTGTTCGCCTTCCTCTTGTGAATATCAATGGCCATAACTAGTAGAGTAAACATGCCAAGGGTTGTTCACAAACTTAAGAAAGACGACAGACTTAGAAAAACTCTGGTGACTGAAGCCTTTTTAGATAACTTCAATTGCACTTATCAATTCCCAGATGATGTAAATACAATAGTCTTTGACCCAAGGTGGCATAGGGAGGACATATGATTCCCTGAGTTCATGCCCTTCTACACCAAGGTCATCATGGAAGGAGGGGGCCAGGTACTCCTTTGCTATTTTGCTTTTGAGGTTCCTTATGCATTTTAGGCTCTTCCTCAGGCAATGTTGTGTGAACCACTTTAGGATAATAATGAGCATAGTCGCCATGGATTCTCTACTCGGGATCGGTCTTGGAGTAGATGAGATCTTTTTCTGTTACGATATGAAGCTTGTCAGTAACAAAAAGTACTACCTCAAAGCTTGAGATCTCATAATGTATTTGGTGACCCACATACCTGACTCTGAAAAAGGAAACACCTGAGGCCTCATCATGGGAGGCAAATGAAAGAAGGGTGATGGACCCGAGTACAAAGGCTTCTACTGCCCCAAGGAGATGAGGGAGTCAGGTGCATGGGTTTTCTCTATGTTGTCTAGCTTGCTTGGCGAATGCTTATGTGCTAACTTTAATTCTTGTTTTATGCATAGGAGGGGTACAAGAGGGAAGCCGATCAATTGTTGAGGTCCAGAGTTGCGTTCGAGGACATTTTCAGAGTCTAGAAATTACCAGCAAAAAGACGGTCTTGCTCGAGCTACTAGGATACAAACCAGGATACACACGTCTCTCAAGTCCCAAACACTTTTGACCCTTCCATCTGGTTTGAAAAGTTCTCAGGAGAAGAAGAATACGAAGAGGCCAACCTAGAGGACGACCCTGACCGAGACTCCAACGCCACTCCCACTGCTTCAACATAATCAGACATGTTCTGAATGCCGAGGATCACGGTCAACATCCTAGAAGTTGAAGTTATCGCCCGACTATTTACTCTTGCAAGACCTGGAGGTACTTCCCGAGCTTCTATAATCCCTTCTTCTGAATAGCCGCAAGAACCCTACCAACAGCAACCACCGCCACCGCCGCAAATTATGCCTCCCCAAGATCAATCTAAAAACTCTTGGCATGATCCACGCCAATGCTGAGAAGACAATCCCACCCATGAGCGAAGGTTTAAGCTCCACCGCAACTTTAGAGTCCTTCCAGCCCAATGATCGAGAGTTCCCTAGCCCTAGCCTCCGTCTGCTGCCTCCTAACAGATCGAACATGCAAAAGAATGAAACCCGAGGAGGGTCACCCGAAAGGACAAGGCTGTGCTGATCACCGATTTCATCATCAATTCGCTCGACATTGTCTTGGCAGTCAACGGTGCCTTACATTTTGACGCCAACATGACCTCCACCGCGTTCAATCTAACAACATACATAGTGCACACGTGATTTCCTGTAATAGTTTAAGATAACAACTCTTAGCTGAACTTGTAATGCGAAGAACTGGTAATGTGATTCCTAAAACAAGGAACGAAGTCATAAAGGGATTGAATGTGTATCTGGCTTATCGCCTCATATGCTTAATTCAATCGGCGCTTAAGGGTGAAAGGATGCGAGTACTATACAATTCTAGTTTAGCATACATACATGAGTTCTACCTCATTAGACTATTTATACTTTTAAAGTTGATGACATGACAACCACTTGAGTACAGCGAGCCTAAGCTTGACAACCGTCAGCTGAAATCCCTCCTTGAGAGTTATCATATCAGCTTTGCCATCAAGCCATGCAATAAGCACGCTTTGTCATGCCTCATCAATCTTTGGCAATGAGAAGTAATCATGACTTCAATACTTGAAAGGTCGAGCATTTATTATTGTTCGTTCCTCACTCATTAAGTCATCCCGAACATCAAGTGTTTTGTGTCGAACATCATGGTCCTATGTCGAGCATTTATAACCCTTTGCCCGAGTATTCAATTTGATGTTAGTGTGGGTTATCCATGTCAACAAGGACTATGTCTTTTTTCGTTATTCCAAAAATTTGTGATAGACCCCAAGTCGGTGTGACAAGATAATGATAATCTGTCCCATCATCATGTTCTACAGAAAGTGCACTTCCCGAGAGAAGTTAATGCCCGGGCTCACCCGTGAACACGTCCTTTTCCTCATCAAATATATCTCCATAGTTTTGTAAGCGTTGGTCAGTCGATCTCGATCTATGGTAGCTCTGGTAGCCCGGAGGACACGCTTATTGGCAATTCTATGCCACGCATCAATTCATGACTGGCCTGTGTCCATCCCATAGCTAGCTTAAACTTCAACTTGGAATTGGAGGAATTACTAATCGTTACACACGAGTGACAATGAAATAACTTTGCCGTTAGCCCATCTTCAATTTTGTGAGAGAGTGGTCCTAAGCTATCCGCTATTTGTTCATTCACTTCTCTGCTATCTACATAATCAGATTTTCCAACTGACCTCTACATCATGACTTCCAACTTGTTATAGAATTCTTGAGTATTGTTGACTCGTGAATCAAAAGTAAAACCTGACTCACAGCACCCCCACCCCTAGTCTCTCCCAAAAATTGAAAATCTAGAACTGCTCTGCAAATATACAGTGACCAAACAATTGGTCAATTATTCATATTGTACCATTCCAGTCTGTAGCACCAAAAGATTTCTCTGAGAGGCTCAGAGCTATAATCTATGCAAGTTCAGAGTACCACTGACCTGGATTTTGTACCAACACGTGAGTAAATGACAATTGCCATTCTCTGAAAAGGGTTTTACAAAATGTGCTGGTACAGGAACTGCATTGATCCTTCTTTGGAAACCAAGACAAGAATAAATGATAGTTCCATTTTTCTGTTGAGGGTTTAAATTGAAGAAGTGTTGGCGTGGGCACTGTATTGATTCTTATTCAACAGCCTTGGGTCCTCAGCAATTAAAATGAGCAGCTTTACAGGCTGGGATTATTGATGAAACAATCGAATGGTAGGTCAATGAAGATTATATCTCTTACCTTAGTAACTGTAAATTAAAAACTCATGTCCTTGTGTAGTGGTTAAACTAATGTTACTTCATACAAGAGTTAGGTCAAAGTGACCCGATAGGGGCTTGTGCCTATATACAGAAGTAGCTTAGGAGATGCCTCTCATCAAAAAATTGATACTCAATGGACAAGGCTTTTGCTTATAACGGGTCTAGGAGAGAAAAGTCGTAGGCAGACCAATTTTGGAGAGACTGATTCTGCATTCGCACTTGCATTGCTTCTCTTGGAGAATGACCAATTGTCACCATTTGAGGTCCAATTTCTTCTCGTCAAAAAGGTACATTAGAGGTAGAGGAAGAGAAAAAGGGGAAGACAAACTCAAGGAGAATAGTTGTGATTCAAAGGGAGGGAGTGACCACTGGGATGATCCAATGGAATACTGACTGAACTTCTCATTTTGAAGTTGAAAGTTTGAATTTTAGAGTTCACATTGAAGCTCGGTGGTTAACTACTATACTAATCTACCTAGGTTCGTTCTTGAGAAGAATAATGAGCACGGTCATGGACCTCAAGAACCCACCAATGAGGGTCTATCGAGGTGGTCTCTGGGTGCTCTCTTTGTCTCCACTCTTTTTTTGATCAACCAAACAAAAAAAGAAAAGAGTTCAGCCTAGGTCAGTAAAAAGCCACCCGCGAGGACTCCACAATTAAAATTGTCAAAAGGATTGCAAATCAATCTTTTTTGAGTTGTAACTTAAAGGAGATCGGTCCTTTCAAGGACATCCGATAAAATTAAAACGATATAGAAACGATTAGCATGATCTCTACGCAAGAATAACATGCACAATTCAAGAAATGGTTCAAATTTTTTACTTGCCAAAAAAAACTTAAGGAGATTAAATTTATGTAGGCTATCCAATAATACATGAATCTTTTAAACAGGATACAAATTGGAATGATGAATCTTAATCACTGAATTATCTTAAAAGAGATTGAAGTAAAATCAAACTCATGCGATACCTTGACCCATTGGCGAACCCTACATAGAGAAAATTGACCACCTCGTCTGGGAAAACAAAGCCCCTGTCATGGATCAACATTGAGAAATACAGCCACAAAACAAAAACGAGGAAAAACAAGAATGAAAACAAAAGAAGAGAAGAAGAAGAGAACAAGGGTATGTTAGCACCAATCCTGCCAAGAATATCCAGCCACGCCGGCTTGCGGATAGGCAGTCTTATCACACACACACACACACATTGTTTTTTGGTCAGATGTGTTTCAAAGTTGAGATGCCCCATTCTCCATGTATCTGCAAAAAATTTTAACAACGAAACAAAAGTATTGTAAAATCCTAGCAACCGTAAATTGTCAACTGAATTGCTTTTGATAACATGTTCAGATGCTAGCTGAATAAAATTGTAAAAAATTGAAGAGAGTGGAATTCTCCGAAGTCATCAAGAAGGTGGCATGTTTCACTCTACTATCCCAGGAGCAGAGTTCTCCAAATCAATGTCTCCCATTCCTTCATCTTCCTCCTCTTCACTGTCATCATCACCACTAATCTCCCCGTTATCATGACCTAGCTTAGCCATCTGCTCAGCGAGGAGTTTATCCTCCCGTTCACTAATCTGCATTCATGCATCCAATATTAAAGATACAAGGTAGTCAAATGTATTGTACAAGGAAAAAAACTAAACAAATACCTGGAATTTCAAATAATACCAATGAAATTCTCAAGTCCCAAAAAACAAAGAACTGATAAATTTACAGCTAACAAGAAAACAAATGGCAGAATCAACTTGGAAATAAAATAAAATAAATGATGCTCACTGCTCGGGGTGCCTCCTTAACAGTAAGTTTCCCCTTGTGGCGCTCAATTTCTTCATTGCAAGCTGCAATTGCTTTGTTAAGAATCGCTATCCCATGTTCCTGCCCAATTACGACAAAGAGCAATTTTTTTTTTTCAGAAAATACTTAACTTTTGCAGCTTCATATAAATTTATGAAGTAAGCAACTGAAATGATCCACAGTCACAGCCCCTTGACATAAAGCTGGCAAACACATTATCTGTCTTCGTAGAATAGCCTAATATCATAATGAAATGCCATGCAGAAGTGTGTAATAAAGAACTGGTTACACACCCTCTAAACAAAAGGAAATAACATGAGCATGAGTATGATTAAATCTTGATAAGTGCACTAAATAGGAGGCCATTTGGGCTAGAATACAAAGATCAAGCAGTTAAATCAACAACATACTTCCTGACAGAAAAAGAAAAAAAAGCCTGCTTAAATGTAGAGGCTTTGCAGAGGATAATACAATATATTTTGGACATATTAAGTTGAGCAACCCACTATTAAAATATAGGAAACCAAGTTCATCCAATTAAAGACCTTTTTTTGAGGAAAGATAAGTTAAGTAACCGACCATTTCAATAAAGGTAACTAGGATTAAAATAAGTAACACTTTATGTGAGGATCTTCACTTACCTTGTCAAGAGTCTGAGTGTTGAGTACATATGATGGAGGACCGACCAATGTCATTTTCACTGGACAGTCATTATTGCCAGCAGCTTCAGCTTTCCGCATTGCTTCCTGCAGAAACATCAGAGATAATAAGAAGTTTAAAACTAGGCACAGTAGCTAAAAGAAGCTTCTACGATATAATTACCACAAGTAGAAGCAACAGACTAATCTTAGGAAATATAGAGATTTAAAGGAAGGGTGAAAATGAGACCTTAATGTGAAGAATACCATCCAACTGGAAACATTTCATCTCAATATCGGCCCGAATCTTCAATGGTTGTGGGGTCATCCGCCTTTTAATGTTTTTAACTAATCCATCTTTAACTTCCTCTGACATTGCAGGAACCACCTTAGTCACCTGCAAAATGATGAGATCCTGTATCAACAATGGGACTAAGGTGGCCCAAAGACCTTATTAGAACAGAGATTACCTCCTGTCCATCTGGACCAATTTCTTTTACTTCACGGGTGAGGGAATCAAGAATCGCACCAGGATCACTGACAATTAACTTGAATGCCTGTACCACCAAAATAAAAAAAGAGAGATACAATTGCTAGTTCAGAAGAAACTAATACTTTCGAGAACTTCTACGCAATCTCACCTCAAAAGCATGACCGTATTTTCGGTATAAAGGCCATCCAACATGAATATAGAGATCCTGTAGTAAATAACTTTCTTTTAGAAACAGCACATAGTGAGAATAAAATACCAAAAGGTTCGAACTACTAATTCATATAAACATTGACTATTCATCACTACATAATAGGAATTTTCTGTAAGCCACACAACAAGAAAACTAAAATATCCACACAAAAAAAACATCTTTCTTTTAAGTAAATAATAGAAAGAATATGTTAATTTCTATAACCTGCTGAATTCTACTCAATGTAGGAAAATGAAGGAGACGAAGAAATAGAGAAAAAAAAAATCAAATTCAGAAAAAATAGAACTCCCAATAAAGCTGTAAGTAGGATGTTTATGGAAAATTGATTCAGCAATCGGCAACAGTTCAAGGATAGTACTAGAAACATCTATATCCAGTCGGAAACTCATTGGTAGTACCTTTGAAATCCAACGGAAGCCACCTCAACTATAAGCCCTCAACAACACAGATTGGGATTCCTATAACTAAATCCCTTCAGTTTTCTATATCACCACCATGAATTCAAGTTGGATCACCACCACCGAGTGGGGTGGTCCACTACTGTACGACCAAACTTCTAGTTGGAGGCTTGAGTCCCGGTGGTTAATCGCTATATTACTCTAACTACATTTATTTTCGGGCGCAGTCAGGGCTTCATGATCCCACCAGGCGTATTGGGTGGTCACTGTAGCTCTCTCTTACCCCACCCCTTTTTTCCAAAAAAAAATAAAAAATAGGCTCCCCACTACATTGTGTGATAATTTAGCACCAACGAAATTGAAGAAAACTAATGATTTTCTAGGCATCTGGATCCCAACAAAACCACCTAAACGACAAACATAGCCCCTGTAAACAGATAAAAAAATTACCTCGAGATCGATATCTATAGTCTCGGCAACATGTCGCATTATGGAATGAACATTCTTGCTCTTGTTATACCTTTCCTCACAAGCCCCAGCATCCTCTTCGGAGACTCTTCTCTTGCTGAGATTGACATAGCCTTTGTCTTCGTCGACGTGTAGGACCATGACGGGCTCGATGCGGCCGATCTTGACGAGACTAGCGATGCTACGTATTCGCCGGCGAGAGAGCTCAGTGAATGACAGCATGCCCTCAATGTTGTTGTACTCGAGGAGTGAAACGTACGCGCACACATCGGGGTTGATGCTCTTCACCTGTATCATCACTGGCGTGTCCACCTTTGGAAACTTCGCTTCGTACATGCGACAATCGAGGTTCGATGTCTTGGTCGCCATGATCGGGATTCAATCTAGGGTTAGGGTTAGGGTTAGGGTTAGGGTTAGGGTTTAGAGATCTGAGGAAGGGTTTAAAGAAGGTTCTGCGATGCGATTCCGTTACAATTGAAAGCCGTAGAAAGCGGTTTCCAAATACAGGGCGCGAAAGGGCACTGGGAATCAAGACGACGTCGTTTGAGGAATATTTCTTACTCCGTCGATTTTGTGTTGGATATGCTCGTTCTCAGGGCCGGCCCAATAGCTTGGCTGGTAACGCCTGAGCTTTGGGCCACAATTTAAGAATGCCCAAAATTTTTTTAAATAGGGTAATTTAAAAGTCGATACAAAAAATTAAATTTATTTAAACTAAATTACATTGAGAAAACTTATTTGGCTCTATGTATTTTTTTCAAAAAAAATAGTAAAAAAGTATTTATTACTCTATTATTTTCTCTCATTCTCTCTCTCCATTACTCTTTCACTTTCTCTTCCCTATTTTCTCTCTATCTCTTTCTCTTTCTCTATTTCTCTTATAATGATAAAAAAAATTTAAATATGTAAAGATTTTGTTTAATTTTTTCATGTCTCTCTCTCTCCCTCTTCTCTTATTTTCTTTTTCTCTCTCATTATATCAACGTTATATAACATAATTACACTAATCAGTTACACCAATTAGTTATAATTATCATATAATACACTAAACAGTTATTGATGTGTTCTAATAAATCAAACAGTTACATTAAACAATTATATGAAATTACAACACTAACCCAATTTATCATTTAATTATTTACATAAATCAAAGAGTTACACTATTTAGTATCATTGTTACACCAATTATATATATCAAATTGGGTTTATCATTACACAAAATACTTTACCATTATACTAAATTTGGTTATAAGTTTGTGTAATTGTTTGGTTTATTAGAACGCGTGAATAATTGTTTGATGTATTATAAGATAATTGCAATTGATTGGTATAACTAATTAGTGTAATTGTGTTGTTGTAATGTTGATATAAATAGAGAGAGAATGAGAATTGGTTAGAGAGAAAATGGGGGAGAGAGAGAGAGAGAATAGGAGAGCGATATGAAAAAATAAATCAAAATTTACATATTTGAAAAGAAAATAAATTATCAATGATAGATATAAAGAGAAAATATAGGAGAGATGGAGAGATAATGAGAGAGTTCAATGAAATCTTTACATATTTGATTAAATATATAACTGCCAATCAAAAAATACATAATTTAAAGGAGAGTATTTAGGTAAAACAATTTGATTCCATTTGAATTTTATACTTAAACACAATATATTTTACTAAAATTAAACTTAATAGAATGGACAATTTATCCATATCTTTTTTCTCAAATAAGTTTAAAAAATTGTACTCACGACAAAAAAACCCTTTAAAATAGAGAAAAAATTATCTGGGTACATTTTTTAAGACTTAGTTGACAGAAAGTTCACCGATAAGAATTTACTTATACATAAATTTTTTATTATTAGGTGTACAATTTAGTTTACTATTTTTTATATTACTTAATTACTCTTCCTTAAATAATGTATAATTGATTGACAATTTATTCTTTTCAAATATGTAAAAATTTGATTTAATTTTATAATTTATTTAAATTTTGAACATTTATTCTTATTCTTTCATTATCTCTTTTCCTATTTTTTCTCACCATTACTCTATTTTTTCTCTCTCTTATTTTTTTTCTCATATCTCATTTATAATTTATTTTCTTTTCAAATATGTAAAGATTTAATTTAATTTATTAATTCGTTTAAATTTTAAACATTTATTCTTAAATCAATTCACAATATATTCTTCAACTCTTGCCTTCAAACATTGTTAGTTTCTATATTTTTTAGTTGTAAACTTTTTGATTCGATTCCAAACGTTGCTTTCTGATTCGATTTCAAATGTTACTTTCTCCAGAGATATACCTCATAGGTACAAGTTGCACCGATTATTCACTGCACACAGTGATTGCAAAAGAGACACAACAAAGATATACAGCTAATAGATGCACCAAAGAGAAATACTAAAATAATGTATGTTTTTTTCAACCTTCGTTTTCTTCTTCCTAACTCAAATTCAAATTTTTTTTTTATTCAGAACTCTTAGTCGAGTTGACAGCGAGATCTCTTTTTTGTTTGAGGTTCAAGAGGAATCACCACCCATTGGTGTTTGTAGTTAATACATTGGTATTCACCTTTGAGTTAGGGTGATCTTAAATTTGTAACACTACTGATATCATTTATTCGACATAGGAAAATACTATTTGAATATAATTTATTAACTTTATTTATTGACTTAATGTAGCATAATTCATTGAATTAATACAAATAATCATTGAATTTATTGACCTTAATTATTGACTTAATACAACATAATCATAATCATTGAACATGATCTTCGTTCACCCGATTTTCAGATGCTCAAGTTTAACCTCCAGCTATTCGAAAATTAAGTGGTACCATACCAATGATCGTCGTCGATTGTATATGTTGTCGTAATTGGACCCTTGACCTACAGATCAATTATGTATGATATCCAGGCAAAATAAGCATTGACAGTCACGATAAATAGCTCAGATACAATCAAATACCTACTACTTTGCCAAAAAGGTGACCTAAAATGGCATAGTATGGTCTACAACACCTTGTTGAACAAACAAAAACAAAAGATGATCAATCCTACTCGTGTGTTTCTGGACATGGGAAATAAAACTCAGGTATAGGTAAGGAATGTAATACAACTGCAGCAAACCATAAAAGAAACACAAAGGCCAACTACTGCCAGGGATGTAATTGTCTTGATTTATGGAACAGCCAGAAGCTCACTGATTCGAGTACAACTCAATATCCAACATGCACCTAAAGAATCAGCACAAGGTAGAAAGCAATACCAAATGTTAAAGAGAAATGCATAAAAAGAATCTCGAAAATAAGAGTATCCGAAACTGCAAACCGTTTTTTCTCCTCCACCGGACAAAAATTGTTCCAAGCAGCTCTCTGCCTTCCCACATCGATTCGCGAGTTTTGTATTGTTCTACTAGTTTTTTTTGTTCCTTTTAAGTAAGAGTCTTGTTCACTTAGATGGGGCAGGGTGGGACCTCAAGTGTAGTACCAGCTTGAATCTGGCCCCAACCAATAAGACGCCAGTGTTTCTCAACTCTCCGGCTGAGCGCAATTTTCTCCCCCTTGCTAGTGCAGACAGGAGATGTGAGTTGCAGTTTAGCCAAATCATTCTTCACAGCAACAACACGTGCCCCTGTGGACATAGATCCTATGTTCAACATAAGGATCTCTCCCTTTGCCAGCTTTGCGACCTTTCCCTGCCTCTCTGTCCCCTTTGTCCTCACACCCAAAAGCCGTCGCAGCAAGAAGAAATTCACCTGCATTAACGGTGGAAATGTTAAGCACTAACAGTTGTTTGTCTAGCACCTGACAGTGATATACTGAGCGCTTCCCTTATTGTATCCCAAAGCATATGAAGGAAAAGTAAAACGATAAAATTGTTGTCATCGCACCTGAGCTAGTGACCAAGAAAAAGAGCAAGCTAAAGAATGAGTAAAAGGAAGAAGTTTTTTTTTCTTGGCCCAGACCCTTACCTCTAATTCAACAAAAACATCAGGGAGTGACCCAACCTCCCCAAGAACCTGTCCCACCAACCGATCAGCACGTGTCAAAGTGGGGTCCATGGTTGTGCCAACGCCTATTAGGCCTCCTGGCACCGCATATTGTAATTCATTTTGTTCAGCATACAATGAAACTATTCTAGAATAGATTGGGGTGCATTTGATGTTGCCACTCTCGTCTTTAACAACGATCCCAGGACGAACCTCAATGTATTGATTTACCTTCAATACACCCTGCACAGAACAGAAAGTGAAATAACAAACAAACAATTGTTTATTCATAATGCCTGGTTTATAAAAATGTCTGCCACAAACTGCAGCCTGTTTCATTATTAATTATAAAGCATCAAAAGTACAAACCCATTAATACAAGAGCAGGTAGAGTCTATCTTTCATTATCTCTAAGAGAAAGAATTTGATCTTCGAATAATTTAGGTATTAGACTATAGAAAGAACCAAGATGAGTTGATAAAGCCACAAATGAGCTAGGAAATATCTTGTCCACTGTGGACCACTAATTCAGGCATTTTTTGGTATCTGAATTACAGTAACAGTATCATGACAGGCAAGCCACAGGTGAAAATGAATGACGCATTTTTTGCTCTACAATGCAGCATGTACAGTAAGTTCCACTGCATGTGTTTTAGGGAAACAGAATATACCTTGAGGATGCTTCCACCGGCAACACCACCTCGTATCTCATCAACCTCAAACCCAGGTTTATTCACATCAAAAGAGCGGATTACAATCATATTTGGTGGTGAAATAAAGTTTCTCTCAGGAATGGGGATCTTTTTCACAATATATTCACACACAACGTCAATATTATACTTGAGCTGTGCTGAGACTGGTACCACTGGTGCACCATCAGCAACAGTTCCCTGAGAGAAGTTTTGAAATACTGATTAGCATGATTAGAATTCTTGGAGAGATTTTTGGTCAGCATAAAAAGGACCAAGGCAACTAACTTGAATAAATTTCTGAATTGCTTCATGCTGGTTGATGGCTATGTTTTCCTGAATTAGATCAACCTTGTTTTGAAGAATTATTATATGTTGGAGACGCATTATCTCAACAGCAGCCAAGTGCTCAGAAGTTTGAGGCTGGGGACAACTTTCATTGGCCGCTATAAGAAGCAATGCTCCATCCATTATTGCTGCTCCATTAAGCATTGTAGCCATGAGAATATCATGACCCTGCAGCAGACAATGATGACAAAGAAACAATTAACACGTGGAAAAATAAAATAAATTAACTCTGATGGACAGCATACAGAAAAGCTATATTTCATATGCTACACAACTTCTTATTCTTAATTTACAGATAGCTTGAGAAGTTTTGGAAGAACTACCTTTGCATACATTCAGCGTTAAGCAGGTGAAAAAATATTAAAACTACAGCTGAAATGATTGAGATTCATTAGCAGCAAGACAAGTACAGAAAGATTAAAAACACAAATGCACTTCTAAACAGCTAGAGGCAGCATCATTTGAGCACAATAGGAAAAAGTCATCCAGGGTGATCTTATAATGTCCATTGGAGACTGACAATCAAAACCCGGAGGAGGACAATGAGCAGTTTGTTAAAGTTGAATACATCACAAGGCTTTAAGACTAAGGAAGCCAAAAAATGAAGCTTAGATGTAGGAAAAAGGAGCATACTACTATAGGAAATTGATATGGCCTCGGAGCACCCAGATTACAAGAATAGTTGAGGTTCACTATTTCCAAAAAGGTAAGATAAAATGTATTTGCAAAATATATGTGTGTGTGTGTGTGTATACATATATAGATACATATAAATATATATACACACAAACACACACATATATAGATACATATACATACACACACACACAAACACACGCACACACACACACACATATATATATAGAGAGAGAGTATAGACACAAGGCATCAAATAAGCATGCCAAGAGCTGTATGGCATAAAAGCAGGGGCAACAAATGCCATTAAATGACAATCTAGAATCTCACAAAATGTCTGAACAACCACACCGGATTAACATATAAGACAATGCCAATAATGGACATACAAGCCCTTAATTACTGTTACTCAATACATACAAGCAAACAGGCATAAGCACAGCCGAACATGTACACATACAACCTAGCAGCTTAAACCAGGTTGATTACAAAGCATCACAGAAGACCACTCCAGTTTCGACAAGAATATGAATAGTTGTTTGTTGTTGAAGTATGAATAAGCAATGTTGTTAGTTGTTGTTGAAGTATGAATAGTTGTTAGTTATTCTTGCCAATGAATAGTTGTTTGTTGTTGAAGTATGAATAAGCAATATGTGATGCTTCATATGTTGATGTGTTTGAGATTAGTTAATTTAGAAAGGTTTTTGGAAGTGTTAAGTGTATTACCACACTGTTTTTTAAAAAAGTGTGTGCCACCAGTAAGATTTCCCTCTGTGATGTTAATTTAGTTGACTTTTGCCGATAATCCAGGGAACTTTTAGTGTTGCCTTCCTTGTTTTTCTATTCCATTTGGTATTTCAGCAGTATTAGATGCCTAACAAGAGAAAAAGTGCGTTCTGATGGCCCTGGAGATTGAAAAGCAAACGTTGTGCATGCCATCTTCAGCTAAAAGACTTTCTTCATGTGTGCCATGGGTGTCAAATAGCTTTGGTTTTCTATTAATTGGTAAGTGCAGTTTGGCAAGACTAAAAGAATGCAACATAGATGGACTTCAGAGGACGGCCATCTATCATGAAATCTAAAATACGACTCAACAAAGCCTTATCCCAACTATTTTGGGGTTAGCTACATGAATCTCACCTAGCTATAAAGAAAACTAATAACTTACACCTACATGCATGCATTTATGGAAGTCGGAATGCGCATATAATGGATAGGGTAAGTAACTTAAAACATATACTGCCAATTATAAACGACCTAAATAGAATAGAATTTCTGAAAGAGTAACAGCTTTCTTTTTTTCTCTGATGGTATTTCTCTGGACCAACACTCAAACACCTTACCGGGCAATCAACAAATGATACATGTCTCAGCAATTTCATCCTGCAGTTCTCAAATCCAGGCACATCGCACAAAGGACTATCTTCCTTTCCACTACCATATGCCCTGCACCCAAATAAAGGACTTGAAAATGAGATACCAAAAATGAAGTACTATGGCAATTGCATTCCATAAATAACAAATTACTTTAGGACCAAAAAAATTTACAACATACTTGTAGCACATGGGTCGAGGGCACTTTTCATCTTCACATTTGTATATCTTTGCATTGGCATATCCAAGCTTAATAGTAATGTTGCGTTCCAACTCATTTTTAAAACGAACAGTCTGCAGATAAATGACAAATTGTAGTGTTGTGTTATGTTTTATTTCAATGTACCAAAAAATTGGAAAATTACTTTGCTTAGATATCATCTTGCCAGATGTATCATTCTTATACATGAAGTCAACGTGCAAGAGCACTCCACCTTTATCAAGAACAATAAGTAGAGCAAAGATGGATAAAAAACTATATTCTCAAGAGTTAAAAGAAACAGATGATACATGCTCGTACATGTTGATAGCCAGCATAGACCTACGAACAATCACAGGTTAAAAATTCTGATCTCGAAAAAACAAACCCCCCTCCAAAATAACTATGCTAAAAGATAGAAATAATCTTCCTAGATGCATGCACCGCCCTAGTCAGTACATGTTCTTTCCTAGATTCAAAGGTCTCGTGTAAGCAAAGGTTTCCCCTTTATCAGAATCACTAAGCATCCAACTAGTGGTAGCCCCTAGTAAAAGCAAGTTTGCTCCTACTAACAACCACAAAGGTATACCTATTAGGCTCGAGGATGTGAAACATGAATCCACATGGGGCAAATACTCATACAACTTCCAGAGATATATCATCTCTCAAAACTTATTTTCCCCAATAATATGCATTATGCAACCAATGGCATTCAGACACGTACCTAGAATTTTGAATGCATCAAAAACTCAAATAGAATAACCAATTAATACCAACAAATAAGACAATAATTTAAACCTGAGGTGATAATCATATTTTTGGATATCAACTACTAATCAAGTTTACTTATATCAACTCTTAACAAGAAAATATCTAGCCTACACCAGAATAACCAATTGATAATAACTAAGAAGTGACACACATTTTAAACCCGAGTTAACGTCATGTTTTTAAGCTGACTATTAATGAGAAAGAATATGCAAATGGGAAGAAAAAAAAAAGAATAGGGTCGTGTGTTAAGTAAACTATTTCCAGAATAGGTGGACTGTCATCCCACACTCGGCTGTAACCATTGAATTATAGGCAACCAAACTGCAGAGAAGAAAAAAGAGAAAGTGATCACCTGAACACCAGATATGGCTTTTACAACGGTTGACTTCCCGTGTGCCACATGACCAATTGTGCCTGAGGGAAAAATCTCAGTTTCATTCATTTGATTCAATACTAATATTAAAACATCTAAAAAGGCAAGAACTAGATGTTGAGTAGACACCCTAAGTTCAGATCATGAACACCACTTTGTTGATCAACGTGAGAAGAAGGCAGTTGAAGAATTTCGTAAGTATAAGATTACCAATATTGATTGTAGCCTGACGAGAAATAACTTCTAGTGAAAGTGGATGTAGTGTCGCAACATCCAGCTTGCTTAAATCCTGCTCCATCAGACCTTTTCGAGACATCTTGGCTGTTCTTGAGGGACTCTGAACTTCAACAGAAGTGAACTCTGAAATATGCAGGGTCAAGCGAGGAGAAGGGACTGTCACTTCAAAAAACACTTACAACCTGCATGATATGTCAAAGACAATTTAGGATGGTTTTATATCATTGACTATCAGAAACCCTATTTTATTCCTAAATTTACTTACTGATTGCCTCAAACCTCAGTCACATAAGCCATGGATCACACAAGTCAAGGTCCGAATGATTACCACTGATGCAGTCAAAACTATGCTGGCCAGAATCCCCAGATAATTGAAGCTGTTCACAAAAAGTTACAGGTTGCATGTAGAAGCAACTCGAGACTCACCACTAGAGAATTACAGAGGTATCCTACCCAAAAATGGGAGATCAAACTGTATTGATATCTTCATGTTATGTAAATAGGGAGCAACTACATCACAGAATTTCAAGTTTTTTTTTTTAAATTTCTGCAGTACATGATGAGATTATGGGTTTTCTACCGAAGTGAGACCGCATAAGAATGGATTCAGGATGCTTAAATGTCCGGAAATGAAAGTATGATACTATTGACACCAACAACACAGGATCCGTCTGTGTCGGTACTCAATCCGACACAGACGGATCCAGTATGTTTTAACAATGTTTTATCCTCAGGAATGAACTATAAGTATTCTCATAAAAACAAAACAACTAAATAATGAAAGTCATGTCCGTTTTTGGCTTTATGTACTATGAGCAATAAGAACAGAATCTTGAGTGTTTCATTTCACCTTCTTTTCCAATACTTATTCATCCATCTTTATCTTTATAAAACTAACATTTCCCTTCCCTCCCCTCCCCTCCCCTCCCCTCTCTCCCTCTCACACACAACCCTCTCTACGGATGAGACATCAAAATACCTCTCTCTCTTCTCCTTCGCCTCTCAATCTCAATTTCACTGCTCAAACTGAAAAACACATGAAAAAATGATGTATAAACACACACACACACATATGTACTATATGTGCACAAATATGTAATAAGAAATCAAATGATTTGCCAAAAAATAAGCAAAGATTGTTGTGAAATTCCACCACAAATAGTCGTCAAATAAAGAAGAATCGTGGAAATCGAAACGGAAGAGAAGTGAGAGATCAATTGCGAGACAAAAAAAAATAAATTTATAGATATATGTACACACACACATACATATATATATGTAAGCGTGAAGCGAGAGAGAGAGAGAGAGAGACTTACCGGTCACAAGTATCTAGGGCAGCCGTCGGGAGCTGTCCGATGCGGTTTGAGAGCGCCGATAAACGAAGACGGCGGAGTGGTACTGGCTTCCACTTCTAGGGATACTGATGATATTTAATGTTGACATCCGAATCCTTTTAATTTAGTTAAATTACCAAAGAGACCCATAACTTTAGGTTTCTTTATATAAAACGAATATTTTTTAATTTAATTTTCATTTTGTTTTTGGTTAATCAAAATTCCAATTGAAACGAAAAGGACTGCACCAATGATTCAAAAATTTTAAAAAAATAATGTAATTTTAAGGAAAACACTTCGGGAAATAGATTAATTTAAAATAAGTTGAGTGTAAACAACTTCAATCTATGTTGAAGCAAATTGATATAGGCTATTCTCACAAGAATTAAAGTAACTTCAACGCTTTCATCTCAAATAATAAATTGATCACGTAAAGAGACATTAGCTATGGCTACGTAAAAACAGTTTCAAATTAGGTAGTCTTACCAAATTTGAAAGAGGCTCTCAAGCATACAGAACATCGATTACCAATTATTTTTTTAGAACTCTGAGATATTTTGTGATGATAATTTATATTATTGTCAAGGAATGCTTGCAAACTTACGAACCCAATTCTCCTTGAATGTAACTTGCTTTCCGAGTTTTGATTTCCTCCCCTCTTCTTGCCCTTTAATCCGCTTTGTTCTCTCAGTTGTCAACATCCGATAGAAATAAAAACAACTAAATGAATGAAGTAAACCCATTTTTTTGGGAATCTCCATAAAAATTGAAGGAGTTGGCAACGCGCTTTGCCTTTGTCCCCGTCCTGTGCTCATAGTACTCCACAACTGTCGCCCCTGCTAATGCAGCTACTGCAAGCGTTCGAGCATTCAACCTGGTTTGGAAATCAATGGAAATGAATGTTTGAATATTAGAATTTTTATCATTATTGTAACTCGTACAGGTCTATGAACAATCAATAAAAACTAACAGGAGTTCGGAGAAAATTATACATTCATAGGCATATGCAGAAATTATATTCAGAACTGTTATTTGACTCCGTAAGAATCTCAACAAGTTTACAATTTATTTGTAGGCAGAAATTAAAAATCTATAACTCTAGGCCCATGATTTCCAACAACTATGCCCAAAAAATTAACCAGAATTGCATAAAATATGTAATAAATTTGCAAAATTGTATTATTATGTAAACAAAACAAAACCCATTCCACTGCTGAGCAACCTAGGTGGAAAATTAGGCCTGTCCAAAAAACACAATATTAATTCTCGATTTGTTTATTAATTCATATCTAACAAATCATGTTATATCAGATTAGTATTGTATATAAATCATGTATAATTGATATATAAATAAGTCGTATCGTGTATTTTTGTTGATTGGTTTTAACTATATCAAATTTGTTTATTAATCGTGTTATATTGAGTCTACTTAGTTATAAAACGAGTGACTTAAAGAAGACCAATATTCTCTAATTTCAACATTCAATGTTTTTTTCTTTTTTCCCCTCAATTTTCTCCGGAAACAAACAGAAAAAATTTCATAAGTAACGCAAATGCATGAGGTGCATGTGTAGTGTACCCTCGCATGAATGAACTTGACGCTGCGTTTCATGTCGGGTCGAGACCAATTGTAAGCAATCGAACCCACTAGTCTAGATGTTCTGTCTTTGAAATGCAGCCCAAACATTTTTTAGACTCAATACTGTGTGGGCCACCTGTATCAAGCCCAACCCGTGCTTAACTGGTCATCTTCGATTCAAAACTCAGCTCTGTGTGTGTGTGTGTGTGTGAGAGAGAGAGAGAGAGAGAGAGAGATGGCATCGGGTGGGGAATCACAGGGAACAAAGGAAGATGCTACGATTTTTGGATGGATTTCAGCGAGTGCATGTCTGGATGCCGAGAGCCCAAGGACTGTTCTCTTCTCCGTGAAGACTATCTTGAATGCCTTCACCACGCCAAAGAGGTCAGCCTCTCTCTCTCTCTCTCTCACACACACACAAACACACAGCGTATGATTTGACTCTATAGAACCCTGATTTGTAGGGGGTGTATCTGTTTGAGGAAATTCACACCTAATATGATTTCATCTCTTGTGATATTTTAATGAATTTACCCTAATTTTGTGCTAAAATGTACCCAATTTATTGTTTATGAAAATTGATGTGGGATTTTAATATGAGGGCTGCCAATTTGTCTAACTGGGTAATATACTTTGCATTCAATTACTATAGTCATTCTTGTTTATCAAGTGCAGAAATTTAATATGTTTATATAGAAACAGAGACTTTGGCATAAGATTTCTAGCATATTTTGCTTAAACCAAAAATATTTATGTAATATGATTGATCTGCACTCCCTTGAATTGAAGAGAAAAATATATGGATTTTATGCCCTGGGGAGGAATTGAAGAAAAACTGGTCTATGAATTGAAGAATGTGGACTCCGAGTCTAATTCCAACTCGAACATGTGGATTCCATTCCAAGCTTCCATACACATTCTAAGAATGTAAAGGCAGCTATTCTTTGTGATACAAAATGCTGGCAATCATGATGCAATATTCCTATTGCTTAGTTCTTAGCTGAGATAGTGGCAATGATAGCAACTTTGAGGTTGGCAATGAAATGCAGTTGTCAAGAAGTTGGTGATTAACTGATTATATATTCTGATGAGATAAGTGTTGTTTGAAATGGTTCCATGTATCCTGAGATACTGTGATTCGTGAAGCCACTTGGTTGTAGCCGCAGATGTGAAAGGCGGAGCTGCAGTTTATAGTTAGACTTAACCTCTGTTGAGTTGTTACTAAGATTGTGATATACTAATTCAACCATTAAATCCAACGGCATCTTGCTGAAATTCATAGCCCGTCACTGTATGTAGGTTAAGGAATGGTGAGCATTGGTTGTGATTAATGTCATTGCTGCTGGAACACATTTTATTATATATTCTGATGTCTAAGAGGTAATCTTGAAATTCTTTGGCAGTACCAACGAAGGAACCGGGTATATAAAGAGGAGCAGCGTCAAATAAGAGCAGCTGCACAAAAGGCAAAAGGGGAAGGTGGAGATGTTGTTCATCTTTAATTCTTGAATTTATCATAAACCTATTGGGAATTTATCATAAACCTATTGGAGTTGCAAATATTGGTTAAGTTGTGCAATCTCATTTTTATGAGGGTTTGATATGATTTAATGCTAAGCTCCTTTTGTTGTTCCCAAATGAATCAACATTTGATTTTTTGCAAATTTGGAAGGATATTGTCAATCTGTACTTCCTTTACGATAGTAATGCATAATGTTGCTTATGAAACATGTGTTGTCTTCCAATAATATTTGCTGCATTTCTATCACTTGTTCATAGTTAGTGAACAACAAAGCTCTGGTTCTTGCAATCTACTCTGCATTTCAGCAGTGTATTTCAGTTGTGTTGATGTTATATGTTACCTTGGGCAAGGAGTTTTTGAGTGGTAAGTAGCTTTGGCCACAGTGAAAATCATATTGATTTGAAAAGAAGAAAAATGTGTTTATTGAAATGTAGACGAACTTTTATTGTGTAGTTAGTCTGACTGTCTGAGTAAGGCTGTGTGAAGAAACCGTTGTGCAGGTGATTGTTGGGTCATTCAGGTGAAATCTCCTGTCTCATCTACGATCAATACAAGGATGGAATCCCCTTTCTCTGGTCGCACCTGAAGATTTCTCCAAGCAGAACTTGAGTCTGATTATGCCATGCATGCGCGCACTTGTCCAGTCTCTGGCAGTGAATAGTAGTTACTCAAGCTAACAAGTCATCTTCGAAGACTTGGCTGCAAGGTTCGATGTTATCTTTGAAACATGAAATTTTTGGTAGCTTGATCTTCTCATATTTTGATGATGCACGGGGTGATAGCCACCGGCTGGTTTTTTGTTATTGTTCGTAGCGTAGAAACTCTCATCACAAGTAATTCTACTGTTGTTTTTTGTTCCTGTTAGTGACATAGAATCATCTCGTCACAAGTAGTTGATTAATGGATGCAATGGGGCAGTTTCATTAGCGGAATGAGTAATGCTAGAGGGACTTAATTTGGAGACCTAATCAGGGATCTAATTCAATGTAGTCATTGGTTTGATTATGAGTTCTAATGTTTGATGAAATTCACTTTTAATTCAACGGTAATTGAATAGGTCCAAACAGTATTCTTCTTATCAAAGAAGGGTAACTCATACTTGAATCTTGTAATTGTCGAGAGCAGAAAAATGACTTATCAAATAAAGGGCCACTGCCTGGTCACCCTTGTATTGGTGTCTCCCAATCATGACACCTAAAATCAACAACTCCTCCATTAGCTTTGTTGACTAAAGCCATCTAACTTTTTCTCACACATTTACAATCCCATATGCATCACCCTGGCCATTGTACCCCCCCCCCCCCCCCCCCTTTCTCTATGTCCTCCCTGTTGGCCTCACAATGAAGATCTAACCTCTTTAGTGCTGCCACCTACTTACACTTAGCAGTTAGGATTAAGCTTAATAGTTTATTAACATGGTTAAGTAGTGTAACATAAGGGAGTGATATTTGAGGGAAAAGTGTCAATTGCAGGGTAAGTATGCTCACCAATTAAAACTCAAAACTTTTGTCCAACACATGCTAAATGGTGCCTTGTGATAATAAGAGGGAGTAAACCAATTGTAATTTTTTTTTCTGTTAGTTTTTCCCCTATCCATTCAATAGGGGTATCTCCTTCTAGTTATTTCTATTTCGTGCGATTAAGATCTTTTTCATTACACTTTCTCAATTTCAATCACATACCATTGATGTAGGTAAAACACGCTACTTATAAGTGTGTCTTTACCTATACACAGTGTGTGCATGATTTATTATGTATTTTAAGGGAAATGCAATGCATACCAAAATGTTTACAAAAAAATATTTTTATCAAATGAGTTGACACCTCCAGATCACTCTTGGACCCACCAAATGCTGATCAAAATTGTTTTTGATTGGATATGAAGTTATCAGCTCATTTGATAAAAACACTTTTTTGGTAAAAATTTTGGTAAGTATAACATTACTCTTTATTTAAAGTGTAATAGAGAAGAACTGAATCCCATCCCATGCGATCTAGACCCTCACCATTCGTGCACCAAGCGAGTTCTTATCCACTGGATTGACATATTAATCTCACTTTGTAACATCATCATCATATTTGGACCAAATGAAAAAGTTGCATTGTGCTTGATAACAAACTAGGGTGGATCTTTCAACCTTTGGCATGAGTAGTGCTACTTCAATCTAATTCGTTCATCAAATTTATTGGCATAATTCATTGTAGTTGTTGAATTAGCAAAGAATTTCAATTTAGATGGAGTTTGCAGTCAATTCAACTATTGAGTGTATTATGTCAACAAATTAGATCAATAAATTTAGTATGAATAACATTATTGCTTTGAAATTAAGGTTGCTGATCAGAGATCAAATATAATATAATAGAAAAAAAATTGGATCTACATTGAAATGGATCCTATATAAAATTACCATTGGGCCAAGGATAGGACTAGAATTAAAAGAATTCAAGGGAAATATTGGGTATCTCAACTTCCTTGAGACTTCACTCTCTAAACTCACTCTTAGTGTATGATAACAAATGAAGCATATCATAAATTTAGGTATTTATACTTTGACATGTTCCTTTACTTACATGTTAGATTTTGAGGTTAGTACGTAAAAATCTTTTAATTATTGGAGTGATGGTTAGATTTGAATACAGGCTTTTTTGCTCGGATATTATATTAAACGATTATTTATTCTAAAATTTTAATCTATTAAAGATAATGTGACTTAAGTTTTTATTGGGATCAATTTTATAAATGCCCAAGCATTTTGAACAAACCATATATGTTTTTTTGGGTTGAAGACACTACCACCCATCCATGGCTGAAGATTCAAATTGCCCAAACTTTGCCCATGTGCCTATCACATGAGCTATGTTGAAGATATTTATACGAAAATTTTATCGTCAAAAATCAAACAACTTAAAATCATCGGTGATATTTTAAGTAGTAATAAAAATAAACTGCGAATTCATACGTTTTTACTTTGAATTTTGACAATTCTTTTAAATTAAACTACGAAAAATTTATCATTCATAAATATTTTAATTTCAAACGTTTCTTTAACCAAATTGAGAATGAGAGATGAAATCAGTGTAGGTAACTGACTAGGACACTCCAACTAAAAAAAATAAAAAAATGTATATTTAGCGTTTTAGCTCCGTCGGTAAACGTACGTACATGTGCCTAAAATAAGTTATTTTTCTCTCTCTTCGTCGTCCCCTATGCTATGTATGTACATCATTGGTGAGATTAATTACCATTTTTAAACCCATAATTATTTTCAAAGCACGTCCAAACCCCTATATTATAACGCTAACACCAAAATCAAACCAAACCAAACCAAACCAAAACCATCTCCGCTCATTTCAGATGTGAAAAAAAACACATCGAACACACAAAACACTTTCATCCACAAAACCTAAACAATGATTGAAGAACGGCGAGGGGCTCCCTACGGCGTCCTCTTGGCGGTGGTGGTGGTGCTAGTGTTGGTGGGTCCGACACTACTGGGCGACCAAGGTGCAGCCATAACCGAATTCATAGCTGAATTCATAGCTGAGCTTCTGAGTCCAGTGGGTCTCTTCCTACTTCCCATAGCCCTCCTCCTCACCATCCAATTCCTCTCTTCTGATAGGGGATCTTTCATCTCCGGCATCTTCTCCACCGGCGAGCCCAACTCCATTGGGTCACCCGTCGGCGTCGCTCTCGTGCTTATTCTCGTTCTGTTCCTTCTCTACTACCGGGTCTCCATCTTCGGCGGCGGGGATGACGAGTCTGAGGAATAATGGCTGTACTGTTTGTTGACTGTGCTCTGTTTTCTTTTGTTTTTCATGTGCACTATACATATATATACTGGGTGTAGTGTGGTACGAACGCAGAGAGAGAGAGAGAGAGAGAGAGTTTGATGTATTAACATTGAGGTGATTGTAATATACAGAAATACCCAGAAGAGTGGTTGGCATATGAGTTTTTGAGATTTTGAGGGTATTGAATCATCATTGAGACCGTGCGTGTTGAAATTTTCAACTTTAGATCGGAAATGGAGTAGGGTTTGTATAATTGCATTGTAGCCACTAGGCATATCCCAGATCTCCATTTGAACTTGGAAAGGTGGTTATAGTCCACCACCAACACCGAGGACCGCCGGTTGCCCGTGGCGGAGTGGTGTTTGTCTCGGCCCTGGCAGCTCGTAAATTTGTTTCTTTTTTTTTTTGGTCTGGTTTTTGTCGTGTCTGTTGTTGAGTTTTGATTTGTGGTTCTAATTTGTTCCTGTTCTCTTCAACGCTGCACGTGGCCTGTTTTGTTACATTTTTATCCCTTTTCATAGATCACATATTCCGGATAGCCTTTGGCTGTGTGCGAGTTATATGGACACTATGTCAATCCTATTTTTAAGTAGACGTGTTGTAATTGTTTTAAAATTAAAATAAAAAATAAAAAATTTATATATTTATATATTTTTTGATGGTGTTTAAATTTGTGTTGATGGCTCGCTCAAACTCTGAAATAATCAGTATAATTTGAACTAGTTTAAGACAAGTTCTTAGAAAAATAAAAATGGTAGACCCTTAAAGACTGTGTAAAGTATCGAATCTACATATCTTGTTTACTAAAAAACAAACTTAATCACTTAACCATGTCTAAGAGTTTCATAGATCATATTTGTTTTATGTTAAATTTAACAAATGTGAGATGGTTTAGTGGGGTATTAGATGAATTTTTCACTCTAAGGTTGGAAGTTCGAATCTTGTAGTTTATATTACGACTCAGTAGTTAACCGTTATACTAACTTAATTAAGTTCTTTTTCGAAAGGAGTAACAGACATGGTCAGAGGTCTCATAATCTCACCAGTGAGAGCCTATTAAAGTGATCTCTGAATGTTTTTCTTTTGCCCCCATCCTTTTTTTAAACCAACAAAGAAAAAAAAAACAAATGATACTATTTGAATTTAAAAAAATTGATTTAATTTATTAATTTAATCAATAAATAAGTTTAAAACTGACTGTCATAACAACATTATTGAATAAATTATGTCACCCAAATTGTTAGATGATCAAATTAAATCAATTTTTCAAATCCGTTTATATTACTGATTTACTCTTAATAAATTATTGCAATCAGTGTTGCACAGTCAATGAAGTTAGGTGAGTCTACAGTTCATCAGTTGCCATGTGGATTTTTTTTAAATTTTACACCTGACCCAGATTCGAATTGCAGCATGCTGATACTTACAAGGGCGGGTTCAGATCGCCTAGCCAAAAACCAAGAAGGGTTCAGATCAAGGCCACCATTTTTCTTTTGTTTTTTTGTCCGACACTATTAATTACATAGCAAGGAGGATGACGAAGTTCAAGCACACGATGGTAAGATCCAAGAGCGGGGTGGTCATCGCTTGAGTAGTGTTGGTGTGTGGACTATTGTATGTTATATGTGCATGCTTTTGTCCAAAAACAACAAAGTGCGTCTCACATCGCTTGATCAGTACTAAAGATTAGAGTTTAAGTGGCCTATTCTCAATTCCTCTTCTTAAGAGGATTTGGTAGGTGGGTTCCTCTCTTGGTCAGTGTGCTCGAGTAATTTTGATGTGTGAATTATTGTGTGTTATATGCGCATGCCTTTGTCCCAAATCAGAGCGGGGTGGTCGTCGGGGTGGTCGTCATTACGCATCCGCTAACCTTGGCCTTTTTTTTGACATAATATTATAATTTTGGAATGTCAATGCCCAAGAGTCTAGACCTGGTCTGTTGGTTAAGCTGCAATCATCAAGACCTTAAATTACTCAAAAGTCTAAACTGTTGAAAGAGATACTCTACTAACCATAGGATTAGTCTTGATCCCAAAATAGGCTGCATACACTTTTTTTAAATAAAAAAAAAATTACACCTAAATTTTCTGAGATTTTTCACTTAATCACTCAGACCTCTAACATTTAAAATATTATACACAGACTTTTTAAAATTTGTACATGGGTAACACTTAAACCTTGCTATAAATATATCTGTTAATAAATTACACGCAGACCCTCTAAACTTTGGAAACATATATTATGTAGACCCCTTAAGTTTAAAATATTATACTTAGACCAAAAATATTTCAATTAAAAATAAAATATCAAATATTTTTAAAATTTACAATTAAAATTCATGTTATATTGTATCATTTATTGAAATAAAATCAAATTTTAATTTTAATTTTTTCTTAAAAAATCGTAATTAGTATACAATTATATTGTCTATTGAATAGTATAATTATATATTAATTATGATTTTTTTTAAAAACCTAAATTTTTATTTTTGATTTTATTTCAATAAATGACATAATAGAACATGAATTTTGGTTATAAAATTTTTGATATTTTATCTTTGATTGAAATATTTTTTATTTAAGTATAATATTTTAAACTTAAGGGGTCTAAATTTTATATACTTACAAACTTCAAAGGGGTTTAAGTGTAATTTATTAACGGATATATTTACATTAAGGATCTAAGTGTTACGCGCATATAAACCTCAAAAAATCTGTGTATAATATTTTAAATGTCAGAGGGTTTGAGTGATTAAGTGACAAACCTTAGGAGGTTTGAGTGTAATTCTCCCTTAAAAAAAAAGAGAAATTTAAAAGTCAGTATAAAAATTTAGATTTAATTGAGTTAAACTAAACTAAAAAAACTTATTTAGCTCTAAGTGCATTTTTTTTTTTGAAAAAAAGACTAAAAGACCATTTATTATTCTCTCTCCATTACTATCTCTTCCTTATTTCTCTCTTTTACAATGATAATTTATTTTTTTAAAATATATAAAAAATTTATTTAATTTTTTCATCTCTCTCCCTTATTTTTTTTTTCTCTCTCTTCTTGTTTTCTCTTATCGTTACTCTTTCTTTCCTTATTCTCTCTCTTTATATTGACGTTACAACAACACAATTACATTAATCAGTTATAACAATTAGTTATAATTACTCTAGAATATATCAAACAATTACTCATGTGTTCTAATAAATTAAATAGTTTCACTAATTACAAAAATTAAAGAGTTACATAATTTAGTATCACGATATTGTTACACTAATTATATACACCAAATTGGGTTTAACATTACACAAAAAAATTACCATTATACCAAATTTGACAAATTGAGTTGGTATTATAATTTTGTATAATTGTTTGATATAACTGTTTGGTTTATTAGAACACACGAGTAACTATTTGGTGTATTATAAAATAATTATAACTGATTGATATAACTGATTAATGTAATTGTGTTGTTGTAACGTTAATGTAAATAAAAAGAGAGAGAGAAAACAAGGAGAGAGAGTAATGGTGAGAAAAAATTGGGACGAGATAGAGGGAGAGAGAGTAATTGAGTTTCTGTAGCCGAATCATGGTTTTGTTTTTATTGTTTCATGCTCTCTATGATTGCTAGGAAATATGTCCCCGATTTTTTTTTTGATTATGTATAAATTTTTGCCTTTGCTTAGATACTATTTATTTTTTTACAAAAATTTAAGTCTAGGGTTTAAGTTTTATATATTCAATCCAATCTTGAATATATGAATTATTCAATTACGTTTTTAATTAACATTGATTTGGAACATATTTTTTTCTCTCTTACTATGTATCTTTAGGAAACAATGTGCTAGAGACAAATCTTGTAATTGTGCATAATTTTGATACTTCATTTGGTTAATATTTGAAGTAATTGGGTTTGGTAATTGCACCCAAATAATAACCCTCATTCGTTCTCCCAAATTGATTTGCATGAAAATTTCATGAATTTCATCTCCTTTATGCATTTTGAGATTTGGGATTGACATTTTTTTTTTGGAACAATTAATATTGAATGAATTACTAATTCGATTAATGTTGTGCAAATTCAGGTCTATCAGAGATTATTATAGAGGTTGTGGAGAGTAAAAACTTTCTCTCTGATAGTAATTCTTACGTAATTGTAATGTGAATTTTGTTGATTTATTGGAGTAGACATTGATTTAAAAATAATATATGTCATTTTGTTGTGTGATGATAATTGCTTGAGAATGAAAATTTTATAGAATGTTTCTAAATTTTTGAGAAAGTGGTTGTACCACACAATTTTATGTTTGGGATGTCACTTTTTCGAGTATTTATATGGTGCATTTGTTATGGTTCTATTCATGTATGAAAGAATAGTTTTAAGTTACTTTAGATGCATAAAAAGAGTATGTTTATTTTTCAACCTCATCCATTTTACTTGATCTTTTGTACAAGCACAAATTGATTTGATTGATCCAATTAAACTTAAGGAATGTCTTGTGGGGTTTATAGTCTAAACTTTCAACTTAATGTACGACTGTCAAAATTTGACACGACACGATTAACCGACACGAATTAAGTGAATTTGGGTAAAAATTTAACAGATTTGAGTGATAAATGGGTTGACACACTAAACACGTTTAATAAATAAGCCGTGTTCGGGTGAGACCTGTCAAACCGTTTATTACACGTTTAGTCCTTTAAATAAAATTAATATAATAATAAATTAATATTTATTTAAAAAAATTAGTAAGAAAAAAAGAAGTAAAATAATAGTTCAAAAACAAAAAAGAGGAGATAAGGAACACTTCAAAGACAAAGGCAAATGTTATTTGTTCCACATTAAAAAATGAGGAGAAATGAGGAGGATTGAGTTGCCTATAAAAAACAATGACCTCTCGTTTTTTTTTTAAGCCTTCAAATTTTATTTGTCCCACATTGAAAAATGAGGGGAGATGAGAAAAATTGAGTTGCATATAAAAAGTAATGACCTCTTACTTTTTTTTTTTTTAAATCTTCAAGTCTTATTTGTCCCACATTGAAAAATGAGGGAAGATAAAGTAGGTTGAGTTACCTATAAAAAATAATGACTTCTTACTTTATCTTTTTAGGCTTTCAAGTCTTATTTTTATGAGATTTGACTAAAAAACCTTTTTTTTTGGGATAAATGTAATTGGCAAAAAAAAAAATTAAAATTTGTTAATATAATTTTTTTAAAATTAAACGGGTTAAACGAGTCGTACAAATTTATATATTTTTCACCTGTCACCCATTTAACCCGATACATAACTGTTTAACCGACACATTTGACATCTCTAACTTAATGCATGTCTATGTTTAGTGTTCGATTGTTTCGTATTCAAGAACAATGTTATTTATTTATTTATTTTCTAAAATTGCATAATGCCTTCAAGCACAGGTTAGAGAGGCAGTTTAGGCTTTCAACTTAGTACGCATCCGAGTTCAGTGTTCAATTTTTTTTTTAATTGTACCCTGCCTATAAGCACAAGTTATTCCTAATTTTATATATAAACGGGCTCAAATAGAATCTAAAAATACTCATTTTCCAAATAAGTTTAAAAAATTATTTAAGCATGGCTCATCCGAACTTGAGTCGAGTCTTATTCAAACATGAGTAGCTCAGCTTAACTATCAACCCTATATACTTAGATTGATATAAACTTTGATTAAACACGACAGTAATCTAATTTACTACTGCTTATCAATGACACTAATTTAATATATTAACAAATAGATCGAACATGAATTCCAAAAAAAAATTTAAGACAAGAATCAAAATCAGCATACTTACACAACTCATAGACAGTCATAGTCATGACAGTATGGAACTCGACCATAGTTGCCTTCATCCAGCCATCATAGTGCTCGAACTGAATCATACATTATACTAAAAATTCATGTCTTGATGCTCATGCATCTCAAAATCCTCACCTTGCTTTAGGCATCAACCCAACTACAAGAAAGAAAACAGCTCGTAAGCAGTAGATACAAGAAAACTACGAGCTCATCTTATCATGAACTAAACTAATTCGGTTTTTAATGATAGTTCACCGAGCTTGCTAAGCAATCAATACATAAGCTATGAGGACAAACCCCAAAATATAATGCATTATCGCAAATGAAAAGTGAAACGACATCCTCCTCTAGACAGTTCTTGATCACCATGGCAGACAGGTGCGCGGCCAAAAGTCCACACCAGCACCAGAAAGGCTAATGCCTGGTTATATATGTGCAACTGAACTCGACTACTTTGTGTTATCTACCAGCCACTGCCTTGAGCTCAAAAAATAATGTCTGCCAGGGTCATAATCATGCAATGAAAATGCACCTGAGAACTCCAAGGGGTTCTATCCAAAACCTGCCTAAACAAAAGAAACAAATAAAAGTATCGTTAAAACTGGTAACTATGGGAGGCATGGTGATCCAGTAACTGAGCAAATACACAGGTGTGAGCAGATAGGTTAAAATACAAATATCACCACAATCATAACCCACAGTACAAAACCTTCATTGAACAAGTTGAGGCGAAGTGGATTTGGTAAAAATGCCCAGAAGTACTTGATAATTCATGATGAGTGTGCATTTCGCTGAGTTTAGCTGATAAATATTGGAAGGGACAAAAATCCATAGTCGCACATTCTGCAGCCAATTTACATTCTTGAAATTGGCTGAGGCTCACCATCGTGAGATTGGGATATCTTAAGCCATTATTTATTTTGTGGCTGCAGAACATGGTAGCATCTGGAGCAGCCAATTGTATTCAAATTCACAAAACCTTCATTAGTGACATATCACCACCTTTCTCAGAAGGTGAAATGAATTTATGAATATGATTTTAAACAGTGATATTTGCTTTCATTTCAGCTTTTCACAATTACAATACAGTGCAACGAGGATCAGGGAAAAAAACTTTTCATCAGTGGAAGAAAAAAACTTAAATCACAAAATTTTAAAAATGTACATAAAGTATCGGTAAAAGAATCCACAACCAGGCAATATTCTGCACCACGAAAAAGTTAGCAAAACAACTTAACAACACAAACTATATTATAAAAAGAAAAAAAAATCCATCCCATTTATGAGAAAAGAAAATTTAAGCCAACCTTCATGCTACCCCAAAATTCTGTAGCCTGTCACAGTGAGGTGTTGGCAAGTTTCTGCTCCATTGTCGCCTCTGGAGTTCTACATGACAATAGCGCCCAAGCATATTTTTGTAATCCTTGATCACATTGTTCTCAATGTTAGCTCTAGCAGGACTTCCAAGGGGATAATTTTGATCAAATTCAGGCGATTTCACATAAAACTCCACTCCATGGTTCTCAGTCATCTTCTGAAACTGATAGGAATAATTCCTCTGCAAGGAATAATCCGGTTCTGAAAAAGGCAGGTAAGCAAGCAAGATAATTATCAAAAACGGTAATATCTGAAGAAGCAGCATCAAATTAAGCCCAGTCCCACCAAAATCTTCCCTCTGTTGACCATTTGTTTCTCTAGTCCTGTAAACATGAGTCGTCTGAAACGTGTTTGCCTGGCCAAAGAATGCCCTGAATATCTCATCAGGATCAAAATCATCATCAAACAAATCATGTCCAGTTCTCCTCCTCCTTCGCCTAACATTATGCTGCTGGTTGTACTCAAATTCATCAACCAAACCCGTTTGATCGTATTGTCTCCTCGATTCATCATCACTCAAGCACTTGAACGCCTTGCTAACCTGTTTAAATGCCTCCTCAGACCCTGGTGCCTTGTTTTTGTCTGGATGAACTTTCAATGACAGTTTCCGATAGGCCTTCCTAATCTCCTCAACCGAACAACCCTTTTCCACACCAAGGATCTCATAATAGTCCTTATTTCTCTTAATTTTCCTAATCAACTGCACATGTTCCTCGGTATAAAGTGGCTCTCCATTAGAAACGTCATCAAATTTGAACTTACCCGACCCGTTCCTAGTATTATCTACCGTCTTTTCATCAATTGACTGACTAGAGGATGATGAATCTAGATTTTCACACGCAGCCAAAAGATCGTCCATCGACAAACTATAGTTAAGCCGACGTGCAATCCCAATGAACTTGAGTGCCCGTTGCTTATTACCCGAAGCAATTGCCTCTTTGGCAATGCCAATACATCTTAAAGCCTCGTCCTTGTTACTATCCATAACGATTTCACAAAACCCACTTCAAAATCCAACAAACCCACTTCAAATATTGAAGTGCTCGATAAAATCAACCCCTAAAATTCCAAAATCCGGCTTTTAGCAATTAAAATCGAAACCCAATCACATCAAATTCATCAACAAGGACATCAAGCTGAAGGAGAAATCAAGATCTACGGTTTCGTATGACAATCTGGTTCCTATAATTTAGAAAAACAGCAACATAAATTAGGGTTCCACCGAATTGTCAAGTAGCTACCAATGATTATGTATTAGAAATACACATAAAATCGAAGTAAATTAAGGCCTAACAAATTGTAAAGGATCGCATGTCAGGTGAATTTTCGCTGAAAAATCAAACCATGCTTACCTGAACCGAAATGTGATGACCAATGCGGCCGAGAGAGAGAGAGAGAGAGATGAGAATGTCCTTAACAAGAGTCAAGTCCACTGTCTGCCACGATAAGTAAGTAAATGGGTTTTGCTGTATTTCTAAGAAATTTGGAGGCCAAAAAGTTTTGACCGTCGATTTCAAGATCAAACTTCCCGACTAATTTCAATTAACTCTCTATATCAAAATTTATCGCTAATTGTTCTTTGGATCACTTTTTCTAGATCTAACCTTTTGCGTTTGAAGAGGAGTTTTTGTGCATAGACCCAAATTAACTACCGACTACGGGTCCAAATGAATTCGGTTAATGGGTTCATGGATCCAAATGACTTAGTCATATGCATAATTTTGATGCATTAAACATTTCAAATTTATATCAAATGAGTTAACAAATATAATTTTAATACATAAATTTTAATTTTAAAGTCAACTTGGTCAAAAAAATAATCACATTATGCCCACGTGGCTCTTTTTCTTTAAGATTATTGGCAAATTTGAACCGGGGACTTAAATGAAATAGAAATTAAAGTTTAAGGGCTTAATTATTTTAATTGGTAGTTTATAGATTAAATAGAAATCAGATGTAATCTTTGAGTCTTAATCACTGTTCTTGTGTGCAGATAAAAAGAATATATAAGTGACTAATAATCATTGGATGCACAAAACATTATTCCGATATTACTAATAAACTTGTATAGATACGAACAACTATCAATAAAGAAAAATGACACCAAATCTCTCGCCAAAATAAGGTTCAAAATTATACAGTACAGAGTCTGTTCCCATCTTAAGGCCTCAGAGCCTATCTTTGCCCTTTAAGCAGTTCACGAAAGGTAATAGTTACTCTTCATCAGACTCAAAAGATTGTCTTCTCCTCAAAGATTCTAGCACGGCAGCAGCCTGGTCTCCTTGAGAAAGTGTTCTTCCCGTTGTAGGCTTGAGCTTGGGCACACTCATGGCACAAAGTGGGGGTGTTGATGCGCCCAGATTCACTTCCCTGAGCACAGACCGAGCTGTGGCTTCAGCCACTGCATCTGCCATTGCTGACGCCACTTTTGAACTGCCATGCAGCTTCTCTGTGAACTTATTTTGTGAATTGCGTCCACTGACAGCCTTAGGCTCACCTGGTGAACGATAGGTGTCTGATCTTTGCATGGTAGCAACAGCCTCAGCAGCCGTTGATTTCATTTTCATTGAATCATACTTTTGCATGTCGTAAATGAGCTCTTTCTGGAGCTGCTTATCTGCAACCAATATATCATCAATCTCATTCTTGTAGTCCTTGAGAAGGACTCGGAGGCATTCCATAAGGGAACCAGTGAGGGGACTGTTTTTGCTCTCCAGTAGCCGTTTCAACTCTATGAATATGGGGATGGTGTTTTGGATAAGGCCCTTTTTGACAGCTTGAGTTATGATTCTTCCTCTAGCAGCTGATGCTTCTCCACTCTCTCCACTTTCTTCATCCATGCCTGCTGATTCAGATGAAGACCCACGGTTGGATGGAATTCGGATCTCTTTGCAAGAGAGAATTTGGAATGCATCCTGTTTCCTCAATATTAAACCACAAAGAGATTACTAACATGAAGGAACACATTTGTAACAGCTACAAGCTTCTTAGCTTGGGAAAAAAGGAGGGAAGAGTGAGAGTATCACAACAAGGGGATATACTCAATAGACTATGCACAGCATTTGAAATTTTAGCTTCCATACTACGCAACAAATAAAAAAATGTGGAATTACACTGGCCTGCATGCAACCAATTGTAATGTCCCGGACATGGAGGGCAAGGCTACCAATTTACCGGGAAAACACCAAGCATTTTGGTACTTTCACTTTCTAGCAAGTGATGACAGCACCCTTCTCTTGTTATGCAACATACTTTGATGGAGCTAAAATCCTTCAACTTAATAAGCAATTTTGCCTGTGTGCATGTGTGTGTGTGTGTGTGTGAGAGAGAGAGAGAGAGAGAGAATTATTACCTGCAGAACCGATTTTCCAGTAGTATCCTCTATGCTGAGCGCACCATCTGATGCAGAAGCAAGGATCTCTGCACATACCTTAGCAAATGTCGCTAAAAGGTGCTCTGGAGCCATTTGTTTCAGCAATGAAACATATATGTGCATTCTTTTAGACCTGGACATCTCGTCATTACCTCTGAAAGAATATCGTAAACTAAGTATGACACCTACATTTCAGTTACAGACCAGTTACCCTAATATTTAGAGGACTGGAACGTATGTACCTGAGAGAGAAAAGTTGGTTTTCAGTTCGCAAACTCTGAGTATTACTATGTCCAGTATGGGCATTACAATCATTCAATACAAAAATTGCTTCCACAAAACTATTATAAGCTAGAAGGGGCGCCTTGGCTGCAAACACATTACAAAAAAATGGTCTTAACAACAAAAAAAGATGAGCAGGTCCAAAAAAACACAAAAGATGACTTGTGAAAGCATTGCTACCTTTCAAGATATTCCCAAAGAAGAAATCAGCTAACTGTCTAATTTTCTCTGATTCATCAACAAGGGACAATAGAAATCGAAGAAAAAGAACTCCTCTCCACTTCACGTAGTCCCTCTGAATATGAGCAGAAAATCAACCAAAAGAAGTTTCTGCCATGTTACTGATCCCCGAAAATAGAAGTGTACCATAATTTTAAGAATAAAAAAAAGTGAACCTGTAATAATCTGGATAGTAGTATAAATGTCTGCCTTCTAACAAGTTCACATGGATCACGAAGACATTTTGTGATCTTTGATATATAACTGTACAATATTGAGAATATACTATTAAAGAGATGATATAAATCCAGTCCTAATTCATAAACAATCGCATATATATATATATGGGCCTCACCAATCAATCAGAGCAGTATACCGTACACAAAAATCCGCCATCATTACAACAATATTATTCCGAAGTGCTGCACAGTCACTCTTTTCAAGCTCCTGAAGAAACACATGCATAGAGAGAATATTAAATACAAAAATTATCGAAAATCAACAAGAAGAAAACTAAGATTGAGAACTAGGTCTTCATGTCAAACTTCACAAGGTATTTGAATTGAAAATCCAAAAAATACATTGGAAGTGATCATACAATTTACATTGTTAATTACATTGATTTCAGATTGCAATGTCTAAGAGTTACTACATACTATGCAATAAACATGTAAAAATAAAGATCCAGAAAAGATCATTACCACGACCATGTCAATTCATTTATGAATTTATCAAATTGTTATGAAAGTAACAGAAATTTGTCCAATCATCTGTTAGTTAAGCAACTCATAACCATGGACCAGAAGCAATGCCAAGTTGAAATTATACCTGCACAAACAGAGGAATATAACGCTTTGCTAGTTTTCCATCGGCAAGGCAGATCTTACCCATAGTTAGCCAAGCTTGAATATACAAGGAAGGGACTCTTTGCTTTACAGAAACAGCAGGTCCTAGCAAATTAGAGAATTCTAGATCAGAACTCCCAGAAGTGATAATGGTGTGTAGGACTGGAATAATGGTTTTTAGATCAGCTGAAGGAGAAACAATAACCAAAGATCCAATAGTATAAACTGCAGTAATTGCTTGTGATACTAAGGTGGGCAGTTTTATTGCTGCTTTCTTGGCCTTCCTAGTCCCACTCAGAGGTGTAAGAACGCTACTGTCTTTGTATGCCTCTGTGTCCTTTGACATGTACATTTCCAGAATCCCAGTGGCTTTAGAGAGAAGCTGACCTACCCACTTCATAACAAGGGAATTAGCCTCCTCAGGATTCAAAGCCTTTCGCTTGCACAATGTTCTAAGTGCTCTAACATGGGCGTTAACCTGTCATCAAGTATATGTATTGTTAACATCTGTCAAAAAGGATTATATAAGCAACAATCTCTTAGGTACACCAATGTAGGACATAGGTGCAAGGTTGGGCAAGGAGTCAAACCAAAATTACAGAAAAACTTCCACCACTAAGTGTAAAAAATGACCCCATTAAGGCCAAATGCATTCATTTTTCGCACGCAATGATTTCCTTTTACTTCTCAAAGTAATGGAAAAGACACTTAAAAGTCCCATTCCTAGGTGACTACACCAAAGCTGCCAATAAAATCCATATTAACAATAGTTTTACAATTTCTAAACAAGTGCGTTTACCAATGCATTTTCTAAAGCAAGCCATCTGTTGCTTTTAGTAGAAGCAAAAAAAAAAAAACATTTATTCCTTGTCATAATGATAGACGATCCACAACTCCATTATGCCAAAGATTTGCATGAACAGATTTGCCTCTGTGGACCGTGAGATTTTTCAAAATCTTTTGACATCTTACCAAATGGATTTACTTTTTAAGTCTGTAATAAATAAATCAAGAATTCTGTTTGGAACAGAAAAATTGAAGAGGAAAAACAACAAAAGCATTAATGCAAACATCTAGATGATAAACTATGATACAACATAACAAATACCTCCGTTGCATGCATGTCAAACTCCTCAATTCGTTTGAGCAAGTTATGGGCTAAATCTGCTGCAGGTTCTGGAGGCAGCTCCACAGAAACATTAGAAATTGTTTGCAGTAGAAAGACACGATCTCCGGCCCAAGCAACAGAATGGGATTCTATGCCCATCACCTCTTCATCCAAATCACCATTCTGAAGTGGGCTTTTGAGCTCTCCTTCTGGTCCATACTTGTCGAGGAGCTGCCAATGGTGATGAAGGAACTCCCAGTCCACGGCTTTTGAAAGGAATGCTGACACCTCTGACAGAAGAAACCAAGCACCTGGAGGTGCTGTCCACTTCTCTATTGGCATGGAATGGCTCAACCACAGAAATTCAGACGTTCTTATGATATTTTGAAGTGCAGTAGCAATTTTAGCCTTCAGCCTTTTCTTCTTCCCTAGGCTTGTGCAAATCTTCTTCACCCAAGGTGTCACCTCTCCATCGCAGATCTCTTTCAATAAGCCCAAAACTCCCTCAGGATATAATAAGTCAATCTTGCTTTCTAAATCTTTTAGTTTTCCATTTGGATCAGAAAATACGGATTCTTCATGTGGGACATAAGTAGATCCTGCTCTGGATACCCTGTCCAAAACCAGTTCTAGGAACATTGTCTCACATTCTTCTTGAATGCTAGATTCATTGTCACTTATGAGACGTGGAACAGAATGTAGCCACTCCTTTGTCACATTGTCATACGAGAATGTCCTAAAGGCCTGAAAGCCAAAGAGAAATCCAGCATAAAATAGAGGAATGCATGGAAATATCTGTCTGCATAAATCAGAGTGGCCAATCCAAAAACTGATCAGGATGAAGATGAATGCATAAATGGAGGAATGCAGGGATCCAATTACACATAAAATATAAAATTTTGAAACATAATCCAACGGGGCAACAAAAGAATATTAGGACAAAAACATCTCATAGGAATCATGCTGCACAGACATTTATTATCCGCCATACAACTGAGAACAGAGCCAGGTATGCCAAAGGTGTTAAACTTACCCCGCAAGAATATATGGCCCTGAACCCTGATTATTATTCCAGACAGTGGATATCATTAGGACTAGGCCTGGTAAAAGATGGTCATAAGGGATAAACATCGAGTGGTTGAATTTCATTTGGCGATAGCAAGAATTTTATCCAATATTTTCCAAATAGCCATAGCCATGCAGTACCATTCTAATTATCCAAAGAAATAGCATTAGTAAATACTTAGTATGTATGCATCATAGATAATTATTGGCTCTAAAAAAGGAATATGTAAGAAGAGTCACAAGGCATCACTATTCTATTTGATCTGGTTCAATTTTCATAGTAAAAAGCTAATTACAACTAATGGGAACAGATACGGCAACAACTATTGCTGAAAGGTAATTTAACCTCAGATAGAGCTGAAACTGCTGCTTTCCTTATGCTAACAAGTGGATCAGAACAAGCCATGCCCATTGCAGCTAGCAAAACTCCATCAAGTGCCCCTCCAAGAAGAGCCATCAGCTTTGATACTAGAAGAAGTGCAGCCTTCCTGACGGCTGCCTTCTCATCCATACACCGTTGCCTCAAAATATCAGTAATTCCACCTTCCACACTATTCGTCCCCTCATTACCAAATCCCATTACTTCCTTCAACACAGTTTGAGACCTATCATCATCTGATAAAAACCCCACGCACTGAGCCAAAGTTGTTAAAGCCCGGGCTCGAATCCCTGCTATTACATCGGAACACCTCCGAATCAAGGCTTCCAAACATCTCAACCCCCATGAATTCTCGACTCCACTCTCCGTATTCACTCCCAATGGATCTCTGAGTGACATAATTAGCATTGGAACAAGGTCCACAGCCAAGAGCCTAAGTTGTGCCTTTCCTTGGCTCATTTTAACTACATATTCAGCAAAGCCAACTTGATCACCAAATTCCATAACTTTAACAATCTCCATTATAGATTCCACAGCTGAAGCCCTTGGCTCGGACCTCTCCGGAGCCTTTTGTACCAAGTACTTGGGCAAATTCACAATTGCTTTTTTGATTTCACTAGAATCTTTTGTCATAACCATCATTTTATTCACTATAAACCCCAAAGCAAAATCCCGAGCTTGTGATTTAAGGAATAGAATCGATGGAGACAATGACTTCAAAACCTCAGCCGCGGTAATAGACTGATCTCCATGCTCAGCCTTTAACACTTCGCTTAAAACCCGCGAACACAAATGACATAACTTGCCATAATTTCCCGAATTTCCACACAATTCAATCGCCATTACCGGAATTTCAGCCACAGCTTGAACCAGACTCTTCAAACTATCCGGAAACCGATCCAAATGAATCAAGCACAGAACAAGCTCTAACCTTTCAAGCACAGAAAACAATACCCTAACATCAAACACCCTCTCTTCGCTCTCATTCTCACCATCTTGAACATTCTGACTCCGATTTCTCAACTGCCCGCCTCGCCCACCACCCTTTTTTCTCCTGGCCCGATGCTGAGACGATAAATGGCCCACTGTGCCCGAGTTCGGCTTCTTGAAGGACCGGCGAATGGAGCGAAGAAGAGAGAGAAAAGCCATGGGAGTGAAGAGCGTGAAAACAGGGGCATTTGGGCAAAGAAGAAGAGACAAATATACCTTTGAGGCCAACAGACCGATATGGGTGGGTCCAGAATCCATTGCTGAAGAAATTGTACGGACGAGAATGGATACAGAGAGGTTTTTGGAGGACAATTCGTCGAAGAGACAGTCAATGTCGATTGGGTCCTTGGTGTTTGAGGTGTAATCTAGGAGGGTTTGGAGGTCCAACAGTACTGATTCTGAAATGGGTGTTGAGGAATTTGGGTTTTCGAGAAGAGAGTGGTGGATTTCGAATTCGGAGACTATTCTGTATACAACTTCCTCCATTGTTGATTTGGTCGGAAATCGGAGGTCGCAGTGTGTATGTAAATCTCTCTCTCTCTCTCTCTCTCTCTCTCTCTCTCGTCTTGAATTTTTGGCTTCCCGCTCTAACACCAAAAAAAACACTTTTTGCTCACCCGCAACGACACCGTTTCCCTTCGCCTAAGCCAGCACGCCGGATAATGGCAATGTGGCTGGTCATGGGCCGGGGCGACCTTCGGCCAGTTTACTGCTCAACATTTTGGGCCGGGACTCACTTATAAAATACTAAAAATCAAATATTGATTATAAAATAATATATATTTTAACTAATAATTTATTTATTTATTATTTTTTTAGTTACACAATTTAAAATTAAATATTTTTTTTATATATAAAACAATCAAATTAAGGGAAAACTCATTGGTAAGGTTCCCTCCCGATATTTTGATGTTTCAAAATTATCAAAATAGGAGAAAATTGGGAAAAGGTTTTTGTTGGTTGGTTTCTATAATATAGAAATTGGATAAAATACGATGAAAATTCAATATGTCGCACAAAGAGGTCAGAGCTATGATGCAATACAAGTAGTTTGAAATTTATTAAAATTATAAATTTTTTAGTCACGACGTAGACATGCCTTTAACAGTATCAAAAAAAAAAATTAAACGAAATACGCATGAACTGATCAGAACACCTCTGACAATAATATCCAAAAACAAAATCATGCACTATGTATTTGAGAAAAACAAGGTCAAACCCATGGTGGGCGGCAATAAAAAAATAGTTTATAAATTGTCGATACCAAACTCAAATTACTGTATACTAAGAACATAATCAGTCAACTAGTTTATTTTTTTATAAAATTAAAGCCACTTGCTTCAAAGAAACTTATACATGAAGTAGCTAGAATCATCTTTCTCATTCTCAATTGGAATAGCCTCATCTGCTTCCTCCTGCTGTAAATTACCATGATCATGGCCACCAAAGGTGTGAGGCAACTTGACACGACTCAATCCATTATCCCTAATAAACTCGGACAATATTGGCACCATGGTGAAGCCACCTGACTGATAATTAGGTGACAATGATAATGACAATGACAATGATAATGGCGATGACGATAACGAAGGTCCTGGCACATTGATGACCCCGGGGTTACCGGAAGTGCTCCTCCTCTGGCGTGCCAACATTGAAGCACGTACCACGGGTGATGGTGAGTTAGGGAGTTGTTGCTGTTGAAGAACTTGGGCTCTGCCATGAGGTAGACCATTGTTGCCGGGACGAGATAAGCTAGAAGAAACACCAACATGAGTTGTCTGAGAGAGAGTACATTACAATATATGTATAGTTAAAATTGGAGATGCTCCGTAGAAAAAAAAAAAAAAAAAAGTGGTTTCGTTTGCCTATCCAAAACAGATATTCAACACTAATTGAATCTTACCCATTACCAAAGATGAAAGGGTGCGCTAAGGACGCCGGATGCACAGTGTTGCTCATCGGAGCAAATGTGGCTGGTGGAAAATTCCAACCGTGTTGATTGAGACGAATATCACGGACGTAGGCTGGCACGGCAAACCCAGGCGCCGCCCTGGAACCGTTATCCCGACGGCCGGAAACTGTGAAAATGTCTGAAGCTACACCATCAGCATGATCATGAAGAAAATTGAATGCAAGAATTATTAATATCTCCCCTTAAAGGGATTGAGAAAATAAAGTGAAACTTACTCCTATTTGGGGGTGCCACCATATCCCTGCAAATTTTAAACAACATTGTGTTAGGAAAATGAAATAGGTGACTTAGTGTCCTTTGCTTAATTTGGATCAAGGTTTGTGAATTAATCGAATTTTGACCCGAATATGATCTGAGATCCTAAGAACGAATTCGAATATGATATATTATATATTATATTTCATAAAAAAATAATACTAAATATAATTTCGATTGTGATATATGAGATTGAGTTGCTATTTAATGAAATTGAATTAAAATTTAAGTTTAATTTCAATTTCCTTGTTACAACAGTTAATAAATAGCTAGTTATTGCAAGCCCAATAAAGCACCAAAACCCGAATAAAGGAGAAGAATCATGTTATGTAGCTAACATTCTTGTATATAAACTTATAAATAACGAAACCCGCCGCCGCCGCCTATACGGAGAAGATCTTTCTCTTCTATGAAATGGTGAGGCCAAAATTAACAGGCTAAAAAAAAGGAAAAAAGCCTATTAAAAGTAGGAATAAGGATTTGCCCTAGGTTGGAATAAGGAAAGCGACCCAGTCAACCCAAACAATTGGTGATTTGTTATCCTACTCGTAGAACTTATGATAAGTCCTATTTCCCTCCAAAGAAAAAAAAATGAAAAAAGAAAGAAAAATACTACTTGAACTTAATGTAGAGATTTAATTAATTACAACTGCTAGATTGAAATCCATTTGAAAAAATATATTTTTCCGAGTGAGAAAATTAACAAATAAGACTTACCCTAAAGGAAAAGGAGCTCCATTGAATACATTGTAATTCCACCACCGAGCGTCAGGGGGCTGCTGAAACACGTTTAGAAATGTCATAAAAGCAGTAAGAAATATTTGTCTCACAAATTATTGAATGCATAGCCATGGACAAAATGGAAGCTTTTGTAGACACACACACAATTGTTAGACCAAAAGCAGTTTTTTAGTGTAAAAAATAAAATTTTTGGTCAATTTTGAGCCTAAATTAAAGTGGGATTCATTAGTTATTTCGAATAAATTTTAGTGGGTTCATATTCTACTCCGTGAAGAGTATAACGTGAAATATTCACTTGCTCAAATCGAGTAAGAAATAAATGAGAAAATAGGCACCATAGTGACCCTTTTGAAGAGTGAAAATAAAATATGTGCAATGTGAAGTTTGACACCAATCCCACATTAGTTGAGTAAGAAATTCAACATGAGCATATATAACTCAAGTTTGCTCTATGGGTTGGACCCCAAGGGGTACCACAATTTTATGAGCGGAGCGAGCACCTACATGTCGTTGGGTCTACCACACGCGTGCCGCCCGCCTTGCCACGACCCGGCCAGGCGGGGCTCGGGTGCAAGTGTGCTTTAGACCAAGCTCTATCTTTTTGGAGAAAATTCATTTAATTTAATTGGGCATAAATTTCTTAACCCGAAATTAATTTCGGTATTTGCTCCAGTTCAAACCTGTTTGATAGTTCAGATTTGCTCCAGTCCAAAATTTTCAAGGTGTCTACTGGCTGAGTCAATTTTAGTTTATGGGTTGTGTCCTTTAATAAGGTGACTATCCAGAAAGTCACCAATGCATCTATAAATATCCAAATCATGCATTCGTTTTATTCATTCAAATAATCAGATTGTTTTTGGCATTAAATGTATTACATTTCAGCATTTTAAGGCAATACATTTGGAGAGTACACGACACAAGTTTTGGTTCGCTATACGAACAGATTGAAGTGCTACTTTTGTTCATGGAAGATCATTATATCCTGGGAGGCAGACGTTCGAATTCTATAAGCACCGTGTGTGGGGGCAAAATCTGTTTTAAGGATATAATGTCAAACACTAGCCTTGATCTACTACGAGTTCAATAACAGTTCCTGTTCTGCAACCGGGTTAGTTTTTATATTAATTTGATATAGAGTTACGTGTATCTGTTTGTTGTAACTCTTTCGTGTTTACTATAACTGTTTTGATTTGTGTTACGGTTTTACAGTTCACATTTACTGTTTGTTTTATTTTAAGTTACGTGATATCAGATATAGCAATAAATAATTTTACAATTTTTAAAACACCTCAAACAACAACAATTACGTCATTGTTGACACGTAGTTTAACCAACTAGTTAATAATCATAATGAATTGTAAGTAATTAATTTAATACACTAATTATAAGATCGGGTGGTTATTGGATATAATTGGAAAGTGGATTTTATTAGATCTATAAAGTGGTTTTATAATTAATTGACAATATCACACGTAAATAATCACGTGTATCACCATACGAAATATTGAATATATGTTGGAAAAGTTGACAAAAGTACAACTATTGTCAAATTTATACTCCGATTCATTCAAATTAGAGCAAAATTTTAATTTTTGGTATGGTACAGAAAAATTTGAATATCACAGAAGAAGAGCAAAGAAGTTGAGAAAAGGCAAAAGGAACAAAAAAATTTTTTGGTGAAAGCGGTTAGGGATGTTCGGTTAGAGTACGCACGCCTCGATTAATCTCCTTTTTGATTTGGTCAAAGGCTATTCACGTTGAGATTAAAATAATTATGAGGGTTAAATTTCTCGTGGCATGGTTCTAAAGAGTTGTCAAATTTTAAATTCAGGACATCTAGATTTATAATTCATCTCGTTACCATTAAAATGAATATTTTAAAAGGAAGGGTTACTAAGAAAAATGTTTGTTTTTTACTACCTCAAGATAATAAAAGTCGTCATCATCAACATCGTCGTTGTAAATGCTTTGCTCGAAACCTCCAGCAGCAAAGAGCCATTCGCCTTCCTCAGTTACACGACAATTTGGGCACAGCATGACCTTTTTAACGTTGAACTCTGAACCTATGCAGTCTGAAACTCAATGCAAAACAAGGGCACAAAGACACATTAAAATAAAAGCAGTACTGGTATAACAAGATAATTATTTGTGATACGATGCGAACTCGATACAAAAACAAATGCTATATATACTCATATATAATGTCTATTAAAGGACTTTAGGCTTCAAACTGAAATCCATGATTAAGCTACTTCTCAAATTGCCTTTTTTTTTTCGGTGCAAGAAGCAAAGATTCCATTTTTTTTTTCTGATATCGATGAATTATTCTAATCTCACGCTGTTTGAACTTATGGATGCAATGCAAAACTCGGTTTTATGCAACCCTTTTTATGATATCAGTGAATTATTCCAATCTCGTGCTGTTGGAACTGATGATGCAATGCAAAACTCGATTTCATACAAATTACCCGTTAAGAACTTTCATCGGCTAAAACCACATTATGAGAGGCATGTGGGACTAACCTGTGATTTATATGGAAAATGTTAGATTTAAAAACTTGATTTGATAAATCATGATCATTGAATTGGTAGTGAGTCCCAATAAATACTGAGAGCTCAAAATTAAATCAATGACAAGTTCTTAATTCTGTATCATTTCTCAATTTATATAGCAGTTTCTTGTAGATTTTGGTGGGTGTGTTCTTGGGTGGTGAAGCTGCAAGTGTCTATTAACTGATTTTCTATATACTGAAAACAGACATTTTATGGAACAGTTATAATCTGATAAGCAAACCGCTAACAACCGGTGTAGGGTAAACCACCACCTCTCAGGTCTCCCAATTCTACCATAAAAACCAATGATAGACAATAATTGCCCCTCGCATGATTTCAGATATTCGACTTTAGTATACACCAGTTATTGATTATAATAAGGTGCATACTAAATAACAGCAAGTATAAAACTATAAACCACAAAAACAAAAACAAGAACAGACAAAAAAAGACAAAGAAAGAACAAAATCAACATTAAAAAGAAGACAAAGAAAAAAAAACCCTAAGCAGATAAAGAAAAAGAAAAAACCAGTGTACACAGACCCAGATGGAAAACATGGCCACACTGAAGCCTTGCTGTTGATCTGCCATTGTTATCAACAACAGCTTCCAAGCAGATGGAGCACTGCCGAGCAGATGAAGCATTCACTAGAAAAGATGGGTCTGATTGTCCCATGACGCACACAAACCTCTCTGTCACAAACAACCTAGACCTAATAACCTTTAAAAACTCAGCAAAGAAGAACACTCCTCACACATAAACTTGTACATGCACATATATATATATATATATATATATATATATATACACATATGTATACACTCACTCTCTCTCTCGTTGTGTCCTGGTTGGCAGATGGTTCTGTAAAAGGAAGCACCAACATACCAGTATGGAATGATTTGGAAAAGTTACTTTTATATCCGGTAGTGTACAGTCCATGGATGATATGAAGCATGAACAAATGAGAAATGAACACGTATGGTAAAGTGCCACATGTCACGTTTGAATTGGTGGATATTTGGTGGTATAGTGGGAATTGGCTGTACGATAGCTAGCAACTTCATTTTTCTTGTAAGATTTGAATTGTTGACCGCTAACGTTGAAAATAGAAACAACATAAAAGAAAATGTTGCAAGGAATTTATTTTTTATTTTTTTTAAAAAGAAGTAAAATATCAACCATTTAATCCTATTGCATGGGTGATTTAATTGGTAAGCAAGTCTTACTCTCACTTTAAAAGACACTATTTTTTGAATTTGGACCCGACTAATCTAAAAATTACTTAGACGGAGCGGACAAATATTTAATATTCACAATAGATCATGAATTTATACCCATAAACTTAAAAGTCATAATTAGTTATTGCTAAAATGGAAAACAAAACGGAATGTACATGATTTTTAACATGTATAACCATCAAACCAAAGATCAAAGAAAGGCTAGACAATAAATTATATTAAATAGCAACTGTATCAGATTGTCGCGTGCTAATACCAGTCAATAATGACGTATGTGCATGAAGTATATCCATCATGTTGACATATTATGCAGTTTACGTACTTATTCAATGCAATTCATTATTAATTATTCACTGCATGTACGAGATATTATTTTTGGACGGTGATAATATGTATCAGTGTCGATCGTGTGAAGCTCAAGTTTAATAGGTATCGATGTGTTTTGAATAATATCAATCTGTATAGTAAATTATGAACCCAAACCTTAGTTTTCAATATGAATTTATCAATGCATGCCGGAATATATTTTTCTAATCAAAAAAATCTCTCAACTGCGTGTTATTTGGACTTATGTCAGTTACAAGATGTGTTTACTTATCGACAAACCCGGCCTGTCCATTGCATTAACAAGGGCATCTCTTATTAGTCTCGAACTTGAAACATCGAATTATTAATTAATAAACTCAATGTCTTCTAAATTCCAACCTGCCTTGTTGGGATTTGGACCCTCTTCGTTACAATTTTCTTTTCATTTTAGTCGAGATTCATTTTTTTGGGTAGATAAATAAATCTTATGTTTAAAAACATATAAATATTACAACAAAGTTCAAAACACGTCTCGAAATATATATATAGAGCAAAAGAGAAGGAAGAATGGAGAGGATGAGTCAGTGTTGGAACATGCCATTGAGAATCAACCAAAGTAATTCATAAACTTTACTTCCTTCAATTTTAGTTTCAATCTGCTAGTAACCTGCAACTGGGAGAATAATGGAGGGATAAGCGAGAAGGCCCAATAACTAGAATAAATTCACAATTGGAACCGAATTTGAGTCTGTTGACTCGAACTCATTCAGCGTAGGGTCTCAATTGGAACATTAGAATGATACAAGTCGATCAATTGTATCGCATGCACATATAACTCAATTGAAACATAAGTCAGACTATACTCCTTTCTTACCTTCCTATTCTTTCCTTAGTTGTCCTTATACACATTAGTTGCACACACATGGCTGATTTTCAAGAAAATATTCAATGCAATAGTGATATTATATTAGTACTAGTTGATGCACACGTACCATTTTGAATGTGACTTGTAACAGTTCATATTAGAGATTTCTCTAAACTTGTTTTAATACAACTATTTTTTTTTTTTTTTGTAAATATGATTGTATTTTATTGATGGGAATAATTGACATTACAACTAAAGGGGAAAATTTGTTAAAATCCCATTAAACAACACCTGAAGAATTGGAACTTTTACATACAACAATTGTTAGCACAATGTTTGGAACCTTTCAAAGACCTCCCTATCCATTTGTTAGTCTGCTATTGTACCCATAAAAGCCACGAAATCTGTTGTAAGAATATTCCAGAACAACTCATGAATGGAAGTCCAGATTTTCTGCAAATAAGAACAATGGCAGGAAAAAATCTTAAAAATTGCATTGCCATATTGTTATTTTTTAAAGAACAATGAAATAGGTCTGTATTAAATACATTTTCTGTAAGTTTGAGGGGTAATAGGAGGTTTAAACTTCTGAATCGAAATAAAGCAATACACAATAAAATCTAATAATATATATTGTGGTTGAAATGCAAATGAAAAAATTGTTTTACTATATTAGTTGTGTTATCTATAAAAGACTTGCACTTAAAGGGGTAAAGTCAATTAGACCACCTAAGAAGTTGAGTTGCCGGAATGAAAACCAAAGGGTAATGCATAGAGAATCTTCTCAAGGAAATATAACAGCGGTTTTTATGTCAGCCCATTGAAAAAGATTATTTCCCACAAGCAGCAGTTACACTTACATTCAAGATCCCACAATGTCTATATTCCAGCAAAAGGACCAAAATCAATGGTTATTCTTCAGAAATGTTGTATTTACAAAAAGATACTCATCCAAACATTTGATTGGTCATCAAGATTCTAATATAGTATCTATTAAACCATCATTATGAGGGGAAAATTTAAAAGTTTGAAAGAACATAGTCATGAAGTTATAACAGTTATTTCCCTTTTCTTTTGGAAAACAATGCCCATACTCACCTGCTTCGAGAGGAACTGGGGAAATCAACTCAAATGCAGCACTCACATTGCCTCCCAACATAACTATCTTAATATTTTCTGGCAACTCCATTTTACTGATAATATCTGTAGTTCGCATGTAGAATTGAGGCCTGTAATTTGAGGGCTCCACCTTCATCTTTTTGTGAGGGCATATATCTCCGCCTCAATCCTCTTGTATGTTTTCACAGAACCAGGCTTCGTAATCACCTGTTCAAAAATAAAACAGCAGCAGATAATGAAGTTACAACCTTCCAAGTCTTATTTCACTATTTAATACTAAAATCAGATTTAAGTTTCATCTTATTTTCCTGCAGATGAGCAGAAACTCCTACGTATCCCTAACAATAAAAAAATGATTCTAACTTTAGTCTGTGAGAAGGGAATGATTGATCTAACAAAAAGAACAGACACATGGTTTTGCTTCTAACTTTCAAGCATATGAAAATTCGCTGAAGTTCTCATATTTGGAATTTGCATAAATTGACTAAAGAATTTACAAGATTGGTTCTACTCTACACACTGCTCCTGGTTCAACATATAGTACTGTGCAGATTCAGTTACTTAGTTTACCTGTCCTCGCTGCACATCGTCCTGCTTTAAGCCACGTAGAAGAAGACCTACATTGTCGCCCGCCTAGTAAAATATTAAAGATTGCAATCAGTTCTGAGCAAAAGAATTAGTAGCTTGAAATGTTTAACATTACTCACTTACATGTCCAAAATCCAAGATTTTCTTGAACATCTCAACACCAGTCAATGTACATTTCAGAGTTCCCTACAGAGGATAGAGATGTCAATGTTAGAAGCAATCATTCATAATCAAGTTAGACTACAAAGAATAAAGCAGGATCTTCAAAAAAATGATCACTATAAAGTAAATGCATCATATTTCATCGCTAATGACTTCGTACATTCCTTGTGGGACAAAATCATCTGAGCGAAGAATTCATGACATTCTCATTCTCATTAAAAAATTTAAAAAAATCTAAATCTCTATTTGGTTGGCTTGAAACCAACTGAATTTTTGAAAGAGAATATGATGGGATCCACTACAATCACCCATAGTTATGTACATTAGGCTGTATTTGACAATAAGAAATGGAAATGGAAATGACTCATAAAACATAGCCCAAATAAATGCATAACCAACACAGCTAAGAACCCACATGAAATGATTCCCCTTGGAGAAAAACAATGTATCAAACCAAAGTAATCCCTAAATTGCACATTAGAAGCAGTTGTATTATTAAAATGATCAACCAAGGCAACAAGATACTCGTAATATCTATCTCCACAAAGCTTCATTTTGCTAGAAATATTATTTAGGTGTCCATTATGAATTTGTTTGTTTACATTCTTCAACATTAAAACAAAAATCAAAAGAGTTAATAACCAAAACCAAGATAAAAAATTCAACCAAGAACCTCAATTTTTAGGACAATTCAATGAAACCAGTGGAAGAATATCACCAATGTTTCTAGATTTAGATAATTTAGGAACTCCTACTTTGCAAGTGTTAGAAGAAAATAACAAGTCCCAAATTATATTCATACCCAATACCTAGTCCAATTCCTCGAAATGGACTTTTCAATGAGGGTGCCTCTCAAAAGCATGCTGGGTACACCACTTGTTTGCTTCTAATGACGTGACTGCACAAGCACTTGAAGAACGTGCGTTAACATCCTCCAATTTTTCGGTCTCAAGGCCCTGTAATCCACTTAAGCTCATAGTGTTGTGCTTTAATCCATAATTTTCCATCTCAAGCAACAATGGCAGCAAAGCTTGATGCCATGTCAGAAAATCAACAACACAAAAGCTTAGGCTCAGAGAACAGATCCAACAATATGCATCAATTAGGCTCTCAATAGCACTTTGTATATATATCTATTGAACCTCAATGACCATGCTTCATAGAGACCTTCAAATGAAGCCATATTCTGTCATTTGAAACTTATTATAACAGGATCATAAAGAAAAATTCCACTACCTTGTACCCTTCCTAGACATTTCTTCTAGTAATAGTAAGGCCACCAAACCAATAAGAGATAACCCACAAGCACCTTCTAGTACTGCAGTATTTGAAATGCATGTTCCAGATCTGCTGGAGTGCATTTTCAGTGATGTTAGGACATACAAACTATGAGGAGATCCTATCTTCCCTCCTTAAAAATCCACCCCATAGAGAAAAAAGCTATAGGATAGCCATTTCACAGCTAATAAATAAATAGATTAAACTACATCAGTTCTATATGTTCAACTCCAACTACTCTGATCCCTCTTTATCAATTTATTTATGCTTCATAACGCCTAAAACAGTATGTATAGAAGGAAATACTCTTACCTTTGATCAAGAATAGCAAGTAATTATTTTCCTTTGATAGCATAGCGACATAATACAACCCTATTTTGTCAACTATTCTTGAATTAAAACATTTTCACAATCGAAAGAGACATGGAACTTAGGAAAAAACCAATACCATAGCTATTTCCTGTTATCATAGACTGTCCAGTATGATCTATTTTAGAAAATATTTTAAGTGAATAATAAAATTACAGAATGAAGCAAGAAAACATTAACCAATAGCTGAACAAAATAGAAAACATTAACCAATTGCTAATACATCATTTTTTTTTAGCAGTAGTAATACACATCAAATTAAAAAATATAATTCTGTGGTAAGATTTTTGAGCCTCAACTTTTCATCTACAGACTCCAAACAGAAAATATCTAAACAAAAACATTGCAGAAACAATAAAGATTGCTAATAAGACAGTACAGTGCACAAGTGTGTTTTAACATTAATTTCAGCTTGGGTTCTTTTCTGGGGTTTTTTTTTTTTCATTTTGGGGAATTAATTTAATATTGGTTTTGTGACACTTCTCATAGTGCTTCAAGATTGAGTTTGTAATGAACATGGTAAGCTGGACATGGGATAAGCAAAAACTGACACAATTGTTCTCAAGTGAGGATAAAGGAAGAATGGTAGCATTAGGTTGCTCACAATAAGCGTAAAACTTGTCGGGCCCAATATAAGTTGGAAGAATATTTTTCTTGGTTGAGTTGAGTTGGATTTAGTTATGGTAAAACTGTGATGCCCTTTTTCCTGATTAGCCAATTTGTGGATACAATCATTTTTCGATGACATCATCAACTTACTTTCATCAAATTTATGTTGTATAATGCCTATGTTGCTTCCATTTTCCATTCCAAATTTTGCACTCAACTCAGAAGCTTATCAATCTGGCTTAGGAAATATGCAGCATTTGATTCTCTTCTAGTCTCATTATTGTTTGTAATATTATATATTTAGATTGTGTCATTTAGTACTCACCTTTCTTATTCTTTTCATGCCAGTGTATAACATATGCAATTTCAGACACTTATAATTAAGATTTATAGCTGTGTTTTTTTTTGGAATTCCGGTTTATTGTTCCATAGTATATACATTAGTTGAATCATAACCCGTTGAGTTCTTTTCACAATATATAGAAAGTGACCACTTAAAAGCTGAGTTCCTATCTGAACCTAACAAGTTAAAACACAAACCCACCACAAATATATAAAGATACCGAGTCAATTGAAAGCAAGAAACAGTAGACAATCAATATGTTAGTTATAGTATTTGCGAAAAATAGCAATTTTTCCAGAAAGCTCATGCTCATCTAGCATTCTAAACAAGATAATTCAAAATAAATGGCAGGTAAGGTGAAATTGTTAATAAACAAAAACTCGTTACCTAATGATGTAATGCCAAAACACAACAGGCAGCCAGCGTCTGACAGAGAGAGGCGAAGGGTTTCGAAGAATTTTTTGGACAGAAAAGGGCGATTGTAAATAGGATTTTGGAGAAGCTCAGCTCAGCAGTCTTTTTTATTAAACAAATTAATTGTTGGAATGTGTATAGCCACAACCAAAGCATTAAAAGAAAGAGAAAATGTATGCCTAATTGAAATCTATAATGGGTAACTGATTTTGTAATTGAATACATGTAATTAAAAAAAATTGAGGAGAGAAAGACTGAGAAAGGGACGGTGAAGGGGGGGTGGTGTGCTCTTCTCTAATCTATGAAAAAGTAGGGAAGAAAGAGATAGAGAGAGAGAAGAGGGAGAGGGAGTCAGAGAGAGGCAGAGAGTAACGGTGAGAAACTAAACCGTAGGTCTGTGAATTTAAGAGAAGAAATAAGGAGAGAAAGTAGGAATAGAGAGGTTAATGGGGAGCAGTTAATCTAAGAAGGACGTGGATGACATAATTATAATGTTAAAGGATAAAATTAGAAATAAATTATTTTTCAAATATGCTGACTTTTTAAAATAGTATAGATATAGATCGTTAACATATATAGTACCTTCAACTAATAATAAAATATTGAATAATTAAAGTGAACTCTAATTTAAGTATTATTGACTTATATAAAAAAAGAAAATGTATAATTATTGACTTATATGGATAAATAGTAATTAGTTTATGTACAATTTATTTCCTTATTTGTTTACACATCAGTAATTAAGAATATTACGTGACAATATTAACGTAATATTACCGTTGTAATGAATATTTTGTCATGATTTTCAACCCATTAATACGACTCACACTACCTAACTCTCACACACCCACACGTCTTGTGACACATCCCCATAATGGACGTTTGTCCATACTATACGTTCTCTTAATTTTTTTTAATTTTATATAAATTTAGATATTTAGATCTTAAACGCGAAGTTAAAATAGACAAAAAACACGATATCAAATTGATGAGTTAAATTTTATTAGATCTTAAATATGAAGTTAAAATTGACACCACCCATTAGAACTTTTATTTAAATGTGTCGGTGTAGTGTAAAATACTAATAACCCGATTTTGGCATGACAAACTATTTTAATAAGTATTGTATTGTTCTTATTTTTTTCATTAGGTCATTTTAAATTTGAGAAGACTTTTAGATGGGTTTGCCAGCCTGTGGTTGAAGTGGAATATTAGTTTGCAGGGAGAAATATACTCTAACCTTGGGTTTTTCCTTCAAGGATTATATAAGTCAATTCGAGCACGATATGATTAATAAATATGTCAGTTTATTGTAAAAATATTAATTAATTGTATTGGAGGTCCTTAAAGTATAAAATTTGTCTTATTTTGATCTCCAATATTTCAATTGTATTATTTTGACCCATGAAATATTGAATATGTTTTTATATGGTCCCTTAAACAGACAATGTCTAAATTTCTAACAAATTTTTATCATAAACTTATCACGTAATACCTAAATATGAAAAAAATAATAATTTTGATAGTTCTTAAACAAAATTTAGGTAGCTCTTGACATAAAAATGTGTAATATGGGTAGCTTTTAACCAAAATTTGGATAGCTCATGATCAAAATTGTGTAATTTGGATAGCTATTTAACCAAAATTTGAGTAAAAATTTGGTTAAAAGTTATTCAAATTATTTTTTTGTCCACATTTAAAAATCAACTAATAAGTTGATAATAAAAAAATCGTTAGCAATCTGGACGCTGTCTGCTTGAGAGACCATATAAAAAGATATTCAATAGTTCAAGAATTAACATGATGCAATTGAAATATTGTGGACTAAAATGAGACAAATTCATACTTTAGAGACCTCCAGTATAATTAATCCTAAAAATATTTGATATTAATAAATGAATAAATATAATTATAAGTAACTATTTCTCAATACGAACACAATATAATAAGACCCAAAAATAATACTACGTGTGTGTTGTATAAACTTTGATTTTATTGTGTTTTATTCAAATACAACTACGTATTGTATTGTAGATTATTGTGTATAGTTTTACGGGGTCGAGCATGGATCCAGAGGGTAGTCTGGTGTTTCTCAACTACGCGGAAAATGGCATTGATCCAATTTTCTTGTAGTTTGCCCATGGCTTGAAGAAGGCCGAGGACTAAAGGTTAATGATTAATGGCGTTTGATATAATAAATATTAATTAGTTCTTGTTGTTGCCAAATGCCAAGGTTTCCATTCAATTTCTGTAGTGTGTAATGTTTTCCAGTCCACTGCCTGTTTGTTTGGTGTTATTTCTGTACTACTATTAACATTAGTGGTAATAAAAATAATTTGATTTATGTCTCTCTATTGTTTGTGTTGTGATCGTGTAGTATGGTGAATAATCAATCAGTTAAAAAAGATTATACCGTGGCATCAACGTAGGTAGGCACGTTAATAATAATCTACAAGTTTAAAAAATAGTTACGAATTTCATTGAATAAATGCACGACGACTAACTGTCTATATTGATTGTAACCATTGGGTTATTAATCAGTTTCAACATTAAATGCACTGCATAATCAATTCAATAGTTATAATTGCATGAAGTTCCTAAATTATCTTCCCAACATTTAAGGGCGGAGCCACTCGGACCTTTGCCCCCATTCAATTTCATTTTGGAACAAAATTGTTCATATAGATTTATGTAAAGTATAAATTTATCTCCACAAAAAAAAAAAAAAAAACTCGTTCATTTTAATTTTATTTCATAATTTCTCACATTTAGAAACTCTTAGTCAATTGAAGTTAAATAATGTTTAGTTACTTCAACTTCTCAACATGTAATTAAAAAATTATTTTAAGTCTTGTGATTATCCCTCTCTGTATCTAGTATCTTTGCTAATTGAATAGTAACAGTGAATTAAGTCTTTAAACTATATCTCTGAATTAAGTACATAAAATAATTTTATTGTTAAAATTTGCCCCCACTAGGACAAATTTTTAGCTCTGCCCTTGCTAGTATTGAATGCACTATACTTTTAATTTAATGGTCGTAATGAATTAGGATCGCAAATTTGGTCCAAATAATATTTTTCATAATATTAATGTAATAAAACAGATGAATTTTTATGATAAAGTACAACAATGATTCAAATCGTTTAAATTCAGAAAGCACACACTTAGTTGTGTATTGCGCGAGAGACTCTTACTTGCATTACCTATTTAGCTCTCTCCCCTACGCTTTTGGGGGCTATGGGGAGAGAGCTATGAGTCCATTCTCTCATTCCCAATCGGAGGAGTTAATCAATTATCGAGATGGAGATATCAATACGAAACTTATTACTATTTAGAGTGAGTGACTCATTAAGTCTTTCTCTCGAGTCGTTGTAAGGTTCAATTGTCACTTATGATATAACCAAACCCTTGACTACTTCTTGTACAAGTTTGAATTGTATTACTGAATGACATGATTGGCGATGTTCTATCAAAGTACAAAGGTAGTTAAGTTTGAATCTTGACAATCCCTTCAAGTCAAGTTATGAGGTATTTATCTTTCATGAATACATTAATTTCGGCATGGATGGTTTACTTTTGATCAAAATTGGAGAGAGGATTAATCGAAGTGTATATAAGTTGGTTAACCATTGAAAAAAAATATAATAAATATAAAAAGCACTAAGGTTGCTATGTATACCAATGAACATAAAGAAGTAGTCAAATGAGTAAATTAAAAAGAAAGACTCTTGCTTTTATAGTACCAGTACATGGAATTAGAGATATGACAAGAACCAGTGCAATCCTTTCAGCCACATAGTTTTGGGGAGCAGAGAGCTAATGTCTCTCAATTCTTCATCTTGGGCTTCTTCACGATCATCACTGAGCTGTGAGCATGGTGAGCACAGTAGTCGCTAACGCTGCCCAGAACAGCCCTGGGGAAGAATAAATAATATGGATAAGTCTATGGCACCAAATAAGTATTGTTGGGATGATATCAAAAGCTACTGCAAGATAAAGTTGATTCTACGATTCAATATGGCAGGCAAGTTCATGATAATATGAGGTTGTTTAGGTTCGATCCAAACTTTTTTTTACTTGAGTTGTTACTCTTCTTTTTAAACCGTAACTTCACCTCAAATGAGTTATAATTAGCGTTTATATATATTTCGTTATAAATTTAATACGATACTAAACTGGGATCACTACCCTAGTGGTGTACCTTTTGAAAGCGCCATAACCATGGCTGCCCAAAACCAAGATAGCTGCATGGTGTTTGTCTACAGCATCACACATGACATTCCTAGCATCACCTTCGGTCACTTCCACTGCTACATCCCCCACCTGCACAGGAAAGGTTTATGTTCTCTCAAGTTGAATGCAACAATACCCACGATGGTCAAATCGACCCATTATGCATATAAGTCGTTTTTTCATTAAGCTACTGTGAGTGGTTTGCCATTGAGAAAGTGGCGAAGATTGAAACTAATTTTCAAGTGAAATAGCATGATGATCCATTGAAATGAAAGGTATCATCCAGACATTTTCTATTACACTTGCATTTAATTTCAATCAATCATAGATCTTTTATTGTAAATGGGTGAGAGCTTACTTATAAATAACAGGTTTTACTTAAATTTATGATAATTAACTAATTTATCATCGAATGAGATTGAATAAAAACTGCAGTGGAGATTGAGAAAACTCAATCCCAAATCTATGATATGCAATGGTGCAATTTGACTGCCAGAACTCATACTACTGGTGCCGGTGATCCGGTGGCCAATTTCCTTCGGTTTTTAAAACTAGAGTCTAAGGACATTCTTTACCGTTGAACCAAAAAATAAATAAATACATAAATATCACACACCGATTTACTGCTACATAGCTCCTTTGTTCTCTTGACAACCTGCTCAGCTGCCTTCTTCAGATCCGCTTCCACCAGTGGTATCACCTCGTTAGTCCCTGCATGTAATTATAAGAATGTTGACGTCTTGCTTTGTTAAAAAATAAATTAGAAAATACGATATTAAGATAATAAGGTTAAAATTACACAATTGAATATTCTTGTATGAGTGTATGTGTATATATATATCCACATATGCTTAAAAACTGACGCCCAAGTGTTTATATATACATCTAGTCTTATATTTAACCGAAGTAAATGATACCAGGTCCAGTAAATCCTAAGACGGAAGTTGGAGTATTTCTTGCATGAACAACAACGAGCTTAAAATTAGAGCCCGATCCAGCTTTGAAGAAATGGTCTAGAGTCCATTCAAGAGCGTAGAAGCTGTGATCACTTTCGTCGATTCCGACCACCATCACTTGTTTCTCTGCCATGGCTTAGGGCTGTGTGGGTTTTCTGATATTCTCTCACCTCCTGTTTTTGAGCACTAAAAACAGATAGCTCAGTGTTTTGCATGAGAATGCATGGTAGCTAAGGGTGGTTTTATTAGAGTACGTCGAGAGAGAGAAAACATGTTTGTTTTGCTTTTGAGGTCTAGATTTTTTCATGGTCCGTCAACAATGTGCGGTCGTTGATTTGAAGACGACTGTGATGATGCTTTTAGAAGGAAGCATGAGGTAGCTAGCTATGCTGAAGACTAGGTCTTCAAAATGGACGGCTTAGAAAATGTTGAGGGTTGAGTGGGTTAAGGCTATATATTATGCAATTCCTTCATTTCCCGACCTCTATAAATCATGTTTTGTGTCGGGTTTGTGTAGTATCTGAATTATGTTAAGTTACAATTTATTTTATCTACACTCCACTCATTTATACTTGCATATAACCGAATTTATACTTGTGTAATCTTTGAGACTTGGACAAGAGAGACTATAAATCCCGAAACTTACAACTAAAATCAAACAAAGGATTTAAAGGTTGATTGGACTATTTTGGCAAAGCTCATCTTCCAAATCCCACTCAACACCACAACCCAAAGAAGCCCTTTATGGGCTCCAAGCATAATCCACCAGTCACTAGTAGGCTATTTTGTTGCCCTTTTCTTTGGAGGTAATAGCTCTGCACCTCATTCCATCTTGTCCAAACCATAGACATAGATTAATCCGTCAAATTTAAGAAGCAAACCTATCATATGTAAGAGATATTTCTGACCAGTAGAGAGAGAGACATGGGTCAAAACATCAATAGAAAAATTCATTGCCGTAAACAAATTTCCAAAGTGAGTTTTTCTTTAAACATTCATCAGAGATATGAAGATTCGAGACTAAACTACTAAATAAAACATGAAATCCATGTCATTCATCGTTAACTAAATACTAACAGAAACAAGATACATGGTATAATTCTTATCTTATACACACCAACTCAATCATATATTGTAGCAAAACATTATATTCGTTTAATTCCCAACAAACAAATCAAGGGAAATGCAACCCCCCCCCCCCCCCGCCCGCTTTCTCCCTCTCCAACTCCATTTTTTTTTTATTTGATTCGATTGTCAATTTGTGGTGGATAAACAGCTCAAAAGGATGCAGGAGCTTAACCCTAACAAGTCAACAAAATGATGCAAACTTTAATTCAAATTTTCTCTCCTAATTACTGGATTCTACCCTCACATGCTTCAACTTAAAGCAAGGATTTTTTTATTTTCCTCATTATGTATACCGAAAGTCATGATAAGTTAGGCCAGTGTTCATGGGTCCACTTTGAGATCCACCAGCTTTCATCCTTCTTCCCTATGGCCCCCCCCCCCACACACACAATATCCTAACCTCTTTTCAAACTTTTGAAAAATTCCTCGCAACGGCTTTATATAGTTTGAGAATGTCTATAGTTCATTTATAATATAATACGAAGCTTTGAATCCATGATGTACTACTTCCTTTTTCATACCAAGTGTATTCGTATTAAAAGATGATCACCCTCATTTGGTGCTGGTCCTTGAATTTAAAAGACCCAAGATTAGAAATATTTAAAGATGTATAGTTCTCAAAAGTTTAAAAATAGAATGGATTAACGGCCAAGAAAAAAAAATCATAAACAAATTAAATTGATTGACAATTCATCTTGGGGAAAATTGATTGATCATTAGGGTTTAAATTAAATGTCCTTCCTATGGCTTTGATCTTAGGGTGTCAATTTGTGTCGTGTCGTGTCGTGTGACTCGTGCATCGGATAATTTTGTGTCGTGTCGAAACTCACGAAAAAAAATTATTTAGTCTGTTTTAAGTGTCAAATATTAATTTAGACTATTTATTATGCGTATTTAATAATTATATAAATTTTATAATTGTGTCGAGTTTGTGTTGACGACTCCGAGTTTGGTCCCCTCATGCCATGTCTATTTTGGTGGGGCCTTATAATTAACACAAATTTAAAAATTAAATAATTTGTCACATAGTTTATATATGGAGCTTAATTTTTTTAATTATTTTTTATTAATTTTTGTAAGTAAATGTGCATCTGTATGCATATAATTTGACGCTCTTAAACAAACTCACCCTTCTAGATCACATCCAAATTACACTTTTGCCCCACTTCTTGCATGTACTAACTTATTCATGTATAGAAAGCCAACTAACATTTTAAAGGATTGCAACAACTTTTAGGTGAAAATTTTTAAGGCTGTACAATTTACATTAACAATATTTATGGTTCATGTTTGTGAATTGTATAGAAAAAAATGGTACATAAGAAAAGTGCAAGAATGTGGGTCCATCCAAATCAAATTCAAAAAATTGTTATAAAAAATAATCTGTTTAAAAAATATTAATTCACATCCAAATTCGCTTGTAATCAGACATCCGATCTAATTATTCGATTTGATCCATAATAGTATTCCGTCAAAATTTCAACAAATTATTATTTTTTATATCAAATATAAATAAGCAATATACATATATATATTATATAATAAAAATTAACATAAATATATATATTTTATTAGATAGTGATACCATATGACAATGATAACGTCTATTATGGTTGCACCTAATTTTTTTTCCACGACAAAGGATGGTTTTTCTGTCATTATGTAACTTTTGTTTTTACCCCTCCGATAACGTCCAGTCCGTGGAAAGATTAGTAATAACACGAGGGCATATTAGTCTTTCAATAAATTCAAATGTGCCGTTTAATTAGTTTGAATTTTTATTTATTTTTTGTTGATATTAGTTTGAATTTTTTCATCTTCTGCCAAATGCCAATATATCAAATAGATAGATAGATACACACAGATATATAGATATAGATATCTCTGTCACAACGTATAATGTATGAACAACAATCCAATACTCTCTTACATTTGGCATAGAGAGAGAGGGGGGGGGGGGGGGGTGAAGACAGAGTGTTGGATTCAATTTATCAGATCGCAACAATAGCAGCGATTTGATCGAATAATACTCATTTCCTCTTCATCTGGTGCTCTATCTCTGTAATAGATATACATACAGGGGTGGGTGTTTTATTTCGATTAGAATTTGGTTCTGACATGCATTGTCTATAGAACAATTTTTTCGGTTATATTTGAATTTATAGATTTGCGTTTGAAGATTACGATCAGAATTGGTTGAATTCCAGACTTGCGTGTGTGAGCACGTTCATGTGTTGCTTTGAAGTGAACTTTTGGCTTCCTTGTAAGTAAATTTTTTTTATTACTTACGAGATTCGTTTCTTATCAAGAATTCGTGATCTATATATGAAATGACAACTTTTTGATTGTGTGTTTGGATATGCGGTTGAAGCGTTGATTAACAGGTCTTGAAAATTGGCTCCGCAACGCCGATCGCAGCGCCACATGGGTGGCCAGATGCAGCAGAACAATGCCGCTTCGACTGCTCTGTACGATGGCTCCCTGCACAATGTGGGTCCCACGAGCGACGCCGGAGATGCAGTCATGGCGCGGTGGCTCCAGTCCGCCGGGTTGCAGCATCTGGCCTCACCCTTGGCTTCCACCGGAATCGACCAGCGTCTCCTACCCAACTTCCTCATGCAGGTATCAGATGCTCAATTGTTTATTTGATAGTCTCTTTTCTGACACTACGAAAATTTAACTTCATTTGCACTGTACTAGACTGACCTATACAATTTGTGTCAGTTTAGTATTACTTGTTTAGCAAAATTTCCTATTGAAAGAAAATGTAGGACTGGTTTGTACTGAATTTTGGTTCATTATGTTATCAGCACTGAATTTCTCACCTGAAGTTTATATAGGATCCACTTTCTGTGGATGGCCAGTTAAATCTGCAATTTAATCTATAGGGTTTGTGGAGTATGTTTTACTTTGCCATTTTGTTGTGTGTCTTGTGTGAGTTTGAATGGCACCTTGTATTATAGCTTATGTATGATGGATATAATGCGGCAGTCCGTGTTATTTTTGAAGGGTTATGGTGCACAATCTGCCGAGGAGAAACAAAGAATTTTCAAGTTAATGAGAAACCTCAATTTTAAAGGTGAATCTGGTTCTGAGCACTACACTCTGACTGCACAAAACTCTGCTGGGATTGCTGCCCCAGATGGTTTTTATTCTCCTGAATTTAGGGGGGATTTTGGAGCGGGGCTTCTGGATCTCCATGCTATGGACGACACAGAGCTTCTATCTGAGGTACAGAAATACATGGTGTGTTTTTAGCCCTACATTCATGGATTCAGAGTAACTTTCTATTGTACTACCTCAGCTGAAGGACATAAAAATAACATTATTCTGGACTAGAGTTTCTTGTTCAGGCTCGTCAGAATTTTCAGATTTTAGACAATCCTAATTGAATTTTCTACTACCCATCCAGTCTTCAGTTTGTCCACTTTAACTTGATTCTTCTTTGTATGTTAAAGATTTTAATTAAATATGGCACTCACATGTTAGTAGATGGGATCAGCTGATCCTTTTGAATCCAAGCTCTGAATTTTCTGGGTATTTAGAACAGTTCTGAAGCTGATGATATGTTATTCTGATATTAAAAAGGAGAAACTGAGGAAGATTATAATTAGGGCTTTTGAAAAAAATTGTAGTTCTTCTGACATATGCATGAGCTAAGAAACGTAATTCACTCTCCTCTATTGCAGATGTACATGATATTAGAAAGGAAGCAGTGGTTCTGTTTATACCTTGCATGCGGATTTATAAACCAAGACAAGCAATGGATAATGTGTCACAAAATGCTGTTTGCATCATCTTAGGCATGATTTTTAGATTTGCAATGATGTATAGTTTCCCTGTTTGCCATCTCCTTAGCATTTTGGAAAAAATGGAGAGTGTGTAGCATCACAATCTCATGCTATTTTCTGTGAATTACTACAGTAGTCTCGTATTGACCATTCTTTGGGAGGACTTCTTGGTGTGAAAAAGCAGTTCCTATTTTCCTTGTTCCTTTATATCAGTTTCTTTGTGTATTTGAGGATGTTTCTAATTTCCTGAGATAGTCGGACAGTTATGAACTAAAATTTTCGGCTATCGTAATTGAGGGAAGCTTCGGTACTTGAGTTATTGACATGATTAAAATGGTGTACCTATTGCACAATGTTTTCACCTATAGCAGAGCTGTTTATATGAATGAGGAGATAAACCTTTTCTGGAGGATAAGTTGAGTTCTTACTGCTATAAATAGATGGATTGATGAGTTTTCAGATGCTTCTCCGTGATTCATCTGTTATTGGGACTCTTTTTCCTCTCTTGCCTCGTATTTTGTATCTTCTTATGCTTGGGATGTTGGGTAGTAAAGTTCAAGATCATGCCTCCAAGAAATCATGCATATATGCACACATAAATACCTTCTATGGTTTCATCAAAGATCGAATTCGGCATGCGGTTTGGATTACCATTAATAGGGTAGACTTCATTGTGGTGAATGCGAACCTTGTGTTTACAGCAGAAACACATTAGGAAGCTGTAATAATTTGTTAAGGAATTGATGTCATGGTTTGTTGGTGACAATAGGCTGTTTTGAACAACAATTTCTTGCTTGTATGGCGCGGAAAGAAATGGCAAGAAAAGACTTGGAGGATTGGAGTTAAATGAGATTTCGTTGATACAATTATATACAATATAAGAGGTGTGTATCATGTAGAGTCTTCTCTTTTTGTATTTGTTTTTTAATGTTTGTTGACAAATAATTGAGGATCAGAGAGAACTAGAGTAAGTTACAATTTTAAAAGGAATCTAGGATGCGTTCCCCACTATAAATTGTTATGGCTGCTTATTGATGTAGTATAAATTGTTATGGCTGCTTATTGATGTAGTAAATATAGCAGACACTGTAGATTTGTGTTCTAATGTTAATGGAGATTAATGTAGTTGTCTGGGCATGCTGATTTGATTGAATATGAGGTTTTATATTGAAGAACATTGAGTTGTGTCCATGTGTCTATTTGTCAAGAGAAGCTACAGCCATTTAACTGAGAATCACTTTGATTTCATCTTTCAGCATGTTATTTCAGAACCATTTGAGCCATCTCCTTTCATGCCTGCTGTCACAAAAGCATTTGACAATAACTTTGATGCAATGGCCAGCCGCCCTCAAAGGGGGCAGACAGATGCACATGAACCCGTTGGATTACCTATGAGTGAAAAGGAAAACAATGTGGCCAAGATTAAAGTTGTGGTATGTTGGTTCCATTGCAGCAGCTGCTCTCTTTCTTTATGTGTGTGCATGTGTGTTTGTATGTCTGCATTTTGTCTGATCTGATCATGGAATAACAGAGGAAACTTTGGTTAGAGTCTCACTTAAAACGGCATGTCTTTTCTTTCCGTAAATTTCTGCCCGATGGTTTCGCTGAGAATTCTTGCAAAGTAATTTGACTCGTATATGTAAGTTGAATGGCACATGCTGGATTTTCTTGCCTGGGCTAAGTTTTTGCTTGCAGGAAAGTCCAATATTCTCTTGTATCACTTTAAAAGGCAATAGACTTCCAAAACATCTATTAAGCTCGGAAAATGACTTAGAATTACTTAAATTTGTTGGGAAGTAATTTTTTTTGTTTGTATACTATGTGCTGAGTTGATCATTATCTTTTATATATATCTTAACACAGGCATGTCGAGGGCAATTATTTGTTATTGGATTTTCACATGAAAAGCAAGGGTGGAGCCAGAATTTTTTTTTTTTGGTGGGCATATTAGCACATTTTAATTTTTTTTTAATTGACCGTAAAAGTTCATAAATTTATATTTATTGAAATTATATTTAATACTTAGAAGTTTAGTAAACATAGAAGATTAAAAATCTATATACATAACATGAACAAAAAAAAAATTAAAACTTCTTATCAAGAATGCGACTAATTATTATCCCTTACAATTGACCATGATATGTTTTTATTATTTGAAAGAGTTACAAATTAATTTTATCAACAATATTTCTTTGATATATAAAATCGTGGTAACAATCTTCCATTTATGATTTTATAGTTTACTACATAACGACACACATTTTATACAATAACGAAATAACCCTACAATTTAAAAAAATTATAAAATAACCTCAAGATATTTAAAACATATTCCAACATGTCTAAAACGTGTCTGAAAGTTAACAATAATATTAATTGCACCTATTTTGAGATTTAATTGGTGAAAACCTAATGGTTTGTGACCATTGGATAGATAGTAGAGTTTATTAAATATTAAGACTCATTATTAGACTTAATATCACAATGCATTATGTCTTTAAATTAGGTTTGAATAACATCATTCGAAAAGTTAACAAACATTTAGTTAGAGGTCTATTCAAATCAATATCACTAGAACGCAATATTAGGGTGGACACAATTCAATATGTCTGAATTTTATTTCAAAAAATACTTGTCTAATATGAAGGAAAATTTTTTTTTTTTTTTTTTGGGGGGGGGGGGGGGGGTGTGTGCTCACCCTAGTCCAAGGGTGGCTGCACCCCAGATGAAAAGTGATTATGTATTGCTGCCTAGTTCCTAAATTTTGTTTGAAATCTATTTACATCATGTGTATCAATTTTCTGAACTTTTTGCAATGTGGTTTGTCTCAGGTACGTAAAAGACCTCTAAATAAAAAGGAAATATCTCGCAAGGAGGATGACATTGTGACTGTATATGATGATGCTTTGACTGTCCATGAACCCAAGCTAAAGGTTTGAATGTGTCTCATTTGTCACTGAAGCATGTTAATTAAATTTCTATGCTGAATTTGATGTCAAAACTGAGTTGATGCTACCTTGGTTTTGAAGTAGCTTCTTTCTGTTTTTTCATGTCCAGTGAAGATTTGGAAGAACTAACTTTTTTCCTGTAGGTGGACTTGACTGCTTATGTGGAGAAGCATGAGTTCTGTTTTGATGCTGTTCTAGATGACGTGACCAATGATGAGGTAACACCTCCCTGTATTAGAGATTGAAGTAAATACTTCTGTGTTCAATATACATGCTTATCACTGAATTCTGCTCTTCGTCGTGGTTTAAGATCCCGGTAAAGAAGTCTTAACTTTGCTCTTCACTTATTCATGCTATTCTATACTGGGTTTTAGGCAAATGAGTTCAGTTCCTCAGTTTACTGGTTTGATTGTTTCTCATGCTTGAACAGGTATATCATGCTACTGTAGAGCCAATTATCCCTACCATTTTTCAGCGAACAAAGGCAACATGTTTTGCATATGGACAGACAGGTGTGCAGAGATTGTTATGCTTCTACTATTGTACTTTCAGTATGCAACAGTAACTTCTGCTTGTGGCAATTTACTTGTCTTAAAAATGAAAATATAATGGTTGCATGTTGTGAATCCGGATGTGACTACGATGGTATATAACTGTTTCACACTTGTTATGTATGAGTCTAAACATACAAAGTTGATAAGCTACAATAGTACCCTCTGGACTTTATGATAAGACCACGGTATGACTCACAACCTATAAACAATGAACTAGGTTGGATCAGACATCTGAACATTAATGCCTTTCCTGATTTTACCCTGAAGGCAGGGAGGCTAAATGGGCATATAGGCTCTAGGTTTAAACCTCATGGAGGGAGATTGCTTAGGCATATAGGCTCTCAACTCAATACTACCCAAGTCAACAAAATTTTGTCCCCAGTGCTGTGGTCAACTAAATTAATTGTGTTCTATCAGCGCTCTCTTACAAGGGCCATGTTATCTATACTTTCACATTCCATGTTAATTTTGGTCTTCTTCTGCCCCTAGCAATTCTTAATATTTTCTATTAAGAGTAGGCACACAAGCTTCTTCATCGAACCAAAGAGAGATGGCATATAGATTCTATTGAATTTGGAGTCCTTTTATGTTTTTTTTCCGGTGAGGATAATGAATTTACGAATATCAGTTACAAAGAGATTTATATATTTGTTAGACCCTTAAGATAACCGATAAGATATGAGGTAATTACCAGAGCATTTTGTTGTTGTAACATGTAATTACCAACCCCTAATCTAGTATTCATATCATTTCAATGTTGCAAGATTGGTACTAGGCAAGACTGGAGGATACGAATGACCCCTAATCTAGTATAAATCTATTACATATCTGTTTTGTAGGGTACCAACTCGAGGATACTTTGTCATAAACTAGCGAGAGATTTTTTTCTGCTATCTTGTTGTGAAGGAATATCCCTCTGTCTTGAGGGAATAAATTGCACCCTGGCCCACATTCTATTTTGTTTGTGCAGTACAGAACATATACTGAAAACAACTTGTTAGATGTTGCACTCTCAGTCGAATGACAAATGTTTTTTTGTAGGCTCCCATAGTATATGTATGATTCTTTTGTGTTTCACATTTGTGTTGCTTTGTCTTTGTGACTGCGAATTATGCGACATGATCAGGGGAACTAAAATACTACAATTCTTAATTTCAGGGAGTGGTAAGACATATACGATGCAACCATTGCCTCTCAGGGCTGCAGAAGACCTCGTTAGACAATTGCATCATCCAAATTACCAAAATCAGAAGTTCAAGTTGTGGCTTAGCTATTTTGAGATATATGGCGGAAAACTCTTTGATCTTCTTAGTGATAGGAAGTATGTGTTCTCATTCGTACTTGGAATTTTTTATCATTATCTTGTAATTTTGATGTTTGTGTCTGACAAAATAGAAGAATTATGAGAAGTTTTACAGAGTAATGAGCACTTTTTCTATATGATTCTCTCACACTATTCTGGTGAACTGTTCATAGGATATTTATATTTATTTTCCACCACCACCCCCCCCAAAAAAAAAAAGAAAAAATTATGCACACACTTGGAAGAAAACATATATGATTTATGGTTCGGTATGTACGGTCTCTTGCAAATGAGGGTGCTGTACTGGATGCCTGAATTAGATTTGTGTGTGTGTATGTGTATCTGTGTGTGCTTTTTTTTTTTTTGTTGCGGGGGGGGGGGGGGGGGGCAGCTGTCCTACATTGTAAATCATGCTACCAAGAGTGTTTGGATCACTGGTACTACTAGGTTGAAGGTTCTCTTAGTTTTTTACGTATAGCATCTCGTGTTTTACATCTCGAACCACACATCATCATTCTGCCATTAATACCTACTATCCATGTTTCTGTTTTTTCTCTCACCGCCTGTCTTGGATGCATGTGTAGCTTCAAGGGTGCCAATCTGTACATAGTGAGTGGTTATAACTGCTTTCATGGGTCTTATATAGGAAACTTTGTATGAGAGAAGATGGACGGCAGCAAGTTTGCATTGTCGGACTGCAGGAATTTGAAGTTTCGGATGTACAGATTGTCAAAGAATATATTGAGAGGGGAAATGCAGCAAGAAGTACTGGCTCAACTGGTGCCAATGAGGAATCTTCAAGGTCGCATGCCATACTACAGCTTGCTGTTAAGAAGCACAGTGAGATAAAAGACTCCAGGCGGGCCAATGATGGCAATGAGTCCAAGAGTGGGAAGGTGGTTGGGAAGATTTCTTTTATAGATCTTGCTGGAAGTGAAAGAGGTGCTGACACAACTGATAATGACAGGCAAACAAGGTAATATTTTTGCACTAACTAGAATTATATATATTTTTCCCATTCAGATACTGCAATGGTTGACTAGATAAATAGGCATTTTACCCTGCTCTGTGCATCTATATCCCTAGTTTTTTCCCTTTTTTATATTCTAGCCTTGCAATGCCTTATTGCCTCTATTTTTTGGCTGACTAGGAGGTGTTTGTATCTCATAAAGTATCTGACCAATCCTTCCGATTACATGTAGTTGGCCCATCCCTCAAATATATTGAAATAAAAAGGGTGGCTCAGTGCTTGAGTTCTCACCATCCACCATGGGGCATATTTCAATTCATGATCTCCAGCTTGTGAAGCGGGCTTCAGGCTAACTTGTCTACCCCTTGGTTTATTACACTGCCACTAACTTGCTGAGCAATTAGTGCTAGTTGCTAGGCAGATCATAAGGACCACTAATAAGTAGCATAATGTGCGACTAGCAGACAGGCCATATTTACCAACTCCCTTCCAAACCACCCCCCCCACCCCGCGCGCGCGCGCGGGGCAGGTGGTCATAATTACCTATCTGTTAAATTCTTATAAAAAGACCATGGGAATGAAGGGTCAGAGGTTGTGAATGAGATGGTTAGAAAGCCTAAGGTCACTACAAAGAAATACCTGTTTTAACTTGCATTCATGGGTATTGCACCCATACAAATCTGAAAATAAATAATTGGTTGTGTTCAAGTGTTTTACATTTACTTTGCTTCATAACATCTCCTTAAACAGGTCTCTAGGTTACTGCTTAGGTTGAATCAGTTTTGATTTGTCCCGATGGGACATTAGGGATTTCAGCCATTACATTTTGAATCCTGCTTATCAATTGTGTGTGTTTATTTGGTTTGATTTACTTTTGCTGTCTCTCTATCAATAATTATATTCCGTTTTTTGTTAGAGAAAATAATATTGTTTCAATTCTAGAGCCATGATTTTGTTTGTTTTGCGACTGCTTTATACAACCAATTATCTATAACTCTAGTATCATATCTCTGAGAAATTAGAATTGCAATGCGAGTTACTTATAGTTTCTGGTTCATTGCAGGATTGAGGGGGCTGAAATTAACAAGAGTCTTTTGGCTCTGAAAGAATGTATTCGTGCTCTTGACAATGAACAGATTCATATTCCATTTCGTGGGAGCAAACTCACTGAGGTGCTTCGTGATTCCTTTGTTGGCAACTCAAGAACTGTTATGATCTCTTGCATTTCTCCAAATGCTGGTTCATGTGAACACACACTCAATACATTGAGATATGCTGACAGGTATGCTAGTTTGTTGGAAGTGGTTGAACTAAATATTTTGAGTCATGTTTGTAATGAAAATTTTATCTGAACAATGACAGAGTTAAAAGTCTCTCCAAAAGCGGAAATGTGAAAAAAGAGCAGGTTGCTACTTCATTACCCCCCATTAGTGAATCTTCATCAGCATCATTGTTGCCTGTTTCTGCTGATTTGGAGGATTTTTGTGAGCAACAGCAAGAAGTTAAAATTGCAGATACAGGCAGAAGGGTCATAGAAAAAGAAATTTCTTCTTACAATCCTTTAGCTAATTTTAACAACCAATCATCTAGTTTTACATCAAATGCCTTCAACGAACGGGAGGAAAGTGGGGTGACTTCTGGTTCTATGGATAGAGAGGTGTTTGATATGAAGACTAGTTTTAGTGGTTCTACAAGTCAAAAAATGTATACACCATCATATTCCCAAAACTCAGTTGATACAGAAGAGAAGGTGCAGAAGGTATCTCCACCTCGAAGAAAAGCTTATAGGGATGAAAAATCTGAAAAGCATGGTAACTGGCTGAAAAAAGATGGCAGCAGCTCTGATCTGACTACCACAAATTATAAGCAGCAAACTACAAGGACTTCTAGCACAAAAAACATTGGATCCAAGCAATATGAACCTGAAGAACCTTCTCATGATGGAAACATCAATGAAGTACTTGAGGTTTGTTATCAATGTGCTTCTGTTCATACATATTAATGTTTTGTTTTCTTAGAATAGAAGTGCACCATTTTCATCTTCTACAATTGTTTTACCCTGTTTTGATTTTGTAGGAAGAAGAGGCCCTCATTGCAGCCCATAGAAAAGAAATAGAAGACACAATGGAGATAGTTCGTGAAGTAAGTGAAATGTTCAAAAATTTTAATGCTTTTCTTTTAATTGTGAAATATTGGTCTGTCTTTTTCATTTCTTAAATATCAAGTAATATAGGATCCATTAAGGCACCAATGGTAATGAATTTTTAAATCTTGTTCTTATCGTTGAGTATCAAGAGGGGGAGTAAATATTGGGTGTAACAGTTACGCCACGTCTGTATTGCCACGTGGTGTAACATCCATGACAAGCCTCATGTGATGCTTAGATAAGGATGTTTCCACATGGGCTACAATCAGTGGTGGTGTTTGTTTACATAGCATGGTATTTGTTTTGTTTCCATTAGCATTCCAAATTAATATATTCTATTTGTATTAGAAATTCCATTCGTGTGTCATTAAGGTTTTTGGGCTTTATTTCATTTTGAAATTTTCCACGTGTGCAGAGAGAGGGGGAGAGATGCCAATTTTCAAACACTTTATAGAATAAAACATTAAGAGGAGCAAGAAGTGATACTGGTGTGATAGCAAGCAGTAGTTTTTGCAAGTGCTTAACCTGTTTGTTTTGCTTCTGGATGCCAGGAAATGAAGCTATTGGCGGGAGTGGACCAACCAGGCAGCCTCATTGAAAATTATGTGTCCCAGTTAAGTTTCGTGCTCTCACGCAAAGCAGCAAGTCTGGTCAGCCTTCAGGCCCGCCTTACCAGGTTCCAGCATCGACTAAAAGAGCAGGAGATACTGAGTAGGAAGAGGATACTCCGTTGAGGCTATACATCGCTCCATTGATATGACAAAAGAGCCACTACATTGTAACTACGTGACCCCCGATAGTTTCATATTTCATACAATATATTCGTAAGTTTTCCGGTGGGCTTAAAGTCTGATTTGTTCTCCTGCAGTTACGAACCAGTAAGTCAATTTCTTCTAGGTCAGAATGAATTAAGGCACTGCAATGCCTGCTCGTAAAGATAATGTGGCCCATGCCTGTACTAATGGCTTCGCAAGTGTGGTGACAATTACCGGTATGATTGGTTATGTGTGTATTCAAATGTACTTTTTCATATGAATGTGATTTGTTCTTGCCCAAGTTATACAGGGCTTGTGGAACTCTGGCTATTTGCTGATGACACCATTGTTTCTGTTCATGGTTTTTATGTTGCATTACTCGTTGTAAATCTCTTTGTATCGTATACAAGAAATGGGTGCCCTGAATATCATCCTTACCAAGATGCCCGAATGATGGGCGAGATCTATCTAAGCAGTATCAGTTGAAGTTATAGAGCACCCCTTCAAGTTTCAGATCGATATTGAGCTCCATATCCTGTTTACGAATACTCCATATGTAGAGACAAATCCAGTGCCATTTGATCGAGATCAAGTAGCTATAGCACATCCACTTAGAGATCAGAACCCCGTTCTGGGTATTTTGCTACATATCTATTTTAACTTCCAAATTCCAATAAAATGCTGAGGTCGTTCTACCTGTAGCATGCAGGGATGGCAAGCTGAATCAAGTTCCAGCCAATCGTGTGTAATAAGCCAAACTTGAACCACCAAATCTGCTCTGACCAATGAAACAAAATCAGTTTTCCCCAAAATCAACTTGAAAGGAGGGGAAAAGGAATGAAAAATTATGGCTCACACTCGTCTCGTGATTGCGGTCCTATCAATGTACATCAAGATAACAAAGAACAGAAGACTAGAAAACAAAATTATATTCATTTCCTCAAAAAAGGTAAAAGAATGCATATCATACAATTGTCAAATAATTTGAAAATGGTCAGAATAAGTAGTGATTCCAAACACTGAACAAATGAGGCCAAAAAAATTATAGCCAAAGGAGAAAAAAAGAAAAGAAACAACACAAAAATTCAAGCCAACCCTGCAAAAAGATGTCCGTCTTCCACACCTGATTAATGGTACTCATGCAGTACATACCAGGGTTCCCTCGCAGGCTACTGAATACAGCGTACTTAGGTTTCCCCAAACAAGGTTATGTTTGACCTATTAGCGCAATTGGGCAAACCACCAACTAGAATTCACACATGTTTCACTTTGTGCTCATGATTAAGGTGAAGCATTCATTCCTCTTGAAGCTACGGGGCACACCAACTTATAATAATCATTCATCCCCAAATGCAGATCCAGTATCTGCCAATAACAAAGGGAGTTTACAAGATGGAATCAAACCTGGAGGTTTGTAATTAATCACTCCGCTTTCAATCTCAAAATCTCCTTTGCAGTCCTCCGGCGAAAGTATGGCATATTCTCCTACGAGGAAAGGACACAGAGATTAGAAATTGAGGCCCTGAAATTAGAATTGAGGTTGGCAAGCCCCAATTCCGTGACATCACATAGAATGTATCTGGACATCCGACATCCAGTGGCAATCACGGTTACATAGAACTCATCACCAACTGGGACAAAGAATTATTCAAGTTAGAGTTGTAACGAAATTAAGCTTGCCATTCAAGAAAATGACAGCTATCAGTATCAGATCACTTTTAAGATATCATTAAGCAAAGTTCAACCCCCTCTATCATCGTAAGCCAAACATCCAGAGCAGGATTTTAATATGTGCTACTAAGCAATTCAATTTTTTGGAAAGCGTCAGGAACTGCACCCAAAGCACATAATTACATATTGCATATTTTTATCATATGGTCTTAGTGAGGTGGCAGCTCACAGAGCTAGGCAATGCCAGGACTTCAAAAATTGACCTTATTTCTCTTTTTCTTTTTCTTTTTTTTTCTTTTTTTTCTTTTTGGGGCGGGGGGGGGTGGGGAGAGAGAAGGGAAATGGGACTTGAACCCTTGATCTCAAGAAGACAAAGCTTTCACAAGGTAGTACCATTGAACCAAATACCTTATTTCCCTTTAACCTCTCATTCTGGCAACAATTCCCTGGAAGCATTGAAATTGTGCACAATGCTATGGAAAGATTTCAAAAACAAGGCTACTCAAACTGATCAAAAAATATCTCATCTCAAATTATAACAAACTTGTGAAAAACAACAAAATTACAAAACACTCATTTGATAATACTTAAAGAAATGTTTTTTTAGAGAAAATTACATTACTGCAATGCTTTAATCCTAATAAACAAATGTCAAGTAGAATAATGTGGAAGTTGCATTGTAAAAAACTTGCAAAGACTTCATTTGTGTTTCCTGTGGCTCTCTTCTCACTCTCATCCAATAATTATAAAATTCAGCGTATTGTGACGCATTTCAAAATTCCTCATTGTTTTGGACGTGTATGATTGACATGTCCATTCACATACGTTACGTGCTACCTAAATTAAGAATAAAAATTGCAAAGTTTTGTGTATCACAAAAGAAAAAAATGGATGTAAGCACCTCACAGGAAGTTATCAGAAGATGACTTACCTGGTTAAAACAGAGTCGTACACTTCTGCTATAAAAGTCAGCATATTTGATCATGAACATGCCACAGTCAAACCTGTTTAGAAACAATCCTAATATAAGATAGGTACACAACAAAATGGATGCCTGAGCACTAAATAAGATTTAAAATTTCGCTTTTTCCATTTCCCTATAACACCCTCTCCTCCCCCACATTCCCCCCCCCCCCAAAAAAAAAAAAAATAAATAAATAAATAAAACCCTGAGCGACATGTAATGTTGGCCGAAAATAATACTGGAATGCCCAGGAAAGGAGGCCATCAGTAAAATGAAAATGAGAGATCAAGACAGTTGCCATACATAAAATTCTTTAAAAGAATAATAAGATTTATGCAAAATAACATTGCCACTTAACATCCAAAAGAATGTGCCAGAATATCACATATATGTCCAGAAGTTCATGGTCTAGAACATTAAAATAGTCTCAGCCTTCTCCACGTCTCGTGGGAAAGAAGGGCATTTCAGGGTCCTACATTTTTCTCCTTGAAAAGCAAGATAGGTCATGCTTGTTCATAAGGTGATGTCTCCATGTTACACCACCACATGGTCCTTTTCTTCCTTTTCCAAAGGAAAAGAACATGTAGTTGGGGTGTCTTCAATGGAAGTGAAAAGTGATGTGACACAGAACTAGCTGGAGGAAAATGCATAAATAAACATCTTCATTTGCACAATTGGGAGGGCTCTAATATCAGCTTACACAGAGTCTCAACAATCTAATAGTGAAATAAAAAATTGATCAAATTAGAAATTTAGAGCATTCATATCTTCGGACATGTGTTCAACATTGCTATAAACATGATGGGAAATTAACAGCATTAAAATCGATTGCTTTCAACACAAACAAAAGATTGAAATAACTCCATACAGATAATAAAAAATGTTGGATTGGTGTTAAACACGAACATCAAATTACTTTCATAATTATGAACAATATGATTTTTGACAGATAAATTACTTTACAACAATGACAAAAACAAATGTCAGTTCCATACTCTCTGGTGTGATATATTCTTGGAAGAGAGTGCATTGGACCAAAAAAAAATCAAAAACATACGCACCCATTTTTCTGTTCAGGAAGGTCTTTAACAAACTCTTGCTTCCAAGAACTAACATCAATGTCATTCCCACCCTTGTCCTTCACCTCATCAACAAAATATTTAGCCTGGATATCAACAAAGATCAATAGTTTACAAGGAAAAAAAAAAAAAGAATGTACTGAACCAACAAGAATGCTAAGAGAGAACTGACATTTACAACAAAAACATTAGATTTCTAAATTCAATTCATGTATCTCAACCAAACATGAATGCAAAACGTACCAGAACGGTCATCACATGGGTATCAAGACCTCCCAGTGAATCAAGATACTGAAACTTCTCATCCTTCTTATTAATAACTGCTAAGCACCAATGTATTTCTTTGTGGATAGGAACAAAAATCTGATCAAACAATGAAAATCAAGACACATGCATATATAGTAAAACAAAACAATATGCAATTAAAAAATACAAAAGAATCACAAATTTTACCTTGTCACACTCAAGAAGGTAGTAACCCAGTTTCCGTTGTGTAGTCCATCTTCTAACTGCTTTGAAATCATAACCAGCCCTCCCCCCAATTAACTGGGCACAATAAAAAGAACAGAGGGTCAAAAATTTATACACCACTTTACTCACATGTTATGACCGCCAAGAGAAAGAGGTCATATTTATCAGACACAATTAGATCCGTTGAATGTACATCATAGATAACCAAACCAGAAACTTATTAAACAAGGGAATCAGAATGCATTAGATGAACAGATCTAAGCAACATTCTTTATTTCCAGGGACCCACATCAATGGACGAAAAAAATCAAGAACAATCATAGAGTGGATCCCACCTAGAAGATTGAATATATAATATGTCATCGTAATCCAATTACAATCAAATATTAATTACAGCCTGATCATACCGACGATATATATATAAAATATAAAATAGGGCAAGCTGCAATAAGTCCATCTGACGGTCTCAAGTCCAACGACCACCAATATTCCTCTCGAAACTATTCACATTGTACCATACTTTCAAGCACGATTTACCCCTAGTATGTATATTTATATATATATATATATATATATAAAATAATGGCTTACCTTAAACAATTAAAATAATCATGTTCAAGAGGGCCATAACTTACTATTTCCCATGGTTTGAGTTCAATCTTAGATTCCAACCTTTTCGCCAAAGAGCATTTAATGCATTCACATAAATTAAAAAGTTTGATTGTCTATATTATCCTCCAAAAATTTAAACTTCTATTTATGTGGATTTTCAATGCCAAAAATGAGGTGCAAAATGAGAAATTTTTTTAATTAAGGGTTAATTGCAGTGGAGGTTTCCAAAGTATGAGATTTGTCTTATTTTGGTCCCCAATATTTCAATTACATCATTTTGATCCCTAAAATATTGAATATATTTCTAAATTATCCTTCAAACAAATATTATTTAAATTGTTAACGATTTTTTTATCATAAGTTGTTATGTGATACCTAAATATGGGCGAAAAAATAATTTAGGTAGCCCTTCGACCAAAATTTAGGTAACTCTTGACCAAAATTTTGGTAATTTTTGACTAAAATTTGAATAGCTTACGACCAAAATTTGAATAATTTAGATAACTTTTTGACCAAAATTTGAATAAAAATTTGGCCAAGAGTTTATCCAAGTTTTTTTTTTCTCATATTTAGGTATTATATGACAAGTTTATAATAAAAAATCATTAGCAATCTGGACATTGTTTGCTTGAAGGACCACATAGAAATATATTTAATTTTTCGAGGACTAAAATGATGCAATTGAAATATTAGGGATCAAAATGAGACAAACTCCATACTTTGTAGATGTTCAGTACAATTAACCTTTTAATTAATTGTATTTTGTTGGGACATCCAAAATGGAAAGGACTCCAGCTAAAACATAGGGCACCATATTGTGTGGTGCCATAGAATGCACTTGAATGTTAGAATTACAACGAAAGAAAGAGGAAAAAGTATGTCCCCAAGAGACCAAAGGAAAAAAATTATACTTGGAATGTGACAATAACAATTTTGCATTTGTAGAAATGCTGATAAAAAAATTTGCATATGTAGAAATGACGAGTAGTCAAAATTATGATACGAAGTTCTAGTTCTCCATGCTTTCACTTAAAAAGTGACACATGTAGTGCTGGTTCAAAAGCCCCTACAACTTAGACTTCACTCCACCAACTACGTTTTGTATCCTTTCCGAGGGACCAAGAACATATAGTTGTCTCATCTTGTCAGTGGATGTATTATACAATGTGCTATATATTAGTACCTACAGCATGTCTTATATTGTAACCTGTAAATTTCACAAGCTTAAACTTCAACAGCAATGCAATACCCATGTTCTTTGAAGTACTCCTTCTACATATGGGTATAGTATAGTAATCAAGGTGCATCACTGCATCTAATGAAGAGAGAGCATCAAAGCTGCTTATTGAACTTTTTGAGCATCACCGAGATTTTTTTTTTCCCCCTCTTCACAAGACAACAGAAAGGAAAAGAGAGCCATTATTGATGGATACCAAGTGTATTTAGAACAACTGTACAAAAAAACTTAATACTTAGCGCTTTGTGCCATTTAAGAAGTCACCAAAAGTGGACCACAATAACATGTCTTATAAGTGATGTTCTGCTTAACATGTATAGCATATTGGTTTTATCATGCAATACTCATCCAATGCAAATTATGCTGTATTTCACATCAATAAATACCGATATTTGCACATCAAAGCAGCCGCAAGTTTAACACAACCAGTAAATGTAATATATTATCAATTGACCCCAAGCGAAAAAGTAGGTGTGAGAGAGATAAAACTACCTTCTTGTAAAAGAATGTGTTGAAGAAGTGACATTTCAAAAATCTTTTGGGCTCCCTCTTTTCCCTCTCTTTCAACAACTCAAGATACAGATTAATAACCTAAAAAACAAGCAAATGAGTCCTCATCAAACAAATTACATCACAGGCTTACTAACTTACCTAATTAGTTAGATGACATTTTACTGCTGCCATTACTGGCAAACGAGTAAAAACATACCTCGTCATTTAACCACGCGCCCGGTCTTAAACACTGCAATACTTCTCCTGTAATCTCAATATTAGAGTTCTCATGATTGACCAAAACCTTTCTCCTGTAGAAATGGAAGCACAAATACATTACAATGTAGTAAAGCTCCTTAATACAGCAATAAAACATACATTAAACAATACCTATTCGAGTTAGAAAGGGCACGATCAACATCAGCCTCTTCTTCCTTAGTAAGTGGCACAAAAGGCTCCGTAACTATATCCTGAAACTCAATCAATTCAATAAAAGAAAAAAATCACTAACTACACCAAAATGTCTCTTCCAAAATGATACCAATAAAAACACCTCACCTCCTCTGGTTTCTTTGGATGCCAAAACAACTGAAGTGTTTGAAACCTTTTCCACTTCAACTCAATCTCAACCTGCAAACTATTAAATTTGGGATCCATTCTCCTCATGGAATAAAGTAACTTTTTATACAAAGGCACATCGGCCAAACCCTTGTTCAATGACAAGGAGTCCAACATTTTCCTGGCACAATCCCCCTCCAATTTTGGTGATATCCCCACCACCCCACTGGTCTCTTTCGAACTTTTCTCTGAAAACAAAGAGCTTCCTTCCCTCCCATCTTCCAAATTCTCAATTTCCGAAACCTCATCATCGTCTTCTTCAATAGTCTCATTATCAACCTCCATCACCAACTTATCGTCATCACCATCATCAACAGTCCCACTATCAACCCCAATCGCCTCCTTAATATCATCGCCATCATCAACAGTCCCACTATCAACCTCAATCACCTCCTTATCTATCTTGAAATACCTCAAACTATCCAATGTGCTTTTCCTCGTCTTCTCATACTCAGATTCTCTCACATTCCTATCCCTATCAGCTACAATCTCCCTCTGACCAACCCCAACAGCACTCGGCCTCGAATTCGCAGTGGACCCAAATTTGAGTGCTCTAACAGGGGCATGAACTTCTCTCCGAAATCCTGTAGTCGATTCCGGATACTGATGAATTCTTGAAGCTGTGCTTTTTGATGAGAATGGTTCATCAGGGCTTCGACACTTAGAAGATGAAAACCTGGGCTTTTTCGAAACGTGATTGTCGTGGCTATCAAAATTGGGTGGCTTCAAATACGGCGATTTGTAATTCCAGGTAAAATAATCGTCACCGCGCTTCCGATTACTGGTTCGAGCACCCATTGATCTGAACTTGTCTGAAATTCTGTGCAAACTAGAGACAAACAACGGGCACCCATCTAAGGGATTCGACTTTGAGCAAAAATTAGCATGTGGAATTCGAAATAAAAAATTGAAATCATGAAAACGTAAGGAATCAGAAACCCTAAACTTGTGTGAAGTTTGTGATAAACTATGATTGTGTAATAGAGGGGAAGAAATCAACAATTCGGAAAGTTCATCCTAGAAAACTCGGTAAACTTTGAGGTTTCGGCAAATTGAAAATTGCTGAAATTATGGAAACAATATAGTAAGAGAGACAAAATCAAGAAAATTTTTAGGGAGATCGAGAGCGAGAGAGAGAGAGAACTGCTTGGTTTTTAGTTTCTGCAATTTGAATCGATCAATTTATTGGAATCGATGGATTTCAACATCTGCTTTTGGGAAGGGTTTCGGCTTTCGCGGTTCGGTGGAGCAATGCTTAGGTGTTTCGCGTGCACACACCAAGTGTGGTTTGATCAAACATGGGGGTCCTACTGAGATCTGATCAAACATGGATCTTTACTTATGGATAAACCGAACTTTAGTCTTCGTTTTAATTACATTCTAAACTTTTAATTATTTTAATTTACCCTCTAAATTAAGAAAATTGTTTTAATCACGTACTTTTGTGTTAAATTCTGGCGTTAAATGGAAATGAAATCCTAAGTCCTAACGGTGGGTGGTCAAATATCCCTATATGGGTTTGATGGGCTGGACTTGTATTTAATTGTGGACTTTAATGAAGCCTTATTTGTTTAGGTTTTATTTGCTTTGGAATTTATTTATTTTGGGCTTTATTTGTTTGAGCCTATGAGATTTTAGGCCCTATTCAACCTAGTTTCATATTTATGAATTGGACTTTACATTTTATTTCGGCTTATGAATTTTAGTCCATAAACCTAGCTAAAAAGTTTGACAGTATTCACGGCCGGCCCATAAACAAAGCCACTGAAACAGCTACTTAGGGCCCCCAACTGAGAGGGCCAAGGTGAAAAAAAAAGAGTAATACTATTTGGACCTAAAAATTTGACCTAATTTGCTCACATAATAATGTGATTTCATGAGAACTATTAGATTAATACCAAATTTTAATGTTTGATAGCTCTCACAGTCAATTCAAAGGTCATATTTAGTCAAAATTTATTTGGGGATAAATCTATTTTGATCTTCATTATCAAAAATACTCTCAATAGTTATATTTAGTCAAAACTTGTTTGAAAAAATCAACAACTTTTAAATTGGGAATTGTATTAGTATTAACAATTTATATCGTAGAAATTGTGCTAGCATTAAAATTATGTTTCTATATATATATATATATATATATATATATATATAATAGTAACATCAAACAATAACATACACAATAAAAATTTAATCATTGTAATGGAGTGACACTCCCAAAATAGAATAAATACTCACATATGATGTCATTTTATTGTAATGATTAAATTTTTAATTAAATTTTTTATTGAACATGTTACTATTTGATGTTATTATTATTTTTTGTTTAGTGTGTTGCTATTTGATATTACTATTTTTTATTGAACATGTTACTATTTGATATTTTTATTTTTTTGTTGAGCGTGTTACTGTTTAATATTACTCTCTCTCTCTCTCTCTCTATATATATATATACATATATATATATATATATATATAGTCATAACCCTTGAATGCATGATAAAATAGAAGATTCCAACGTTCAAAAAATTGATCTCACTATATCAAATTTAAAATTAATTTCTTTGCCTTCATCATTTAAAATTAATTTCTATCTATTATTTTCTTAAAAATAATGCCAAAATTTTCTCAAAATGCATAATTCAAAAAAATAATTTCTAACACGTGTACATTATCGTGTATGGATAATGTATGAAATAAAAGTTGTATTAAACTACAAATTAACCAAATATTAAATAATTGAACATGTGATAGAATTAAATGATGTAAGCATAAAGATTCAATTTACTAGCACAATTTTTAAGTTAAAAGTTGTTATATTTGAAAACATTGAAACTAACAATGATAAACAATATTTATGATAATGGTAATTACGGAATACATTTCAAAAAGAATTTGAAATGTTTAAAAATGTGTTGTTATTGACAACTATTTGATGAAAAAGATGACTTAATAGATTATAAGTTTAAAGTTAATACTTAAAGTCAAATAAATTCTGCAAAAGGTACTCACAGTCAATCATCCCTAAAATGTAATTCGAAAGTATAGTTTGCCCCCAAAAATATCAAAACTCTCTCTTTTCATTAATGCAATCTTCAATAAAGTGCCCACCAATTGATTCACTCAAATAAAAATGCCTACAAATTAATGGTGCAACGGACATGACTATGATATACCTAAATTTATCATATTTGTCATAATTCTTACCATATTTGTAGATAGTTTTATTTATCTCTATTGTGATACTAAAAAAAGTGATAAAAATAGTTAATGTCATCCTTCAGCTACAAGTACAAATAAGATAAATACAACATTCAAATACCTTGAGAATTATCATAATCTGAGAATTTGTTAAAACATGACCAATTATATTTAGTTGTATAGCCTCATCCCCAATTTTTTTGGACATAACCGAACTAGTTGTGGAGATCTCAAGTTTTATTTTGTAATTTCCAGGTTATGGGAACATTTTGTTATAGGATAAAAATCAGGGTTATTGTGTGAGATCTTGAATGTTAATATAGAGGAAGTCTTTTTTTTTCTTTTCACTTTTCTTTTTTAGCATTTCTAATAAGTTATCGCACAATACTTTTAAAAAATGAAAACTCATATCATCCATTGAAATAGTTGTAGTTAGTGTCATTTTTTGTGAGAGTGTATACTTTAGACCTAATTGATGAACTCAAATCTAATCGGGTCAGGTCCAATAAATCAATCATTTAATTGTACTTACCTTTTGTAACTATCATCCCAAAAGAATTAGTGTATTCTCCCTCAAGTCACCGCCCCAACTCAATTAAAACTCTGTTTCTATAAATTGTGAGCTATCTCCATTGAGAGGAGCATATCTACACCTTTCTATACACTCCTCATATAGCTTCTCTCTCTCTTAGCTATTGTATCCCTCCGGGGGCTAACCCTTGCTCTCTCTCGTTCACTTTATTTTATCAACAAAAGGTCCCTCCGTCATCGTTATCGTTTTTCGGAGTGGAATAGGTCACCCGTACCAAACCACTATATATGTGTATTGACCCGATATTTACATTATTGTCATTGATTACTTTATTAATTGTTCATTAATTACACTTTATCACACACTCAATTTTTAATCTTGCATAAGTCTATTTTATATATCATCACTAATGATGTGCCAAGTGATATGGTGTGAATGAAGAAATTTAACAGTTATTGGACTATATCATCTATCACATCATTAATTGAACAAATTAGAATAAATTTATAGGACATAATAGCATTCCTCTGCTTGTAAAGGGTTGTAATTGGCCCTTTTTTTGATTTATTTTATTATTTACACCATGTATACTAGGGGTGCAATTTAGGCAGGTTGGGCGAGTTGAGGGTCAACTCTAACTTAACCCTAAGTATATAATTCTCAATACTAACCCTAACTCGACCTCAACCTAAGATACTAAACCCTAGTATTGCCCAAGTTTAATTCAGACGAGTTCGAATTGAATTCGGATTACGTAATTTGGACAAATTTTGGGTTACGTAATTCGGACTAATTTGGGTTAGAATTTGAATTGGGTTTATTCAATCTTGAAATCAGTCTATTATTCTAAACTTGGTACATACTATATAATATTTACCTAAAGTAACAATCAATAACCTTAATAAAATTTTTAACAGAAAGATCATATTATTTAAAACATAAAAATCAATATTTAATATAAAGATATAATAGTCAAATATTTAACAAAAGACTAAACCAAAAGATTGACTCTTAGTATTTTAACTTGTAAGTTATATTACTATATTGATTTATGTATTTATTTTAAATATATTCGCGTTAAACCAGATTTAGATATTTGAGTTGAACCCGATAACCCAAGACTTAAACTCGAGTATTGTCTAAATTCAATTCAAGTTAGTGTTTCTCTGTCTAGTCCCAATTCTATTTTTAATTGGGATAATTTAGTGGTTTAATAAATTCTGTTAGTCTGTACCTAATTAGAGGTCTAAATATAATATTTTAAACTTGAGCAGTCTGGTATATTTTTATAAATTTGAGAGGTTTGATGACAATTTACTAATGGATGCGGCCACAAACCTTAGGGAATTTATATATAATTTACACTGTTTAATGATCTCTATCTTCTGATCCTAGTGTCAGTCCCTAGTCCATGCCACGAGGTTTTTTCCTCCTAACACAGTCAAAGTGCAGTTTATTCTCTCGGTCCTTAAAAGTTCTACTTAGGCGGTTTCATGGAGGTACATCTTGACTCGTCTAAAGTGAATATGCCGCTGATGCATAAGGTACTGTGGCACTGGGCTATTTCCTCCCAACACAGTCAAAGTGCAGTTTGATCTCCCAATCCTTAGAAGTTCTATTTAGACAGTTTTCACGGAAGTACATCTTGACTTGCCTAGAGCGAATATGCCGCTGATGCATAAGGTAATGTGGCACCTGCTCAATCATATGCACACAAAGAATTGAACGTTGCATTAGATCGGGTTGGTAAAAATAGAAAAAAGACGAGCTGCTAACATGAAATGAGTCTTTCTTTACTTGTTGGACTTTTAGTAGAGATGTCACATCTATTCGTTTGTTTTTCACTTAGTTTTTCTTTTTTCTTTTTATTTGAAAAAATGATAGGTTAACGATTTTGGTATTGTGTCGATTCAAGTTCTTCATATTTCATTTTCTTTTGGGCTATTATTTCAATTTAAATTGACATTCTCCTAATATTGTCTCCATAGAGGATTGTAATAATTATGTTTTCTCGTACAACTTTCTTTCTTTATTTGTTCGCTTCTTTATAATCTTTAGCCACTATGATTTGTTTTTCTCTATTTCCAAACACAAATAATAATTCCTGTGGGAATCGAAAACTCCTCCTTTCGACAAAGTACAATTGCATTATGCTAGTGATTAGTCAAATCTAATCAAACAATCGAGCTAACATCTCCCAAATAAATGAATAGACATGACAAGAAATCAATTTAACCAGAAAACGATGGATCAAACAAGTTTCTTTCATTTATTCACTCAGAAATTGGGATGCTTCGACAACTCCTTCGAATTTTTAAAAAAAAAAACCATTAAGCAAAAAGAAGAGACAAAACATTGGCAGGCCGGAATCAAATTTAGATGGTGAGATTATTAAGAAAAACAGTGAAAATTGTGTTCATAATCCTGATGATCTGTTAGCATACTCCTGAACCAATGCCCCAAACAATGAGGGCCTCTCAATTAAGTTCCAAGGCGTGTCAAATTCCTTCGCCCGTCCTGTGCAACCACAACAAAGCCACAATGCAGATATTAGATGTACTATGGCTGTCCACACAAAGATACATAGCAACTGACATCTACAACACTGTCTGCTGCTGATCAGGGTTCGACAGAAATCTACATTTTAGGCACAGTTGTTTAATCGAAGAAGAACATAACCTATTTTGCATAGTTTGTATTTGTTGTATAAGAAAATTTGTTATTTCATGTTTCATCTAATAACAAATAAATAGGCAAAATGACCATGGGGATTCAAGTCACTGCTTTTATATTAGGAAGCTTGATCATAAGCTCCAATTAGACTTATTTTTGTATCTGTGTGCAGCTTGATCCTATGACTAACTTCAAAAAAGTGCATAACTATAATAACAAACCAGTAAGTTTATGTGTGCAACTTGGCATAGCCTAAGGTGTTGATTAAAAATGTTTTACTTTTGGATAACATAAAGCGAAATATGAAATTAGTATAGTGAGAAACATACCAGCACCTATAACTAACACCCTGTCACAATCAATAACAGTGTGTATTCTGTGAGCAATGCTAATAATTGTACAGGACGAGAAGTCCTCACGAATGATCTTTTGTATTACAGCATCAGTTTGGGAATCAACAGAAGCTGTTGCTTCATCCATGAATAAAATCTTGCTGTGCTTCAGCATCACCCTCCCCAAGCACAGAAGCTGCCTCTGCCCCATGATCCAATTGTCTCCACTATCAACCACTAGTAACATAAAATAGTGCTTATTATAAACTTTAAACAAATCAGCAATGAGAAAATGTGTTGAATTTGAAAGAAAGTGAAGAAAAATTACAAAAAAAAAGGTGTGTGTGTGTGCGCGTGAGAGAGAGAGAGAGAGAGATACAGAGAGAAGGGGGTGAGGGGACCTGAAGCATCAAGTTTTTCAGGCTTTCCAGCAACCACATCTTTCAGTTGGCAGCGTTCAAGACTCTAGAGAACATTAAACAATCATCAGCTTATTGTAAGGAACTTTAGAGTATGTAGACATACATTTTGTGTACTGCTTCTATGTGTATATGCACATAGAATCATACAGATGGAACGAAATATGCACCTTCCAAATTTCTTCATCAGAATACAACCCAATTGGATCAATATTGCTTCTAATAGTTCCTTCAAAAAGGACAGGTTCCTGAGGAATAATACCAAAACGAGACCGAAGATCATGAAGGCCAAGCTTGCAAATGTCAACCCCATCGATAATTATTTTTCCAAAAGAAGGCTCCACCAGCCTAAAGAAAATTTGGATCAGAGTTGACTTCCCACTCCCAGTTCGGCCAACAACACCAATCTTCTCTCCTCCTTGGATGCTAAGACTAATGCCTCTAAGAACCAGAGGAGTATTTGTCCGATATCTAACCTGCTCAGAATCCCAGTAAGCATTTTGTCACGAGGGCGTCTAGATGTATAGGGTATATAGAAGAACTATAACTTGGGCCACAGATAAAGATACCATATTTCATTCGTCCCTAGGCAATTGCTAACTAGATGAAAATTATAGCATGCACATTTGCACAGGGCCTCTTCTTTGTTAAACAGAACACCACGTATGGCATCAAGAGATGCAATGAAAAAACTGCATAAGTTACCTGCAAGTCTTTAATCTCAATGTCACCATGGTTGGGCCAATTTGGAGGGGGAAGTGAACCTGATATCTTCCGTGCAGCTTCTGATGGGATTTTGATAAACTGTTTTATTCTCTCAACTGAAACCATTCAATTCTCCACAAGGCAATTCATGTATACAGTCCAAAACAGCATAGAATTCAGTCCCAATCCATAGGAAAGAGACAACCCAACATACTCTGGCATAAATAAAAAGTCAGTGTCAGTGTTGAAAATTAATTCCCAGATTACTTTCTTAATGGACGTGCTTAATTTCAGGCAACTCAGATTAAACGAATGATGGAATCAAATTGTTTGAAACACAAATAAGGTAGCAAAATATCTGTTAAAAGGAAATAATTACAGTAAAACACAACCTGGCTTCACAATAGTGCTTGGCAACAGAATCATGCACATGGTCGAAATGCAGAGGAAAAAGGTCCCCATCATTTCCAAGCGGAACCCCAACCACTCGCTCGATGCATTGTTGTGGAAATCCATCCGTAAATTTGCATTGACCCTCTCCACATTTCCCTGAAAGAACTTATTCTGCGCCCTGAAGCAACGTATGGTCATAACACCGGATATGGTCTCTGAGAAGTGATGAATAACTGGGGCTTTAGTGATTGAGTCCAGCCTGGTTAACTCGCGAGATGATGCAAGGTAGTACCCCTAAAAACCAAGAATTAAGATAGGACAAAAGTAGAATGACCATATACATAGGTGGGCATGAGCTGGCCTGTTGTTTCACAGAAATACACACAATGATCGGTCATAGCAGAAAACGTGCAGTAGTAAAATCATTGAATGTTCTTATAATTGATTACAGATATTTAGTCTAAAAAGAAACCTTCCATAACTTCATTAAATTGAATAACAATTTACTCAGTTCGGGCACAAACACATTGAGTTCCCATTTCCACATAGGACTCTACTGTAAATAGTAAACATGAAGTATGTGGAGCATAGCACAAAATTATTAGATTTTGAACAACATTTACAGACGATTTAGACAAAACAGGATAGAATGTTTGTACTATTTTATGACAAGAACCCCGTTGAAGTAGGGAATGAAGTATTTGTGCTCAGTTCTAGCATAAGAACAACAATAAATTTTAGGCCATAAAACAATGCTTATATGGGTAGATATATCACAACGTACCCGGTACCAGATATTCACCCAAATCAGTGGGATTACGAGGAATACAGTTGGCCAAGCATACTGGCATGTAATGACCATAATGCCAAGTAAGGAGAAGTACATCATAATTGTCATACCCAAAAAGAAGGGAATTAAAATGTCAATGTTGACTTGATCAGCTGATGCCTGAAAAACGAATTGTTTGTCAGTAAAGGCATTCATTCATTTAATTCTTTTTTCATGGATTTATTTTTATAATTTTTTTTTGGAAAATACTAGAAGGTAGTAAAACTCACACGACTTAAGGAGTGGTGTCAAAGAACGACATTGGAGCATGTAGGACGCTGTATACAAATTGTTTGAAGAAGCTCTGAGCAGTCTTCAGACCCAAAAATGTTACATAGAACGTCCTAATGAACACCAGTACACATGAAACCACAGCTATGGTTGAGTATAGTTTGATAAATAGAGAAGGGTTAAAAATTTGATCATCTGAAGTCTCATATGCCAGCGAGATGACTGATATAATACAGACATCAGTATCACAGCTGCTACGCCCCACCATCCAAATGCCTCGGTGCAGTACTGTGTACACATCTAAGCTGACATGGCCAGTTTCTCTTTCCTCTTCTTCAATGAGTTTTGAATTACCCTTTTCAGAATTGGACCTATCTACAGACCTGTTTTCACCATTAAGTTCTCTTGGGCTTGAGGCGGCATGAGGTGATTTTGGTGTCTGTTGGGGGTTGTCGATGGACATGGTAATGCTCATTTCTAGTAGCTCCATGGAGGTTTGATGGGCAGCCACAAGTGCAGTAAAATCCATGCCAGATTCCAAAAGCTCTTCATTCCTCCCAGATTGCACGATTGTCCCATCTCGCATGACCTGTTATATTGCAAAAAGAAAGTCCAGAAACTACTAGAGAGGAATTTTTCTGCACAGTCCAGGAGATGTCTTGAGAACTATGTAATTGTAATGGAAAATAATTCTATGAAATTGGAAATTGTAATAAGTCTAAGCTTCCATTATAAGAACTGCATCTTCACAAGATGAACCATAGTTTAATATATGTGGAACTACTTGCATAAAAACCAACTTTGTAATCTTGAATGCCACTTTTTCCCTTGATTATGTGATATATGCAAAACAAATCTTTTATGCACGAGAACTGTTTTACTACTTATATCAGTATGTCATGATATCTGTGAAATCAGAGTGATTGGCTGATCTAACCAAATCAATGAACTATAACATAAGATTGGTATATCCCACAAAATGCGTTTGTGACACCCACTAAAGACCAGTTTGTAGAATTTAAAAGGTGGAGATCAAAACCTACATGAAATTCAAAGTTGCCTAAAGAAGAGAACCACGCTTACCAATATAAGATCAGCATTAGGCAAGAAGTCAACTTGGTGGGTTACCAGTAAGATGATCTTATCTTTCAGAGCTCCCCTCACACATTCCTGCAACAACTTATCAAAATCAGGTCCCTGATTTACCTCAGTAAGAGAGTTGATTTTATATTTGAAGGCAAAAGAGAAGTCATAAAGAGTACTTTGTTTTCAACAAAGTTGGAAAATAAATATATTTTGTGTGCAGACCCCATTAAAGTCTGGTCACCACTGATATTGCTGATTTTTTATTTTTGGATCCACAAGACTTCAAATTATTTGGCATGATTAGTAAAGTTTTAGCATGTGAAACATCTAATGCCACGTCAAACAGTATCACTAAAACAGATATTTGAGATAATCCTCTTGCTATGATATTGTCTTTATGGTGACCTTGAAGATTTCTGATCCAGTGTGAGCATCAACAGCGCTAAATACATCGTCCAGAAGATAGATATCACAGTCCTGATATATGGCTCTAGCAAGTTGTATTCGCTGCTTCTGGCCACCACTAAGGTTGATTCCACGCTCTCCAATTTCTGTCTGGTCTCCACGCTCCATAATTTCCAAATCCTTCTCCAGGCAACAAACTCTTATCACTTCCTTGTATCTTCCCCTGTTCATTGGTGAACCAAACAGGATGTTTTCTTGAATAGTTGCATTCTGTATCCATGATGACTGAGCCACATAAGCTGTGGTCCCACAAACTCTGACCTGTTCAGGAAAAAAGGAATTGAAAAGGTTACATGTTTATGGAATGAGCAACAAGGAACATTCTATTTCTTAATCTTATGTTTTAGTACCAAATCCTGCGCTATGAACAAGGCCACAAACATTTAACAGAATGAAATAGAAAAACACAAAACAACAAATTTATGTGTTTTCCCTCAAAAGTCTACTACCATGAGAGCGCAACAGCAAAATTACACCATTAAATTTAAAGATTACAAACAATTATTTGAGCTTCTAAGCACATAATAAATGCTTAGAAGCTGAATATTTGGGTGAAAAATGAAAATAAGGCGCCCCAAAGTAGGTTGACGATTAATAAAGTTCAGACTCTTAGCCTATGTAGTTCAAAGAAAAACAATAAGTAGTACTACTAGTAATAGAGGGGAAAGAATAAAGAAGATAAACACTGCATTCACCCATGTATAACACATCACATATAGATACAGAGTTAACTCACTTTTTTATTAATTCAAAGGACACTTTTATGAACATAGAACTGGAATGTATAAAATCCGAAAAGTGAAAGGCAATGGAGCCAGAAACAATATCTCATTTTTTCTGACATGAAATTTTGCACGTAAGGAATTTGGGTTGCTCTTTAGGGCATTCACCATCACTTAACAAGCAACGAATGAAACATAGAACTCTTTCTTCAGGCTATCTTACAATAATACTATGCCATCTGCAATTTGACTTGACCCCTCTAGGTTTTTAATGGCTTGAATAACTATGATGAACTATGGTAATGGTACAAATGTAAAGGCATGGTGAAAACAGAACAATTTTGATTGTGAGTTTGAGACATGGAAGTAAATTTGTACCATTCATCAATACGATAAGAAAACAGGGGTATCCATACCTTTCCTGAAATTTTATGCAGCTCACCAAGAATTGAAGCCAACAAGGAGGACTTCCCTGATCCAACAGTTCCAACAATGGCGGCAAGCTCTCCTTTCTTGATCTCAAGGTTCACATCTTTCAGGACCTCCTCAGTGCCTTCGTCATCCCATGAAAAACCCCCGTTTTTCACATCCACTGCAATAGGACCACCACAACCTTCCTCTCTCTCGACCAACACATTTTGCAATTCCTGACTTGTCATGTACCTATCCAACCTTCCCAATGTGATCATTGTCTGTGAAATTGAAATAAGAGTTGGTGGGAAGGTCTGGATAGGATCCCCTAGAATTCTTAGTACTGTTACTGCAGTGAACACTGTCCCAACATCAAGATGGACTCTCAACAAAGTAGCAACCGCAAATAGAAGAGCTGATATCAAAACAGGAACGCTCCAGAGCACAGCCATGTTCAAAGACACCAAGTACAAGAACTTTCTGATCCAGCCATACTCTGATTCACGAGAACTTTGAATTCTCTGATTGAAGTATTCCTCCCATGCTTAGAACTTGATCACACGCATGTTGTTGAGCATCTCAGTTGTTGCCTTCATCCTCGAATCACGATTTTTCATCACATTGTACTGTAATACATTGTTCCTTTGGGTCCTGACCAGAGTGAAGATTAAAACTGCAATAACTGCAACCAATGCTGTAAGCATTGAAACACCCATATATCCATATAAGAGGGCTAACGCAACTCCGATTTGTAATGGCATTGTCCAAAGAGCATGAACCTGCATGTCAGAGAGCTGCTGGGCATCAACAGCCATATAATTCACAATTTGTCCAACCCCATGAGCCTGCTTGGAGGAACAAGACAACCTCAGCCCCTTTTTATACAAGGCAGTAATGACACTGGACCGAATAAGCATCCCTAGTTTCAGAGATTGAAAATTGAATTAATGTGAACTAAGGACTTCAATGAGTTTCGAAATCAGGAGGATCAATATTAGATAATATCCTTCATACGGATTACTGCTTTTCCCTGATGTGAAATCTATAAAACTCAGGATTAGGACTGGACCAACATACCTAACGGCCAAACGAAGAATGGCAAGGAAACCAGTGAAAGCAATGTCCTTCCAGAAACATCGGATTAATGTGGTTAGTACAAGGTTCTTTGAACTCTCCCCTGGCTTTGGCCAATTTGATTCAAAGCACTTGGCCATTCTCTCAGCTCTATGATCAGGTGGCAGTGTGGGGACTTCATCCATCTTTAGAGTGGATTTGTATCCCTTACTTAGAACTGGATTCATCCAAAACCATACTCCTCTAGACAACAGAGAGGCGTTTGCATAGCCACTCACATTAGACTCTGTCAAAATGGGTTCAGATAGTTCTGGTCTCAAGTCTGTACCAAATTCAGATTCTCTAATCATACTAATCCCAGATGACCCCCAACCACCAACAATGAAAAGAAAAGCAGATAATGGAAAAATAGCCAAGAAAAATATACCATCCATTCTTATATGTGGATTCAGATCGCCTCCAATATTGATCAACCGGGTTATAGCCCCAGCAGTGAATAAACACAGAATAACAAAATTAGCCACCCAATTTATTCTAAGAGACATAGGATGAGAAACAGCTCCATATTTTCTCTCATGTGCAATAAGAACCAAAATTGACGCTTGAGTTATTGCCTGAACCAACCGGAACAAAGCTTCTATTAGCCCCCATGGTGATTGGACTCCTTCACTGAAGGCTAATATGCAAATAACAGTATAAGATATGGCTAATAGAGCTGTAATAAGTAGAGAGAGATAGAACCAAAGGCTCACTCTAAAGTGAGACTTTTCGGTTACAAGAAGAGGTTTATCAATGGAGGAGCTGGTAATGCCCTTCGAGGTAAACCTAGAACAAGTCTTTTGGGCTCCAAAAACTATGAGGGTGAAGAGGAAAACAAGATCAACAGATGACAAGAGTAATCTTTGGGAACATGGAGAGAGAAAAATGAATCCTAACCACTGTAGTACAACTGAAAGAGAAGATGAACCATCAGAAGATTGAGTGATAGAGGGGGAACATTCAAGGGATGAGAGCCATGAAGAAGACAACATGGTTACCAACCCAGTTGGATTGAAAACTGCTTCTGATCATACACTACCTTCCTGAAAAAGAATCATAAGGAACAAGTCACTAACAGAAGAAACAAAATCATCTTGAGAAAACAAAAGCATGACTTTTCACATACTCATTACATTCAGATTCAGAAAGCAGGGTACAAATATTTCAGAAGAACTGAACTAAACCCACAAAGGAATTCAAACTTTTGAGAAAACCCAACAGTTGGAGATTGGGAATTTTCAAAGCTTTTATTGCATTATAGTTCTCGGATCAAACAAAGCTTCATTGAAATGCTTATGCTTGCAGGCGGTTTGAGTTCACCGGTAGCGTTAGAGTCCAGAGACAAGAAATAAAAGGAAGCATCTATAAAGAAAGAAGATGGTTTTTTTATGAGAGTAAGGACAAATTAGAAGACAAGAAGGTCGCTTAGGAAGTGCAGGTCTAAATGCAGTTGCATAGCCAAAGCCATTTTCCCCAAAACAATATAAAATTGCTGCTTGTTATATTGTTTCTGTTTATTACAATATTTATGTATGTCTCTCTCTCTCTCTCTCCATCTCCAGGCGGCCAAGCTTCAGTAAGATACAGGACAGTTTTTGTTTTTTTTTTTTTTAAGAGAAAACTTTGCAGAGATATCATTTATGGAAAAAAATTCTAATTACAATCCGAAGATGATAAAGTCTTAAGTTCGCCGGGGGCAGTTCGTCCAACGCTAATGCTTTTTGATACGATAAAAAAGTGTGAGGATGGAAAGTTGGTAGGATGAAAAATTAAAAGGATAAATAAAACATCATGTTTGATAAGAAAGGAAAATAGGAAGGATGAAAAAATTGATGGATTAACTTTCCTTCTAACTCAATAAAATTAATCCCTCTAAAATTGGAAAGAAAGTGGATGAAAAATTAATTATTTATGTTGAAATGTATCTTATTTCTCTATATATCTTATGTATACATTAATTTCATATAAAAATACAATGATAAAATATGTATATATATTTTAAAAATTAATTTTTTAAAAAATTTAAAATAAAGAAAAAAAAATTTAAGTTAAAAAAAAAATTCATCTTAATTAAGGATGAAAATTTTTGACTGAACACGATGACACGACTCGAATTTAATACGAAAATAAATAGGTCAACTCGCAACTCGACACGATACAATTAGTTAAATGAGTTAAGTTAGATTTGACTAATATTCGACACAAACTCATAATGACTCAACACAAATCTAACATGACACGACACGACTCGAGTCGATTCTATTGTCCAACTCTAATGCTCCGTTTGATACGATTAAAAAGTGGGAGAATAAAAAATTGGAATGATGAAAAGTTTGAGAGATAAATAAAACATCATATTTGGTAAGAAAGGAAAGTAGCAAGGATGAAAAAGTTGATGAATTAACTTTCTTTCTAACTCACCAAAATCAATCCCTCTAAAATCGGAAGGAAAATAGATGAAAAGTTAATTATTTGTGTTGAGATGTATCTTATTTCTCTATATATCTTATGTATATATTAATTTCATATAAAAATACAATGGTAAAATATGTATATATATTTTTAAAAAAATTAAAAATTAATTTTTAAAAAAATTAAAAATAAAGAAAAAAAATTAAGTTAAAAAAAAAAATATTTCATCTTAATTAAGGGTGAAAATTTTTGACTAAACACGGTGACACGACTCGAACTCAATACAAAAGTAAATAGGTCAACTCGTAACTCGATACGACACAATTAGTTAAATGAGTTAAGTTATGTTTAACTAATATTCGACACAAATTCGTAATGACTCAACACAACTCGATTCTATTGTCGCATCTAATCTTAGTCAGCACAAAAAAAAAAATAGTCATTTTTATTTTTTATCCATTCAACCAAACACAAAAGAAAGAAAGTATATCCTTCCTACTTTTCATCCTCGAAAAATAAAAAATGTATCATTCCTACTTTTCATCCTTCTTACTTTCTATCCTTCCGATCAAACGAAGGATAAGGAATTAAGTTAAATCAAAACCTAGACTGCAAACAGCTCGATTAAGAGCACGGGCCTTGGATACATCACAGGTGTATACACTAAATTTTATGGAGGTTAGGGGAGAGAATTCGTGAATATTTAAACAAATCACATTGATTATCTCAACATGGTACACACAAACTCTCTCTCTCTCTCTCTCCGGCCATTATCTCACCATTGTAGACTGCCAAGTGCAAACGAGTAGAGACCAAGATGATAACACCGAGGCTAAAAATATGGGAAAAAAAGGGGTCAATCTCAAATTTCACAATTTAACGGCATCAATTTATCGTCCAAAATTAAATAAATAAATTATACTTAAACTCTTTCATTTTTTTCACTTAATTATTTAGATCTCTAATATTTAAAATATTACACTTACATTCCTTAAGAATTCAAATATGATTAAAAATATTTTTTAATTGAATATTTAAATAATTCTGTTCAAGTGATGTATTGCATTTGATATAAAGAACATTATATAAATATCTGCTTTATATTGGGCATTTAAATAGTAAACTTGATTTTAAATTTTAGAGTATAATGAACCCACAAAATAAATGGTAGTATAAAAATTATAATTTTTTTATTATGATGAAATCATATTTTTAACGGTTATATTGTCAAATATCAACAAAGAATTATGTATTACACGTATATAAACATCAAGAGGTGTAAGAGTAATATTCTAAATATGAGGGAGTCTAAATGATAACACATGAGGAGATCTAAGTATAATTTATCTATTTAATTTTTAATCGCGCATTAATACAGATTTTTATCTTTGAGTATAAATCAAAAAATTTAATTTATGAGGGTATAAATTAAAATTCAAATAATATTTAAAAAAATAAATTAAAATTTTAAAAGTACAAATTAAAATTCGAACCATGTTTCAAAGTTTAATTTACGATTAGCCCAAAAAAAAGCTTGTTGAAATGGGATGTGAGCCAGCAACGTGGCAAGCTTTTGGTGGACGGAGAGAGCGCTATTACCATTGCAAAATATCGTTGGCAACATAGGGTACAACTTAAATGGGTTAATCCGAATTCAACCAAAAAAAATAAGATTTGAGTTAATTTTTAATACTTGAGTTGAACCTAGACAAAAAAATTTCAATCCGAATTAAATTTGGATAAGTCTCGGGTTGTAGGGTTCAACTCGAATATTAAAATAGGATTGAACCCGATTATTAAATCGGGTTGAATTCAAATATACATAAATATATAAATATATTTAACTAGAGTTAATATTTATCTTCACTCTTTAGAGTCAAAATTTTCACTTCACTTCAAGTTTTCACCCCTGCGTCTACATCACTCTCAAATCCTTTTCTCATTCGTCACTCCTTCCTCTCTCAGCCTCCCTCTTTCAATCGTCACTCGTCTAAGTCATCTCAGACTCTCAATCTCCCTTCCTCACTCGTCATTCCTCCTTCTCTCACTCCCTCTCCCTTCATCTGCGTTTCGCCTTTCATCTCAGATCACTTGAAAAAAATCAAATCTACACTTCAAAAAATTAACCCGAATTAAATAATCAAAGTCAACCCGATTTTTAACCTGAAATCAGCCTGAATTAAGTAACTCAAGTTCGCCCAAATTAAACTCGGGGCAGTACTTGAATTGAATACCTCGGGTCGAGGTAAGGTTAGAGTTGAAGATTATATATCTAAAATTTGATTAAAATTAACCTCCCAACCCGCCTAACTCGCACGAGTTGCATCCCTAGCTAGCAATGATTTGTGTGATTTGTGTGGTGCATAATTAGTCCAACAACTTTAACTTCAATTTAAATTTAATCTCTAAATTTTTAATTAATTATAATTTAATCACTCAATTATTAATTTCATCCCAATTAAATCTTTTTGTCAATTTCTATTATTAAATCAAATGAAAACATATTACCTAACGATAGAAATTAATCAAATAGGACTAGTCTCCATTTGATTTGACGATAAAAATAGACGAAATGACTAAATTGAGACGAAATTTATAATTGAGAGATTAAATTAAAATAATTAAAAATTCAATGATCAGATTAAAACTAAAAATAAATTTTAGGGACTAATTATAATTTTTGCCCTTGAAGTTATATGGTATTAAAATATGTCTAGAACTCTTTTATAACAATAATGCTGATGTGTGTGATTTGTGTCATATACAAGCACTGTTTAGAATATTTACATCGTTTTCAAATGTTTTTGCCTACTTAGTTACTTAGACTGATATAACACGACTACTTATTTATCGTCCAAATTCACTAGATCTTGCACAATTCTAATTACGAGTTTATGAAATTAGACACGAAATTGTATTCAGAATTGCTTAAGACATAATCATAAGGGAGGCATAGATCATCTGATCATCCCCATAATCAAAACATTTATTAAAAAATGTCTACGTTTTATACTTTTATTATTAGTGATAAAGTAGAGAGTGGGTTTGATTTTTTAAATGTACATAATTAAATTGAACTATCTATTTTAACTTACGGTAAATAGACAACCTATTGAAAATAAATATCTAAAAGTTAACTTTCTAAAATAGAAAATTAAGAAAATAGAAAATTCATTAAAGATGATCTAAGTCTTATCTTTTTACTCCCCCCCCCCAAAAAAAAAAAAAAAAACCCCACCCAACCCAAAAAATTAGTTTTTTTTTTTTCAATGTTCAGAAGTGTTTAGATTAATTTACGCATATCTCGACTAACTCTCTTTCCAGTCTGGTTAAAGACGGACCAGCTTACACTCACCTAGATTAATTTTCTTTTTGGTCTGGTTAAAAACAAATTATCTACGCCAAAATTATAATATTCGTGTGAAATAAATTTTTCGTGCCTTAAAAGGGTTTTCTTTTTGAAATATTCAAATTAAAATATCCTCACTTCGTTCGTGATGAATACATCTCTTATATAAATGGAGTTATATCATATTTAGTTAATTTTATATTGACTTGTTAAAAATCGTGCCCAACAAGATTGGATATGATTTTTTTTTTAAATCAAAAAAGAAAAATATAAATTAAAATAACTAGATCGGATACATAAATCAAATTAAACTCTTCAATACTAATCTTCTCTGTATCTTTCCAATTTTTTATTAGATGTCCCCAAAGGGATGAATCAGACTCAGTCCTGATCAAGTGGTACTTAAACCTATGTCATCTCCCTCAATAATATACTGCATCAAGAGAAAATACTACACAATCCAAATGAAACTTAAAAATTACAACTCAAATACATATCATCTTTTGGATTAGTGAATCCCACTAAAAAAATTGATGAGTGAGAGATGAGTGGCTCCCACTAAAAAAATTTGATTAAACCCACTCATCAAAAAGAGAATATACATTTAGATTATAATTTTTTGGATTTCATATGAATTATGATACATTAATCCTGCACCAAGAAAGAGTAAATGCAACTGCACATGGCTCTTGAATGGGTCTCATTAATCTTTTTAGGTTTATGCAATACTGTACAATAAACTACCCCTTTTTAAAGTAAAAAGGGACTATATAACATCAAAAGGACACAAATTTGTCCAAGAGGGCCTTCCTGTACAAATGACCTGGAGGATCAGTCTTCAAAGTCCCTAGCAGAAGCATCATATAACAACTGGTGGATCTCATGATAATAAAAAGCTTATTACATTCCAAATCAACTGAATAATGTAAGGCGAACACCCCCGGGTTAATTATAACAGAAAATAATAACGAATGAAACTAAACAATAATAGCAAACACTAGGCATTGTAATGTAGGACAATCTAACGACTGCTAGAATTCGCATAACATGATGGATGCTGGAATATATTTCCGACTTTTAGTCCACAAACTGGTGCAGCGATTCACAAGACAAGTATATTGTTTAGCTGTGGTTCCATACAAAGAAGGGCTTTTTTTATGACTTGTGAGTGTTAAAATGATCAAATTACAGCTACTAGGATCACAGACTTGAACACTGTTAAATTAGCTGTACCACAGCAACTATTCGCAAAGCTCCATTTTGGAGAAGATCGTCAATCTCATCAAATATTAAAGCTGTGCGCCAACCCCATCCCTTGGGAGCTTTTGGCAGAAGTGTTCCGGTTTGTTTATAGCTTCCAAAAACCATCACTTCTCTTTTTGATGGACATATCAACTGGATAACGGATGAATGAAGGCATAAGAGACCACGAATCATACCACAAGATTTTGTAGAAATTCTAAATATGGACTGATTAGTAAAGAATCTGATGTGTTCACTTGGGCTCACCTGGTACCGAGCAGTAACCTTTTCACGAGAATCCACATACATATGAACCTGCAAAGGAGAAAGCCAAATATGCAGCCTGAACTTTGATGGATCACAAATAGACTCATCAGAAACTTTGAGGGTGGAAAAATTGGCAGATTCTTATGGCTGTCCAATATTTAAACTAATTAGCTGAAGCTTGAAACATATGTGAACGCTGGTTCTTAATCATTAGTCACCACATGATAAGAAAGGTCACTTCCATTGAAAAATATATATTGAAAAAGAACACCTTTCACAGTTTATTAGATAGACCACCTCATTCTTTAATAACTTAGAAGGCGGCTAACCTTTCTTTGAGGATCACTTATCTCTGCCTTTCGTCGATGAAGAAACAATCCTGAAACAAAAGTACACAATTAAAAGAGGTGATATATAATTTCTTTTTGCCCAAGTACACCGAGTAGCGAATATGTTTCAAAATATAAAATCGAATGCCTAATTGGAAAATTACCAAGGGTCCGGCGTCCTTGGGGGTCTTCATCATTAAAAGCCTGAACGCTAACCTGTGCAATTCAACAGATCAAATTAGTTGACGTGGAAACAACAATCAATAGAAACTGAGAAAGCCTCTTCAATGTTTAAGAAGATTATAGAACAGAATGACCGGCAGCTATTATTCAAATACCTTCCACAAGGAACCAGCATAAAATACTTCTGAAGAGTGCTTGACTTGACCATCACTGAGCCTGTGCACATCCTGAAATTCCACTCTGTGGAACCAGTGGGAAATCATCAGAAAATAAGTTATATGTTTTCTGCAAGCAGCTGAAAAAGATGAGCTCAAGAATGCAGTAGTCAGTTGTTCACAGTCAATAATCATTGCCAAGAAGCAAAAATGCTGAAAATGACAACAGGAATTGGGTAGTCAGTATATGCCTGGAAACTATTTATCTTGCGTGCCAAGCAACAGAATCCCAGCAAAAGGCCTGGAATTAGCACATTCCTGTGTCTGAGCAACTGCTCCAGAACTTAAAAAGGCTTAAATCACAATAGCCTATTTAACCTACTCATAGGGAAAGATATACAATGGAACCCCAAAGGAAGTAAGCTTGCCTCGATTCTAATAGAATCAAATTAAGTGACAATAATTTGCAAACAGTGAAAAATGTTTGAACTCTACATGGACAACCAGTTGCATCTGACTAGTTTCATACCCATCACAAGATTGGCATGGAAGCTGCTATGCACATCTTCCAACAGATAGAACTATGTGGAATGCAAGGTACAGAAGTTAATGCTCTATGCCAAATGAAAGGATAACTTACGCAAAGCGAAAGGGAGGGAAATGACTTAAAGGTGTTTTCATATCCAATGATATAGAGCTGTTTGTGTCCTCCCACTCCATCCCAATGGCATGCTCAGGTGAGTCTAGCATCTGCACAGGAATACCACTGGTACTTGGTCCAGCAATTGAGGGTCCAACCAGTCTGCTTTTTGGATCTGTCTCACCTCCTCTCTCCATTTGCTCTCCATGAGCATTAGCAATGTTGCTTCCTCCCTGGCTTAGCCCAACCAAAGCTGTCAACCCATCCCCAGCCATGTCCCCATTGTGATCAGCTGTATTCTCAGAATCACCATTACCCAGAGACTGCTGGCAGTTTCGATTGCCCATACCAAAGGGTACACGAGAAAAGACAAAACGTGTGGGAGGCCAAGCAGCTGCTGGTGCAAATGTAGTTCCACATCCAATACCAGCTAGTCCATCGATAGGCCCCCTAACATGCACACGTACAGGCCTATAGAGGCCATTTCCTTCACCTTGAGCAGAATCAGTGACATACATATTGCCGATATTGCTCGATAGATTAATCTGATCATGAGCTTGCAGGTAATAACCAGTGGAAGTAACTCCACGCAGAACTCCAAATTGCTGCCTGCATGCACATGCCATACTCACAAAGCAGCAATTTTTGCATGTGTCAGCGCCAATTTCTTGCACCCGTTGGCTTAGAAGCATCTACTTGAGACCCACAAGATTTGCACAAAAAATAGAAAATAAAACAACATAAAATGCCTAAAGCAATTAAACACATAAATTTTTTTCTCAAGATAATGGCTTTTCTTGGGAAGTGAAGAGGTGTCCAAACTTCTGGTGCTGTCAAATGAGCACAAAGATTTTGTAACAACTCTGCCAGGTCCCGCATTGGGGGGAATCTCCTATTCTGGACCAACAGATCTGTAACCATTATACAATACCCACAGTTTTGGTGGTCAATCCAAACTGTTAAAAGGCCACGTAATTTGTCAAATAGAAGTGAAAGCATGGACTAAAAAAATCTAACCCATAGAAGTAGGTCCCAAGGAACTTGCTTGTATGCCACAAGCAAATCACCAGAAGTGTGGATTCTTCTCAACCTATCTATTAACACATAACATAAGAAAAAAATTCAGTTTCAAACCTGCAGCCAAAGACCATCATTCATGGCTTTGCAAGGGAACCCCAATTCTTCAAGCTGCTTTCTCACATTTAACAGTGCCTCAAAGGACATGTTACAATATAGAAGAGAGCCACCTTCAAAAACATTGGCAAATGCATCATATTCTTCCCCACTCACCCCACAATTCCCTTGTGCGCAAGTTTTTACCTCTCTTCGGCCCACAATCCTACCACCCCATGATAAAGGAGGCATGCCACATCTTCCCCATTCATTAGCCAAGAGCCCATTACAGGAAGGGTTCACTGCAGTACAGTGTCTTGGGTCCCCAGCAAGCCAACTATTGTTATTCAATTGGTAGCATGAACCTTCTTCAGATGGCCCTTCCGTAGCCACACCGCTGCCCCTCGACCCACTTGCTCCAGCACCAATAGGCATTTCAAGATAAGAACATGAGGATCTAGTGTCCTTTGTATATGAAAATGAGTTACATGACAAGGGTTGTTCGACGTTGCAATAATATCTTGGCTCCAAATCAGACTGAACGCATGCGGCTTGTTTCATCTGTTGCTTGGAATCAGCAAATGTGTGAGAATCAACAACACAGTCTGCAAGCTTAACCAAAACATGATGACCAGTATCATGCCCTTCAGGTTTGTCTTTCAAACTTATATGCCCTAGTTCAGATTCCAGCATTTTATTAGTGCAGCCATCAATCAAGTTCTTTTCCGTTACTTCAGAAGAATCAGAATGCGTATTTGTTCCCATCTCAGAAATGGAACATTCTTCTTCAGGATGTTCAGCCTTGGAAAGAGCACATTTTGAGAGAAGAGAGTACAATGCCAGTTCAAACCTTTTTGAGAGAAAGAAAACTGTTAACTAAATTCACCAAAGTTCAACTTGAGAAACAAAGGTAGATAGAATGTCCCTTACCGTGCCTCTTCGCTTGGTACCCACAATTCATCTGATGTCAGTAGTGCATGCAAAGTTTGAGCAGAAAGCTTTGGAAGCACCTGTTATTGATAGGAGTGTTAAATGCAGAAATAAATTCATAAGAAGACAATGATTCTGTATCCCTGACCATGAGACTCAGAAATAACTATACTGCAATACATTCTGCAAAAAATAAAAACCAACTTGAGTTAAATTCTATTTAAAAGAAATGTAAGAAATTGGAGTTGGAACGAGAAATGTGTCGACAATAACGAACATATAGTCCATGCTAGCATTACTTGAACCTTAATAGATGTTGAGCTACATGATGAAGCAGCGCAGAAACATCCAAATAAAATAATGTATAAACAATGTAATGGACACCAAGTTGCAAAGTAACACAAACACATTGCCTTCTCCTTTGTTTCACATTGAGTGGATAACTGAAATAAGGATTTGGTTGTCCATAAACCCTACAGGAAACTTAGTGATCTTACGATTTCCAAACATGCTTCAAAAAAAGTTGCAAGATCCCATAGAGATGTAAATAACTGCAACACGTTATTCATCAGTTTGTTGAACAATCCATCAACAACTAATGCAATGATAGTACTTTTCTAGGAAATACAAAGTCAAGTTCTTAATTGAATTCATAAATCTCAATATAAAAGAAAATTGATGTCACAGGAGATGACAACTAGAAAGGACTATCATGTAGAAAAGAACACCATAAAGTTTGGTCAAAGTTAGAAAGCTCTAGTTGGTTAAACTTATGGTAAGGATTCATGTCACAGAAGATAGGAATATCATTTCGCCAACCTTTTCTTAGAATGTGAAAAAACCTATATAAGCTAAATAGGTGAAATGCATTATTAATAAGTTTTCACACAAACTGTCATCTTAGAATGTGAGATAACCTTTATGGTTTTTTGACTTTTAATCCATTCAGAATCAAACAAGTCTCGTGCTTGCAATTTAAGTGTACTCCACTGTTGACAGAAGCTGAGTAATATAAACCCATTTTTATTTAAATACATGTTCATCAAAACGTGAGAACTAGATTTTGTTATCCAATGTAACCGAGTGCTATTGGGTATTCTCATTTAGAATCAAACATCAATGATTCAACTTGGGCAGGTTTATATACTCACTGGAAATGCTTTGCCTTATTTGAGCTTTCCCAGTTGATCGACTGTAGACCTAGTAGATCTCAGGTTTTCCTCAAACTGCTAAAGGTTGTATTTGTGGGTGTTGCTTTAGTAACAAAACATGCAGTGACTTAGCTGCCCAGACTTGACAGCCAAAAAACATTGATTAAAGCAAAGCTAAAGGCTATTTGAAACTGGCAAGCAATTTTATTGTTACTAAAAAGTACGGTGCAAACTCGGCATAGTATCTGATTTATCCTTCTTAGTTTTGGATTCCTATTTCATAAAACACCATGAAATCTTATACAATGAACAAAAGGAAGATAAGGAACATATAAACATAATCTCCAAACTTCACCACCTGCAGGTGAAGTAAAATTTTCATGCCTTACCTCTTTCAACTCCATAGCACCACTTTGGCAAAGGTAGCCCCAGCAAGCATTTCTAACACGTTCTCCATGTATGCCATAATCTTGGCTCTCTGCAAACACCTTAAAAATAAATACATGCAGTTAATAACAAAGGAGTGAGAGCATATAGCTAATAAAATTATGGATACAATAGTAACAAATACATCTTGAACCTGATATGCTAAGAAGTTTGAAGTCCACAATTCTGATATAATAAAGTCCGTGCAAATTGCACATAAATCCTGCAAGCATGATGTTCAAGATGTAAAGTACATGCAAAGGAAGCTGTTTGATCAAGTAGGGACAGACGCATGCCCCCAGTGGAGCAACTTAACCGCCCTGATTTTTTTTTTTTTTGGAGATAAAGTATAGTACTATGAATCATTGATTCATTTGAAAAAGGGTAATGATGGGGTAATTTTGAATCCAGAAAAAAAGTGGCATTCGTACTTAAACCTGATCCACTTTTTCAGCTATTTGGGGCCTTCACTCATCACCCACTTACCTGAGACTTACTCATCCAAAGATAAATAATGTGTGTGGTATTATGAGCGAACAAGTATGAGAGAATTAAAATACTCCGTTATCCCATTTACAACAATGACATAGACAAACTCATCACAACAATTGGAAAAAAGTATGTTTTTTCAATAAAATTGATTTCTTAAAGAAACAATAGTATCAATATATCTAATTTTTCAATGACTAACAATTTAACATTCTTCAAAAGAATTGCTGTGAGAATTTATTCTATCTGTTAATTATTGTAGACTTTATATAACTAAATCTTGACTATATTAGAACTGTCCATGTTTCCACTCAAGAAAAATACCAACCCTACTGCTCTATATCAGAGAAATTCTTTCAATTGAAAGATCCATCAAAAAACCAAAATATACCTCAACAATAAGTACAAAAAAACACAAAAAACCTGTACTCGTTGATGGGGGATACCTGAAGGTCAAGAAAGGAAGCAGCTGCAAGAACACGAAATACATTATTATCATTAAGCTTTGGATGATGTCCATAAAGATATGCCAAAGCTATTGCAATAGCCTCCTCATTAACATTGTTATCATCCACTTGTAGAGTCAAAATCGGAGCATTGGCTTCTTTCCAAGGACCATGAAGCATATTTCTGCAGGCCACATTATATGGCAGCTAAAGATGAAATAATTCTACCTGATAAATTGTTATCCCCTTAACCTTAAGCATAAGCAAAAATATTTTGCACACACAATTTCCAAGCCTGTAACAGCATCACTCGAACATTATGTCATAGAAAGTTATGTTCCAGGTTAGAAAGTTAAGCAATTCCCTTCCTTTGTTAGATGAATAAAACCATCACAGCACAAACATACATACACAACTCAGAGTGCCACGTATGCGCATACGCATGCAAAAACAATAATCCGACTGGCGGGCAACATGATCCCGAAAACCATTGTTTATCAAAAGAGCATGCACACTTGCAAACAAGTTAGCACATAAACTATTGCACTTCTCTCAAATACCCAAATGCGTCACTTTAAAATCATCATGCTTAGACCAACACAGTAAAACCAACTAACCTAGCTTCAACCGAATCAACCCCCTTAACTTGGTACCCGTGTTGGAGCATATAACAGAATTATCATCCTTTTTTGTTCTTTTCCCATAAGTTGAAAACCTATCGTCCTTGGACAAATAATTTAACACTCACAGGTAGCTAATTATACATCCCATCCCTACACTAAAACGCCACTCTTGTGTAAATTATTCCGCACACCATATACTGACACACATGACCAAGAGTAAATATTCAATATAACAGTTACATCACGTCACAAGCGTCCCGTGGTGTAACCAACAGTGAACCCCACTAATCCTACATGATAGTTTTGAATATCAAAGCTGGTGGTTATACAATTTGATGGGATCCACTAGTCTTACATAGTTGTTCATAATTGGTAGATTACACTGTTACGTTGAATATTTCTTGAAATTAAGCATGTAGTTCACTATATTTCCTGCTCCAAAACACTATTAATAATTATTGCACCTAAATTAATGAAATTAATAATCTCACACAAAATTGAATCCAAATTGGAGAGTAAAACAGTAATAACTTCCAAGAAAATTTGATATATGTTGATAATTGGAGTGGAGACCTGAAGTAAGAACTACGGGAGAGGATAAGACGATGGAGATGATAGGTGGAGCCCATGGCGTGGACGACGACGTCGGAGAAAGATCCGTTGTTGAAGCCTTCCGATTGGATATGGTCACAGAGGGAGGTGAGGTTGCAATCCAGTGCGCGAAGCTCAACGCTGCTCCGGTCGTTATCGGAGTGCTGTGAGGGCTGTCTCGACATTTCCATTGGGCCTACTCCGTACTGTCTCTGTTTAGGATACTGTGGTTCCATTCTCATGCTTCTCTGTGAAGTAGTTGGTTATAGGAGAGTGGAGATCGACGCCATTATCGAACTTTGTGAAGAAGGAGATGAAGGGGAAAGTAAAACAGTAGAGTGGAGAGAAAAGTAAATTACATCTTTTTCCTCCTAAGTTTGCCTTAAATTTCCATTCGGCCCCTATAAATTCACCCGTGTTTCAATGTGACCCCGCTGTCTTCTTCCCAACATTCTTCGCTTTCCGAGTGAGATCTCCTCTAATATATTTTTTTTTGTAGATTATAGTTTATATATTTAAGTGGAATCTATTATATACAAGTAAATTCATTACTCATTAATGGTGAATGATCCGCCATAAAAAATTGAAAGATAAATGTGTTGGAAGAGATCAAGACACTGTTTCTCTTTCTCTTTGTTCTGTTTCTCATCTGTTTAACAAATCTAACCCCTAAAAAACATCTCACATGATCATAATTAACTCACATTACCTCAAAAAAAATCTTGTTATACTATTTTTTTAATGGATTACATTAATTTTTTTCATCATCATGTTATGTCAAGTGTCATATTTTTTGTTAAACAGTAAATTATTATATATTTTTTTATTATTTTTGGCTCCATCTATCTCTATACTTCTAGTCAATAGTGAAGATTTTCATTCACACTCCTTAAAACTAGGTTTAAAGTTAATGATACCCCCTCCGATTTTTAAAAATTCATTGCACTTTCTTTTGATTTATACTTTCAAATCAACAACACCCCTTTAACAGTAATTTTTGTCTCTGTGAATAGATAAAATACTGATTTGACTAAATATTTTTGTAAAAATATCAAAATTATCATTTGTTATATAAATAGATACAAATGCACTCAATTCATTCCCCATTATGTATGTCTTAACTAGCCAACAAACGTTATTTCTATCATTATATTATCTCAATAAATTTTTATCATTTTAAAGCGTTGTATAATAATTTTGTTATAATATTAGTCATCATATGATCACTAATTTGTTACATAAGCAAGTTTTTATAATTAAAAATTATTTTTCTATAATAAAAATTACAATCCATAACCATAAAGGTAATGTCAAAATTTCATCCATTTTTCTAACTCTTCTTTTATCATATGTTCTCCACAACATTACATGTAGGATTGTTAGTCAAACGAGTCCGAGCTCGAGCCAAACTTGAAAAACTTATCTTTTAATCGAGTTTAAAAAATTGTTCAAGTTTGGTTCGTTTAGGAAACGAGCCGAGCCTGAACAAGCTAAAAACAACTGGAGGCCGAAACCAAACTTGAGTATTTGTGTATAAACGAGTTTGTAGAGCTTGTTTTTTAAACGAGGCTAAAAATTTGTCCAAGTTTTGACTTGTTTAGAAAATGAATTGAGTATGAACGAGCCGAACCCGAGCTGAACTCAAGCCAAGCTCGAGTAGCTCAATTTGATTGACAGCTCTAGTCACCGGACCACTCTTCACACATCACCTTTTATATATAAAATTTTAAATATTATTTGATAAAATTTAATATTAATTAAATAAATTTGGTCTTAATTTGATAAATTAAAATATTAATTGATAAAATTAAATATTAATTGAATAAATTTGAATGTTGCTTTAATGAAATTGAATATTCATTTGGTGTTAAATTAAAGAAATAACATTAATTTGATAAAGTTAAATGTTAAATTAATAGAATTTAATATTCTATTTAATATATTAAATTTTAATTTAATAAAATTGAATGTCGATTTAGTGTTGATTTAATAAAATTAAATAATAATTTAATGTTAAGTTAAAGAAATTATATTAATTTGATGAAATGAAATTAATATAACTAAATGTTAATTTGATGAAATTAAATATCAATTTTGTGTTGATTTGATGAGATAAAATGTTAATTTAGTTTAAATTAAATAAAGGACATTAATTTGATAAAATTAAATATCAATTTTGTGTTGATTTGATAAGATATAATGTTAGTGCAGTTTAAATTAAATAAAGGACATTAATTTAATAAAATTACATATTAAATTAATCAACCTAAAAGCTAATAAAATAGAACTAAAAAATAGTGCATTGAAATTTCAGAATCAGAAGGGGATGTTGTTAAAATTATGCCTATTTATAATAGATGTTGTTAAAGTTAGATCTATGTATAAAGAGTGTGGATAAAATTTATTCTATGAAATATTCAGGAGTATTTCTATAAATCCACCATTGTCCTTAACGCCGTAGTTCGACAATCACTGACAATGATAGTGAAATTTCAAAATCATAACGGGGGTGTCGATAAAATTTTCCCTAATAGTTATTATATTAATTTTTCTCATTAGTTTCTTAGATCGTTTATGAATCTATATCTATATCTATACTACTAATAAAAGTACCTTAACATGAAAATTTTTTGATTCACTATTTTACCCTTATAAAAAATTATAAAGGCTAATATGTCCTTTTGTATTTAAATATACAAATTACCATAATATCTCTTTATATTTAATAACAAATTAATCTCTAACATATCATATAAATCTCTCTATCTTTGCAAATTTTTTGAATGGTCATGTTATGCTTAGCATGATGTATAAAAACAATATTATTGTTTTTTTTTCAAAAACTCAATATTAATACACTAAATATTTCTCGTGCCTAAAGGCACTAAGTAATTCAAAAATCCTCGAGCAACGGTCTTGCAATATAAATATTTTCAAACATTACTATATTTATTATTATTTGTTTTTAGTTACACAATTCAAAATCTATTTGAAAACACTATTTTCTAAAAAAAATTGACAAAACTTCTCTAAAAACACAATCCCTAAAAAAAATTAACATACACAATTTATATATATTTAATCACTATATATAAAAAAATATCTTTTTTTTTTGTTGGAGTCGATATTGCGTGTGTGCGTTGACAAGTGTATAAAGAGAGAGAGAGAGAGAGAGTTATATTAGATATACGATAAACTTATGAGAGATGAGAGCATGATAAAGATAGAGATTAGAGTTTTAATGGATATTAGATGTATTTTGTTATTATTAGATATATATAGTCGTTCAGGTTAAACTCTTCAATTCTTATTACTTTATTATTATATGCGTTTAGGATAGAGAGAATGTGTGTGTGAGATAGATAGAAAGATAGAGTTATATGAGAGATAAGAGTGTATGTTTAAAATGTGAGAGATAAGAGTGTATGTTTAAAATGTGAGAGATAAGTGAGTTGTAAAATGAATGAAAATTCAATTAAAATCACATAGATATAGATTGATAGATTTATGATGACATAAATGGGCAGAGTTACACAGGGGCAGAGTTACACAGGGGCAAGGGTGGGCATGCGCCAACCCTCAATTTTTTTAAAAAAATATGATATGTATATTTATATTTATATATTCTGCACATTTTTTACTTGTACTTACTCTATAATTTTCTTATTTCAATTATTTAGTTTTTTTTATTATAATAAATTTTTCTTCAAATGACCTCCATTTTATTATAAATTTTAGTGGTTAAAAGTTTTTTCAATTGATCTTCATTTGACTTTGCTTTTTCTACCATAAAATGTCTTTTATTTTTATTTGAGTAGTGATTATAGTCATTATTATGTGTCAATCGATTTTTATTTTTTTAATATGTTTACCTCTTAAATTTTTGTTTAATAGTTTTACTATGCTAATATTTTAGTGATATTGTTTAGAATATCGTTTATTGAATAATTTTAATGGATGGTTAGTGAATAACTGATATTTTTTAATTATAAAACTGACAATTATGTTCACTTTTTTACAATGGTGATAATTAGTCAATATTGTATACATATACAATATACATTATTTTTTTTGCCTTTTTATGTTAAATAGACATCATGCATCAAATATGATATAATAAATATAAATATATCATATAGTGTGATTGGTTAGGAAAAAAAATTAGAATGTATAATTAAAGTGCTCACCCTAAATAAAATTTCTGGCTCATGATATATGTCAATGAACTAATAATTTGTTAGAAATAATCTTTGTTATTAGAGTTTTAATGGGTATTAAATATATTTTGTTATTATTAGATGTATATAACAGTTCAAGATATGAGATAATGTGTGGTTAAAACATGTGCGAGATAAGAGAGGCAGAGTATGAGACAGAGGGAGAGAGATTTATATCAGTTAATATGAGATAAGGAGAGAGCATTAGATGAGAGATAAGAGATAAGAGTCTTAAAATATTGTCGCATTAGGATCGTCGGACGCATCAATAATTGTTAAGCAATCTGAGCCGTGAAAAAGTTAAAAGCAAACTTTTCTAATTTTCTATATAATAAAGTAGCTAAGAATGTTTGTCTTGAGTATTTCGCGGCTTAGATTACTTGACCATTCTTAATCCGACGGTCCTTATCCCAAAATTTTCCAACACTTCTATCTCTCATCTAACTCTCGTCCCTTATCTCATACTAATTGATACAAAGACTCCTATATCTCATCTAACTCTATCTCCCTATAACATCCTATAATTCTCTCCGTTACTCTCTGCCTCACCCATTTTTTAAAATATTCTATCTGCCTCTAATGAGACTCCTCCTCTAACTCTCTACCTTGCCTATCCCGTATCTCAATTGCTATCTCACGCTACCCCTCTTTCTCCCCCTTCCTCTGTTTCTCTACCTTGCCCCTGCAACACACACCACACCGGAGTAACACCCACTGCAACACATACCACACCGGAGTAACACCCATTGCAACAGGAGTCCAGGTAGTCTGGGTTTTTTTCTTCAATTCTCTCCCTCTCTCTATATCTCTTTCTCTCTTTCTCTGTGTTCTGGGTTTTTGGTGTGTGTGTCTGTGTGTGTGTGTTCATTTTTGTGTCTGTGTGTACGTGTGTGTGTGTTCATTTTCTGTCTCCTGTGAATCAAACTTTGTGTTCTGTTCACAGATAGTTATTTTATGCGCTTTATTCACAGAGAGAAACTTTGTGTACAGTTTAAGTAATAAAATTTTGTGTTTAGAAAGAGTATAAATGTTACTTGATAAATGTTAGTAAAGAGAATGTAAATAATCAGTGTGGTCACTTCTCTTCCTTGATCATGGTCAATCCATCATACTGGAGTTTCCTTATTGCTCATC